GGTCTGCACAGGGGAGTTTTGGTTTGGGCCCCCCTGTTGGGTTTGTTTTTTTATTGCGGTTGCGTCCCGCCCCCCCCTTGTTTTATTCCCAAACCCCCCCCCCCCCCCCCCCCCCCCCCCCCGGCCTTGCAAGCTTGGAGCCCACCCTTGCTTGACTTGACAGGCAGAAAAAGCGAGGCCCATGACAGCAGATGCTCGGCCCCGGTAACATCAGACATCATCCTCGTTGTCAATCATATCACCCTCGCTCAAGGTTCTATTATTGCCGCCCACCTCCATTGGCACTACGCGACGGCCACTACTGGATGGGTTGCTTGGCCTTGTCCCGCACACCTTGGATGCGACTTTGCATGCAGAGGGGTCCTATATCTCGTCTGCTCTCCCCATACCATTTTTCGTCCCATCGAATCTTCAATTGTGTAACCGGTTCCAGAAGATCACCCCCCATCTCAACCAAGAATTGCACGTCTGGTGAACCAGGCCTGCAAACAGAGCCGCCCTTTTCACGGCCCGACCAGATCCCAGCAGGCCAGACACTTCAAACACGGCATTGCAACCGGTCCCGCCGTTGACAGCCTCCAGCCCCTGTTACTTCCAATCAGCGGGGCGCCGCCATCACTGATCTCCCCACGAGCCTTCAAAAGTAAACGCGCTCCTGGATAGACTGCAGGGCGACGATCGACAGAAGCTTGAATTTGGAAGCTTCGACGAAGCAAATCCAGGCCGCCAATATCAAGGAGAAACCCCCTCCATCCCTCCACCGCAGTGGCCCTCTTGTTCTTCTTCTCCTCCTGATACCACTTATACTCCACCGGAACCCAATCCTCCAGACAGACCAAAGAGTCCTGTCACTGCCTCGACACCTGCAGTCATATCAGCCCTGCCCAGTGGACCTCCGCCAGTTTGGCTGGATGCGACCAGTGACGCCTTTCTGAGCGACCCCTTGCTAGCAAGAGCCGCTCACAGCCAGCCAGGACTTGTGACGACGACAGCCAGTCCGTTCGACCGGATAGAAGCTCAATTGGGTATCGGAGGGGCGCGGGAGAAGCAGGAAGTTCTAAAGCACTGGCGACACCATCGACCACCCTGGCCTCGTCCAATACGCTACCTCTGTTCACCTGGCCTCCACCTATAGTTGCCACACTTTATTCCACCTGTGCCTCCGAATTCCGCACAAGGCCAAGCATACCTGGTTCCCACCACCGCAGTCGCCCAGGTAGCCCGCTGCAACCCCCGCTCAGTGAGACTGAGCCTCGACTAGATCGGACAACTTCTTCTGCACCACACACCAACGGAAAGTAGTACGTATACTTCGGCAGAGCCAGACCCCACCCGGCCGCCTCGCCTCCTTGCGGACCTGCATTGCATGCTCGCATTTCCTACAGCCACGCCCATTACGTCGCCACGTCCACACCCATGCTCACACCCTTACCACCTACTCGCCCCTCACCTTTTACACTCGCCCTCACACTGATGATAACCAACAGACCTTCCGAGTCAAGAGATACTGTACCTAAGTGCAGCTACCCACCTACACCGTCTGACACCTCACCCTTGATCTGTCTCGACGCTCCTCCACACGTGGCCTGTCAAGCCGCTAGTCCAGCCCCCCGAGACTCCTCCCGCACCTCCCTTTCCCGAACGGGCAGTCTATATACTCCAGTGTTCGGAGCTTGCCCTGCCTTTGACGTGCTTCCCGCACCTCTCTAATACCTATTAAGGAATCGGTATCTGAGCTTCTTCGCATCATATCAACTACACCACCACCACCTCTTCCTCCTCCTCCTCCTCACCACCAGCAAGAACAACGTCACCACCACCTCGACTCTTCGAACCTGGCTCGTCACCTAACCGAGGCCACCATTGTCCAGCACTGCTCAGACTGTTCCATCGGCGCACTCGACGCGCTTCTTGACGTCGACAACGGGAACGAAACTTGGCTTGGTCATGCTCTAGTTCACCTTCTGTTTAATTCTCTGACGCCTCGACACCTAAACGGCTTCTGTCTTTGCCTCACCTGAACGTCTTACAACGTCGTCTGCCATTGAAGGCGCGCCCATGAGACCGTTCCCTGGCTTGGAATCATTCATAACCTCCCACGCGCCCATATACGAAGTTCCTTGCGCTTACCTGCTCTGGATCTTGTCACCAGATTCAAAAGCCTTGGTCTTTTCTTCACCCGGGTAGCTAGTCGCCTCCCGTTTCAGAGTTCGTCATGGCATACCAAGTAGAACAGTCCGTGATGGACCAGGAGTACAAGCTGGAGGTCCGTCAACAACCTAGCTACGCCAGAGTTGCCATTGGGAAGGAGAAAGGTGCGCCATGATATCTCTCCTCCCCCCTTTGCTGGTTGGAAGAGACTAACGTGCCGGATTCAGATCGCAAACCAATCGACCCCCCTCCCATCGTGCAACTAAAAGTCAGCCCCAAGAAGGACCCCATGCAAAACTTCCTGCAGAATCCCTACTTGATAATGTCCTGTCAACTCATCAAGGCCGAGGACGAGAAGGATCCACAGCCAACAACAAACGCGCTTCTTGGGACCATTGTATCATCGCTCTACAGTTTGAAGGATACCGACAACAGCCTAGGGGGCTTCTTCGTCTTCGGCGACTTGTCTGTCAAGTGTGAGGGCCAGTACAGGCTCGAATTCACCCTCTTCGAGCTCAGGCTTGTGGAAAAGGAGTGCTACCTTCTGGCGACGACCCGATCCGACACCTTCACTGTCTACCCGCAAAAGTTCTTCCCAGGAATGGCCGAGTCTACCTTCTTGACAAGGTCTTTCAGCGACCAGGGCGTCCGTCTCCGGTTACGCAAGGACTCGCGCAGCATCACAACACGGAAGCGAAACAGCACCGTTGCTGATTTCGCACGTCAGTACTCGCGGCACGACCAGGACCCGCAGAACCACCGAGATCACCCATCCCGATCGAGCAGCATCAACGAGGTTGCTGCCCCGTCAACACCACTTGATCGTTCCAGGGGCATGGCACCACAGGGAGGGGCCTACTTTGACAACTCCCAGCAGCTCAGAGAGTACGCGGTTGGGCCGACGAGCAACTATCCGACATACGGGGGCTACGAGGACCGGCCCAACAAGCGCCAACGCATGACTGACCACAGTAGCGGTCAGGGCTACGACCACCACGACTACACGGCCTATCAAGCAGGCCCCCGAACTGTCCCGGATCTTCCTACAACTTCCATGCTGCCCTACACAACCGGCTATGCTGTGACAAGCCACGCGGCGGCAGTTGGTTTGCCCATGCCCAACCCTTACTCGCACCCCGTCATGCCACCTCGGCTAGACACCCAGATGCCCCCCTCGGCTGGTCCAAGCTCGGCGACATCGACTTTCTCTCCCGGGACAAGAAGGTCACCGGGCCAAAGTCAAAACTATCCATACCCACCGCAACAGATGTACCAGTCACCGTCGACGACACTCCACTATCCCTCACAACCTCCTCCGGGGCCGCAAAACGGGCTCGGTATAGGGCTCGACCTTGACGCCGTCGAGAAGCACATGCAGCACAGCCAGAACAACGGCACCGGGCTCTAGCAGGGTCCGGGCCGGAATCTAGCTGGCAAGCTTTTCTTCTCCACGTCAGCAGAACCGCTGCGTTGGCACCTGGGCCCGGCCCACTACTACTCCACCGCTGCTGCTGCCCACTTGGACAGCAGACGAGGCGCCTGCGCCCGTTTTCCGTACCGTTTAATCACTCCTCGGCCCCGAGCAGCGATAGAGGTGTTCCCCCACAACGGCTTAGACCTAGGGGGGGGGGAACAAAAGTTTACAGTTTAATTCTCAGATTGCAACCGAGGCTGGGCCAGCCCCAGCTGGCGGGCCATTGGGAGAAAATGGCCTGTCTCGAGTTTCTCTATCTCATTGCCGCGACACACCTGGCGACGTCCATTTCAGCGTTTTTTACCTGCATATTGCTTTCCCGGTTGTAGGTTTTGGTCGAGCGAATGGGTGGGGGGGGGGGGGGGGGGGGGTTTCGGGAGGGGTAGTTTCTATTCGGAATGGGCGGGGGCTGGGAGTGAATCTTCTCTTGGAGCTGGTTTGCATCGGGAAAGAGGAAAGGGAAAAAGAAAAAGAAATGGATGTTCACATTCATTATGAATTATACCCGGGCTTGTGGTTTCGGTACATAGAGTTTCGCTTTCCTTATAGCTTGAGCCTTTTTAATTTTCCTTTCTATCTTCTTTTTACTTCGCCTTTTCTTCTTTTTATTTACTTACTTATCTACTTCTTTTTCTTTTTCTTGCTCTTTTTGCGTGGCCATGTATTCGACGATACCTCCCTCTGTTCTACTGCCCAGGTAGTGTTGTAGGACGGCTTATAGTGTTTCCTAGAGCTGATTCAGCATCACTGCCCATAATGAAGCGACTCGGAAGAGAATTGCATTCATAATCGCTCGATCCCTTGGCGCCGAGTGGCATTGTCTGGCCTGGAGAGTGAGTTCAGAACTGTCCTGTCGCTGTTGGTGTTTACCAGATCAGGCCTTGGACAAAGGTGATGCGGTCTGAAACCTGGTCGACCAAAAAGCGGCCCTTGGGGTTTTGAGCCACGTGGGGAGAGAAGGTATCCTCTCCTATACGTATGTACAACCGCCATACCACAACGAGAAGTTGCTTCTTTCCCCGAGCCCAATTTCCGAATTTCCCTCCAGCCTTACGCCTCCCCCTCACCCCCACCTCGCATCCAGCGCATCATACAGCGTCTGATTAACAGGCAGCACGCTCCCATGCCTCAAGTCCCTCGGGAACGCCGTCCGGTCGCTAGCCTTCCAGGCAGCGTTGCTGGCGGGGTCATCGCTCTCATAGGGCGCGTACCCATCGCCGCCGTAGAAGTCGAGCAGCAGGTGGACCCTCCCCTCGACCTCGTTGTCGAGGTACGCCGCGGGGCCCTCGACGCCGCTCTGGATGGACGCCGAGGGACCACCCGGGCGGGTCCAGGGGCCGCGGAGGCCCGTCGTCGAGGACTCGGCGAAGACGGTCTTGCGGGTCTCGTCTTTCATGAAGCGGATGAAGGTCTGGTTCGTGGCGGTGTTGTTGGAGGCGAGGGGGAGGATCGTTAGGTCGATGATGTCGGTTGGGGAGTAGTCGATGTAGGTCTGGGGGGAGGTGAAGGCCTTGAAGTCGGATGTGTGGGCGTAGCGGATCCGGGTGTTGGATGGGGAGCCGGTGTGTCTACTGTCTGAGGCGGAGTACTGGGAAGGGGGGTTAGCCTTAGCGTGGACTTGTCAGGGGGTCGGTGGATACGACGAACAAACTTGGATGCCCAGTACACCATGTATTGGCCTGGATGTTGTCAGCATTCTCAAGTGGCCGGAGCTGCTGGTTGGCATTGCCGTGATTGTCACCTTTTTCAGGATCCCAAATCGCCTCTGGAGCCCAGACCATGCCGGCAGTCGCATCCTCAACGGTCACAAGTCTTTCGTCGACCCAATTGACCAAGTCGGTGCTCTCCCAGACGAATATGCCCCTGGAACCGGTCCTCTGTGCGGCATCCCATGTGGTCTGTGGAGAGGTTAATCTCGGTATTGACTGCTTCCTGGAGAGCTTGACGTTGAGCCAGCCGCAGCCATCCATACCTTGCCAATGTTCAGGTCCGTCCCGACGATATACCACTTCTTCCCGGCCTCTTCGCCACCGCCCTGCACAATGGCCGGGTCGCGGACTCCCCCGGTCCCTTTCGTCGGCTTCATAACGGGAGACCCCTTATTTAGGGCCCTGAAGGAGACCGGGTTATTGCGATTGCTGAGGTAGAAGTAGACGTACGGGTCGGCGCCGAGGAAAAATGCCCCGAGGTATCCAACGAGACTCGGATCGGCTCGCTCAGCCAGTTGGCTGCTGTAGTCCTCGAGACCGAGAGCCATGCCCCTGGCCCCGGGCTTGTTGAGGACCGCGGCGAGACATGATATCGAGGACAAGGTAACAGTCAGTGCCAGGAGACGCGACCTAGAAAGGACAGACGAACGCATCGTGGAGCCGAGGCTCTAAGGAGTGTCGCTATATTGTCACAGAATGCATGGGGTGCTAGGAGGAACAGGACCCAGAGACCGGGGAGTATTGAGGGAGTGTCATGGCTGCAGACCTGCGGGAAACCGGGTCCAAGGCATGGGCCAGAGGGTATTATTATACAGGTGGCCCGCCCGATCAAACAGAACAACCATCCAAGAGCCTATGGTCGTGCGCAAGGTATCCCCACATTGCTCTTTGGATATCTTGATTGTCCCATTTAGCCTCGTGGCCCATGCCAGTTGACGGGAGTACATGGCTAAATACCGCCGCATCACCTCGATATGGAGGTAGCCGAGTTACCAAGAATGAATCGCGGACAATGGCGAGAGACAAATTTAAGGCATCCTTGTAATTCGACCCTGCACCTCAGCAGGCGAAGAAGGCATTTCGGGGAGTAAATATGGCGAATGCGATGTTCGAGTTGTCCTGATTGTTGGTTGGACTGCGGAGTGGGGGCCTCGCGAGGGTTCGGCACCGGAATCCACGGCCAAACTGGGCATGGCCGGTGAGTCGTACCAACATCGAAGCGCTCCAATAAAGCGGCGGATGAAAGACACCTCATCAGACGCGGAACCTCTCCAGCACTCTTCCAAGCTCGTTCCATTGCCGGAGGATTAGCAATTTCAGGGACGTCTCGACCAGCTGAGTCACGCAGTGCACCTGCACCTTCAACCCGTAAACCATGGTCAATTCACCGCTCTCCGAGTTCGTCTTCTAGGGATGTGTGGTTGTCAGACACGGAGATAAGCCCGATATGTCGCCACTCCTGGCCCCCGACGTTTCCTATCATTGATCGAAACGCCTCGGCTCTCATTTCGCACGCACTTTGCGAGATGGCAGAGCCCTGCGAGTCTTGTAGGCTTTCTTCCTCGATAAGAACATCGTCCGCCGGTTGTTGAACCCTCTCAAGCAATCGCTCCCGCGGAGTTCGGAGCTGGAAGCTGAAATGGTCGTCTGCTGACTGTACCGCATTGGAGCCCGCATTCTGATCCAAAACGACCCCCGTCGCCAACTCTGTGGCACTGAGGAGCTCGGCGCCCGTACTCGCCGTTGCTTGGTTCAATGGAAGGGGCTCCGCGAGGGGAATTCCCATCGAGCTATCGGTTGCTTGACTGTCGACATCCTTCTGGCTAGGACGGCCAGCATCGATAAGGGATTCCATAAAAAGGTCGTGTCTGAATATAGTACCTGAGCAATATCCTCCAAAGAGTTTCTTAATCGAAATGCTATTCATGGCCCATTCTTGCGGCCTGACGGTGCAGGGCCATACGTCTTTCGGTTTAAAAGCCCCGACCAAAAGGCAAAGCTCTGGGTAAGATGAATGTCGGGAATAGGGGAAAGTGATTAATCTGGGCAGAGATGCTGGGTCGTTCCCCGGCCTGGGGCGGGGTGGCCCACGCCCCAGTTGTGATTTCTTAGCAATGGCTTGAATGGCCGCCTCAAGCATGGCCTCGTTCTGGTCTCCAAACGAAGACATCTCAAGGTCAAGCGAGATGTTGCGGCCACTGGCAACAACGTTCAGCAAGAAAGCCCGAATGTTCTCCTTCAGTTCGTCCGGTATATCGTCAATGTCGCAGATTCTACCTTGGGGGTCAGCGAGGAGCGAGTTCAATCGAAAGTGTTGCAACACCCACACTTGAAGCAGATGCTGGATTTCTTGGGGAGACAAGGAGTCCAGCTCGGCGTCCCGCTCGAGATCGTCACCTCCGCCACCGATACCCATTTCGGCAACATCTTGACCATTGGGCAGGTGCGTAATGATTGGCTGGATCCAAACAACTGGCGCGTTCTGGACAGTTGAACAATAGTTGCCCTTTTCGCAGCTGTGTAAGCGCACGTTTTCATCCGTCGTCAGGCATCCTTCATGCCGTGTGTTTCCACACATGAATCCAACCAGTCCTGGGGCTTCAGGGGCTAGGTGGAATTCCGCCCCATATCTGTTACTCGTATCCTTGCTTACGAGGGAGTTGTAGACTCGCATCTTGTACTCGTCGACATGGATCTTGGAGTGTCAGAGTAATGTCAGAGTAGAAGGCCAATTAGAGGTCCGGCATGAATAGCCTTACCTTTGAGCCCAGTGACTTTGAGAGAGCCACCCAGACGTCCTCATAGCTGCGTTCTGGGTTAGCAAAGTCTTACCACAGTTGAAAAATGGCTTGCCTACCCATATGTCCAAGCCTGGAAATGAAAGACTGTTTCGGGAGGGTATTTTGCCACCTTTTGCAGCAGCTCCTGAATGCCTTCTGCTTTGGTCTGAAAGTCAACATCTTCAATGAAGGAAGTGTCGAGGTAGATTGTGTCTAGCGATTTGGAACCGCATGCATACTCCACCAGAGACGGGCTCCTCATGAGGGCATTGACAAACCACGGCTCGCTACGGATATCCCCGGTGTAGAGTACGGCTTTCCCTTGCGCCTCAAATACTGGAATGGTCAGGTCAACGATGGCCGGCGCAAGGTCACACGACACCGAAACAGGAACTCACAGAACATGACCGCCCCTGGGCAATGGTTGGCGTTGAAGAGGGTAACCTGGATGTGGTTGCCCGGTTCAAGCTCCAGGGTGGTCGGTGTCTCTAGAGGAATAGGTTTCTGGTCTTGCTGTTGGCTCCAAGTTGAAACCCAGGGAACTAAATCACTCACAAGCAAGTTCTTAAGGTGTTTGTACGTCTGGATCCGTGCCTCGAGAATCCCTTTAGCATAATTGATGCGGCATGGAAACCGCTCAAGGCGGAGCAGCAGTTCTCTCGTCGCCGCCGAGCAGTAGACGCTGAGTCGTGGTCAGAAAAGCCACAGCGAAGATCTGAAAGCACTCACAATGGCGAGCGTAGGCTTTCCAACCCAGCCAAGTGGTCGCTATGGATATGAGAAAGGAAGCAGGCCAGAGGGGACGTTCGGCCAGGGCTGCGGCGGAAAAAGTCCACTGCATGATGGGTCAGCGACAGTTGTTTTATCTATCGTGGTTAAATAATGAACCTCTGATATTGGGAAACTCGGCCACAAGGCCGTCGAAGGTTGACATCGGGTCCTGTCAACCTGGGGCATAAACTGCTAGTCTTTAGCTTGGAGAGAAAATTGAGTTATTGCAGAAAGAATATCGGATTCCAGTAAGAAGTCTTTTTTGGCAAAGGTGCATTGCAATGGTACTTGAGACCATTACTTCTGCTCGTGTATCTGTTAGGGTCGTCTAGCTGGACCGGAACAGCAGGCAGCAATGTCAACCTGGAAGCGCCAAAACATGAATATTCAAGAGCTGACACGCAAACAAACCAATCACTCCATAACAACCAGACTAAATCCAAGCATTCATACACAAAGGGAGGAGGAGAAAAAAAAACCAAAGATACAGCATTATGGCACTTACCAGTCGCCTCGTCACCTCTCATATTGGAGACAGTGAGAGTTTCACGTGATTCACTAGATTATAATCAACATAATGATATCATCGGTGTTGCGCATGTAGTAGGCACGAAGTACGGATTAGAAGACGAGAAATAAGAGTCTGCAATAGAATGACCCTTTGCCGACCAAAAAAAAGGATGCTTGCAAAAAAATTGCCCACACACGGAGTTGAACCGTGGACCTTATCGTGTCGTAGCTAGTACGAGCGATACGCGCTAACCACTGAGCCATATGGGCTTCCATTTATGACAAATGTCAACCTAATGAGGTATATAGCTTTGGCTACAGGAGGGTTTTGCTGCGCGTCGGGTCTGTGACCAGGCAAGCCAGGTGCCGCCGGGCCGGAATATTCTCACCAGGTGACAGTATCTTTCTTCGCATTGTCAATACCACCGTCGCTGACTGTTGCTGTTACTATTTCTATTGCTGTCGCTGTTATCGCTATTGCTATCTGCTATCACTATTGCCATCATTGTCATTGTCGACATTGCTTGCTCTCGCCGTCACTTGCTTCGCTTTGTTTTTAGTGCCATCTACTGGGACCCGCCTGGGGCTGTCACCACCTGCCTCGCGCAGACCTGAAGCGCATTACCAGACGGATTGGATTAGGCTTAATCACGTGATAGAAAAACGCTCCAAACAACCCCTTTTGTGGAGACTGCTCCCCCCTTATTGGAAAGCAAGGGATGCACACAAAGAGCTGGGCTAACTGAGGGCTTCTTGGTCTTCCACGATTATGGTTTCTCATAGAATATCCGGCATTGTCCTAGGTGAGGAGTAGAGAGAGCTTACATGTCGCTAGTTAAACGAAGCTTCGCAAGTCGCTGAAGTGGCTTAGATCTATGTCTGTCTCACTGCTGTTTGCAGCCTCTTTGGTGCGAAATATGTCGTCCTAAGTAGCAAATAGTAAGATATTGATAGCAACTTAATCAGCGTATATGCAAGAGAAGTAACTGATGACAAGGAAACTAGAAAGTGCTGCTAGTTTGATAAATGCGAGATTGAGGGAGGAAGCAAACGTGTGCTTGTATATAACTTTGATAACTTAGCTACTTAGAAGCATTATGGCTTTGCTTTGCTTTGTCTTATATTGCTCTTAATGAGAGGTTTGGTAAAGAGCTATAAGCAAATTATGCTGTAGCTTGCATTGGGTTGGTAAGACTTATCTTATATGAGGTGAATGAAATGTGAGAAGTTTATGAGAACAGGCATGCCGCTACAGTAGCCGGTGCTGGGAAATAACCATATAGCTTCAAATATTGAGTGACGATTTCGACCAGCAGTGGTCATGTTGGTAAGAGTATTAGTTTCTAACAACCTATTCCACGAGCACGCGGGTTCAATTCCCAGCCACTTTGATCCTTGCACGTACCTAGGCTCGTTCTTAGGCTGAGGTGGTTTCAAAGTATTGTAGGCATCTGGGGGCATCTTTTTTTTCTTCCTCCCTCCCCCCCCTTTTTAGACCACTGTGCGGGGGTTGACCTCTTATAAGGGCTCTGGCCTGGACAAGGGCATTGTGTATGCTCTAGTGCGCGCATATTCGAACGCCTAAGAAGTAGTGTAAAGGAAGCCTCTTTCGATTTCTTCGAATGGGTGAGTGCCTTTAGAAGCATGTGCAGTTGATGTCCTAGAGAGTCGTGATGGCCTCGATAAATATGTCAGAGTCTCACATAAAAATTCAGGGGTCAGGCAGCCCAGCCGTACGTATTACCCCATATTTCTCTACGGAACGCCACGGCGCGAGCTCCTTATTCACCACCCGACTGCTGACAGCTATTTAGGCTGCCAGCAACACTACACACAGGCACTACATCAAGTCATGACGCTCATCAAGTAGTCAAGCCCGTTTTCCCGCCCACGCGCCATACTCAAGGACCATCTCGACATCAAATTCTCCGTCCGTCCTCAACTGATACTGTGGCAAGGTTGCGGGCCCGCAGGACCCGGTACCAAGCCCGTGGTAAAACCAGTCGAGATGAGCAACGGTATCGTCCCGATTGCGCCTGCGCAGCTCGTACGGGTGCGCGCTCTCGTCCAGATCCGCGGTGGAGCATCGCAATGCCTGGAAGCCGGCGCCATCCAGGCCCGCAAAGCCGGCGCGGCCTCCCAATTGCCAAACGCCTGGCTCAGCTTCTTGTCCCGGTAGCTCTCGCCAGGTCCCCGGCCGAACCACCGCACACGCTCGCAACCCGCAAGCACCAGGGAGAAACCAAAACGGGCGAACGAACGACTTCGGCAGGAGGGGCCCTCTCGGTGTCGCCGGCACGCGCACGTGTATGGCCATACCGCCCAGGCGAAACGTCGTCTGCGTGTCTACGGACCAGTTTAGGACCGGAGGCTCGACTCGGCCCTTGCTCACGATCTCGACGATGCCCCCCTTAACCTCCCACGTCACTCCGATGGCGTGGCTCTTCGCCTGGTGCAAGCGGCGGGTTTGCCAGTCCACGTACAACCTGAGTGACCCCTGATAGCGAGGAAGTTTTGCCCGATAAATTCCACCTCAGGAGGCCTGTCAAGTGGTGGCAGGGCGGTCTCCCAGATCTGCCTACTGTTGGGTTCGATGCGTCGTAACTGTCCAAAAGCAACAAGATGGCCGGCCGTGCCCCGAGAAGTCGCAGCAGCAAGCGTGAACTCAAGATTTAGGTACGATTCGGGGATCCTCTAGTAGTCCCCTGGTAATCAAGCTTGCCCTCGTATGTGGCCTAATGTCTGTATGTCACAGCTTAGTCGCGTGATTAATCGAGCTTGAGGGTTGCCTTACTTTGGGGATCTCCACCCCACCACCTTACTCCTTCCAGCTGTTGGCAACGATCGACCAGTGGCATCTAAGATGGTAAAGACTGATGAAGTCATAGAGATAGATGATCGTGACCTTCCGGCCGTCGATGCTCAAGGTCTGCATAGGCTCGATAGCATTCTTGTACTCTACAAGGCTGGGAGTCGGGGTTTGATCGGAAAAGCAAAGTCCGTCCATGACAAAATTGCCATCGTTAGGGTCGTCCCCGAAGTCGCCGCCGTACGCGATATACTCTTCGCCTTCTTTATTCTTGGCCCGTAAGCCATGCGAAGCATAAATATCAAGACCCCATAGGGAAGGATATCTCAAAAACGCACATGGTTAGCCCATTCCCAGCAGAACCCACCCATGAGTACCAGATACTCGTAAAAGACATCGATGTATTCCTTTATTGCGCCCGGCACGTTTACCATTGCATAAATATACTCGTAGAGCACCAGAGGTTTCGACCAACCTGCCTGTTTCGCAAAGTCGATGCAGTAGTCGACAGGCGCATACATCCTGCTGAGGAAATCCGCGGTCTGGGCCGACTGGTCTCCTTCGTAGTGCACTAGCCGGCTCTTTTCAACTAATTTGATATAATCATACATGACCTGGTGGTTCCAGCCATAGAACAATGCTGGATGATTCTTGCCACATCACCATTTGACGGCCCGGTCGACGTAGGCATCCTCCCAATCAGGGTTGTCTGATGTAAATTTGGTAGGATCATCACCGACAACTCCGAGCCCTGGCACTCCAAGTCGCATTCGTCAATAACGCAGAGGCCACACGCCCTCAAATAGAAGCCTGTATTGATGGTTCTACCTCGGCGTTCACTTAGAACTGCGTGACATAGCGCCCACATTCATTATCATCGATCAGGACGAAACGTCCCTGCCTCTGTAGGCACAGACCGTCCTTTCATTATCGGACCATTAATCGACCAACTAGTGATTATTTGAATGAAGCTTATATACGGCATATTCAGCTACTGTCTATTGTTTCTTACATTGCTAGGCGGAATACTCTCGACTCAGAGACGCCTTCTCTTGACTTCTTGGTTGGCAGAAGAAAGCGGCCTTTTGAAACTGCCCCTCGTCTTACTCGACGATAATACTCCGATAGCCCGGTCTAAATCTCCCCCCTTCAACAATACCGTGGCAATCACAATCCTCTTCCTTATCGCAGTAGTATCCCTCAACTTGGCTGAGTGTTCCAAGCACCAGAGAAACAAGTTTCCCAATGCATCTGCATCGCCTTCGTAGTCAGGGGCTATATCTCCCATATCGATCAAGAGCAGTCTCGCAGCATGCAAAGCTGTCGATTCGGGCTGTGTGAGGACGACGTTCCAATGACAGATATCCCCGTGCACGACGCCGCATCTCGAGAGCTTCTGTATACCGCAAGCGAGATCCAGAAGTTGTTCCTCGCTGATAGGCAAATTTGTCACGGTCGATGAGGAGCCCATCGCTGGAGAAGTAGAAGCCGTAGATCCAAATCTATCGGAATCGGCGACCGACATACCTAGTAGGTCAGGACTACAACCGGCGTAAGGCATGAGAAATCCAGCAATCTGATGACTATGAAGTTCGGTATCTATATCATGCAGATAATCCTTGTTGACAGAGTGATTCGAGACGATCCAGTTGCTTGTCTCGTCGTGCAAGACCACAGCGAGAATAGGCACGACATTAAATCGTCTTTCCATCACGTAGTTTTGATCCTTGGAGGCACTTCCCCGGTCTCTCTCGATACACCGAATAATGGCTTCCCTGGTACGAATCTCGTTCTCGTGCGATTCGACATCGCAGTCGAAATCGATACGCTTGAAGACGCACTTCCTGCCATCCTAGAGATAGTAGTTGGCGCCTCGACTGAGATATGTCTTCTCGCATAGCTGCTTAAACCTGGTTGTTGGAAGCTTGTCGGAAGGCCTGATTCCATAGCAGAAGTTCTCCGAAATTGGCCTGCGGACTAAGGCTTCCTCGGAGAGTTCGAACGTGACCGGGAAGCCGCTTGAGTTCGTGCTGATTGTGTTCCAGGGAGGAAGAGCGGCCGTCGAGTGGTAGTGTGCCTTGATATGCTTCTCAACCGTCGAGCCGAGCCACTCGTCGTCAGGTACCTCGTCGAGTCGTGTATCGTGGCGCCAGTCTGCATCCGGCACTACCGGATCTCTAACATTGAGCTGGTACCATCGGCGATTGGCCAAGTCGTAAACTGCGGCAGAGCAACAGACGCCGGGCGTGATGAGGTTCGAGTAGGCTTCGACCACAGTCTCATGCCAGATGCGGTTTGCTTCCATATCAAGTTTCTGAGTTCCGTAAACACGTCCGGAACATCATCGACTGGAGAAGAACAAGCGGTTGAACAAGATCTAAGCTTCTCTGGACAAACTTCTGGAGAAGGGCAGGAAGAGAACTTCCGAGACGACAAAAGTCTCGCCAGTCGCCGTCTGATAGTTCTGCGTCTAATGGCAAGAAGCACTAACCCTCGTCATCACACAGAAGCAACAGATCCAAGCAAGGACAAGGCGGTGGAGGTGACATTGCAAAGTAGCCAATAGAGGTTGTAGAAGATTGAGGATGCCGGACGGGTGGACCGAGGTAGAGATGGTGCCGGACGTTGATGCGGCTCCTCCCGTGCGCCGGGATGGATGCGGGGGAGGATCCAGGAACATAATTGGCACATACTGACCTGCATGCTTCTGCAGTTGGACGGGGACAGCCATGATATTGGTACACTACTGTTAAGCAGCTTGTGCAGGTATACGTATCTACGAAGGAGCCATTCCAAAGACCAAGGCAATGATACCTCTGTAGTTCAAAGCGGGTTCGAAAGGCGACTCGTCGATTCCAATTTGGGATTTTCGGGGCAAGCTCCAGTGGACCCACCATTTCTAGTCCCGCCGGGGGTTTTTGTAGTCCCTCCGTGCTTCAACTTTCTAGTCCTACGGGCATCTTTGTAGTCCCGCCGGGCTTCAACCTCCGTTTTGCCTGCCTTTCTGGTCTTCTCTAAGTCTCGTTGGGCCCAGCAGCTCCGACAATTCCAACTAGACTCCTCTGAAATTCCTCCAATGGTTATGCCGGTTTTTGGGGCTTGCGGCGATTATGCACTCCGGTGTCCGGGATGGCGGCTCCCGCTCCCGGTAAGCAGGATGGTCAAGTGTGACGGTCCGAACCCCCGTTCACGCTCACTGCGTAGACACTAACTAGCTCGTCATCGAGTCTCGAAGACCTCAAAAGAGGCGTCCACCGTCATAGTCCATACAAGGGGTTGGACGCCTGAACGGGCCATGATTGCAGCGCTGGAGCAATCTGCACTCCGTTACTTGTGTTGTCTGCTGGCTGGATCCCGTTCCACGGTACCGGGACTTCCAACCCAAACCACTACGCGGTTTGGGTCCAAACCGGGTAGGCCTCGATCGTCTTTTCCAATCATGGAATTTCAGGGTAGATCTCCGGGCGTGGGGGCCCGCAGCGGACGAAAAGCGGACGGAGAGGCTCCGAAACGCCAGGGAATCTCGCAATGGCGTTGCACTCGCGGCATCTCGGAAATGATGCGCTGGTAAGGACTCGACGAGGGTAGCGGCGGGATGGAACTGATTTGTGGGAAATTTCCCGCGAAAGAAGACCGTTGTCCCATCTAGCGCTGATGTTCTATATTAAACGACACCACATCCCCGCCCCCTCGGGACGGCCCTGGGCTGCTCATTACAGACGTCCGAACGCGCGTTGTCGATCATGAAGTACCTTCAGGTTACTCAGCTGCTCTTAGCTGCTGCCGCGCCTATCAGGGCGGCCTTCACGTGGCAGAATGTCAAGTAAGTGGTATTCAGTGGGCAGAGGAATAATATCTCAGGCTCCCTTCTTATACCTAGTCGGAGAGACATCATGTTTATTCGCAACGGCGGTTGTTATCCTTGTCCGTGGGCACTATCAAGGACATTCACTGACTCCGACTCGCAATCAGGATTGGAGGTGGCGGAGGTTTTGTTCCAGGGATTGTCTTCCACCCCAAGACGGCCGGGGTAGCCTACGCAAGGACAGATATCGGCGTACGTGCAATCCTCATCCAAGACCGTCAATATAGTGACCAACCTTGATGCAGGGCCTTTACAGGCTGAACTCGGACGACTCATGGACGGCGGTCACGGACAGTCTGGCCACCGATGCAGGATGGTGAGATGAGACTCGAATTCTCTAGACTTCCTTCGCTAACATGAATTGGTCCAGGAACAACTGGTAATTAACTTAATCTGGCATTGCTTAGCTCTTCTAATATGTGTCAGGGGCATTGATGCTGTTGCTCTGGATCCTCAGGATGCAAATAAGGTGTAAGTAACCAACCTGCCTTGAGGTTCAATCGGGCGTTGTTCACATGAACGAATGTACCCCTGAGTGCCCTAAATCGTCGTGCTCAAATTCGCAGGCTAATTATTTAAACAAAAAGGTATGCGGCGGTGGGCATGTACACCAATTCCTGGGATCCGAATAACGGCGCTATCATAAGGAGTTCAGACAAGGGCGCAACATGGAGCAGCACCCGACTTGCCTTCAAGGTTGGGGGCAACATGCCAGGGAGGGGCACTGGAGAGCGATTGGCCGTCGACCCGCAGAACTCCAAGATCCTCTATTTCGGGGCCCGCAGCGGCAATGGCTTGTGGAAGTCAACAGACGCTGGCGTGACGTGGTCTCAGGTTACCAGCTTCAAGGCTGTGGGGACGTTTCGTCCTGACCCTTCCGACCCGAACGGCCTCAACTCGGACATACAGGGTCTCACTTTCGTGACCTTCGACTCGGGCTCGAAGTTGGTCAATGGAGCCACGTCTCGAATCTTCGTCGGCACCGCAGATAACACCACAGCCACCGTGTACGTCTCCGAGGATGCCGGCGCGACCTGGTCTGCCGTTCCCGGCCAGCCCGGAAAGTATTTCCCGCACAAGTGCAAGCTCCAGCCGAAGGAGAAGGCGCTCTATCTCACGTACTCGGACGGAACGGGCCCTTACGATGGCACTTTGGGTTCAGTCTGGCGCTTCGACATCACCTCCAAAACGTGGACCAACATTACTCCCGCCTCGGGGGACGATCTCTACTTTGGGTTTGGTGGTCTTGGTGTCGATATGCAGAAACCCGGCACTCTCGTTGTCGCAACCTTAAACAGCTGTGAGTAAAGCATAAAGCAAAGACGGACTATTTCAGGTTGAACATAGTCTCCAACGGCTTTAGTCCAGGAGCAGCGAGATAAACCCCAGACAACGGGTTAGTCGGCTAACGAATTCTGCAGGGTGGCCCGATGCCCAGCTATTCAGATCAACCGACTCAGGCGCCACTTGGTCTCGGCTGTGGGAATGGTCAAGCTATCCTGACATGAACCTCTATTATTCGATGTCGACAACCAAGGCTCCCTGGATCTCGCCCTTCATTAAGTCGGACACAAAGGTGCTGGGATGGATGATCGAGGCCCTCGAAATCGACCCGCTCAACAGCGACCACTGGCTCTACGGCACCGGCTTGACCATGTTCGGTGGCAGAGACCTGACTAAGTGGGATACCAAGCATAATATCTCGATCCAGGTCATGGCAGACGGCATCGAGGAGATGAGCGTCCAGGAGGTGGTCTCTGCTGTGGGCGGAAGCGAGCTCCTCGTCTCTGTCGGCGACGACAATGGGTTCACGTTTAAGAGCAAAGCCGACCTCGGGACGGCTCCAAAGACCTTCTGGCAAAACCCGACATGGTCGACCAGCAGCTCGGTTGGTCAGTGTTGCTCCCTCCGCCCAGGAACTCAAGGCCTGATTCATGTTGAAGAGGATTCTAACTTCTAAGCATTTTAGATTATTCGGGGAATCATCCTGCCAACGTCGTTCGCGTAGGTAATACGGGAGGCTCTGATACCCAGCAGATAGGCATTTCAAGCGACGGAGGAGCAACCTGGAACATCCGTACGTGGAGGAACGCTCGTGAGATCCAGATTCGCAACTGACCTCTCGGTATAGATTACGGCGCATCAACCAGTCAGTATGGCGGCAGCGTGGCCTACTCCGCCGATGCCGACACAATCCTCTGGAGCACATCGTCGCAGGGCGTGCTCCGCTCGCAATACCAGGGCAGCTTCACCAAGATCTCCAGTCTCCCGGCCTCGGCCGTGATCGCCAGCGACAAGCGCAACAACTCCTACTTCTACGGCGGCTCCGGGAGCTCCTTCTACGTCAGCTCCAACGCCGGCAGCACCTTCGCCAAGGCCGGAACCCTGGGCAGCGCCAAGGCGATCCGCGACGTAGCGGCGCACCCGACGACGGCCGGCACCGTCTTCGTCAGCACCGACGCCGGCGTCTTCCGGTCGACCGACTTTGGCGCCACCTTCGCGGCGGTGGGCGGCGCCGTGACCGACACGCAGAAGATCGCCCTGGGCCTCGGCTCGGGTTCGGCCTGGAACCTGTACGCCTTTGGCGACGGCCCCGCCGGGAAGAAGCTGTACGCCACCGCCGCGACCGGCGCTCCCGCCTGGGTTGATATCCAGGGCAGCCAGGGCTTCGGTGCCATCACGGCTTGCGTGCTGGCGGGCAGCGCCAATAACGCCGGACAGGTCTACGTCGGCACCAACGGCCGTGGCGTCTTCTGGGCCCAGGGCACCGTCGCCGGTGGTGGCGGCGGCGGCACGACGAGCACGAGTACGAGCAAGAGTACGACGGCCACTCCCACTACCACCACCAGCAGCACGAAGACTACTCCGAGCACGTCAACGACCAGCACGAAGACTACCCTGACCACGTCCACGACCAGCTCTGCGCCGCCGGCAACTGGTACGGGCGTATCCAAACACTGGGATCAGTGTGGCGGGATTGGGTGGACAGGTCCGACGGCCTGCGAGTCGCCGTATGCTTGTGCGAAACAGAATGATTGGTACAGCCAGTGCCTGTGAGCGGACTGTGGCGGGAAGCTGACGGATCGCGGCATCGTGTTGACCGGAATTGCGGTGTAGTCCGTACATGGTCTTAGTTTCATTTGCCGACGTTTAATTTGTCCATATTCTTAGCCTCTTAGGCTCACCACCTATATTCGTCGGCGAGCCATGTGTATATCCTGCATAGTATGTTCTTTATTCCTGGTTCTTCCTCCACCTAAGTCAGGGTATCCTTGCCAGGTGCAGGACAGCCATCTTGTCAAAGTTTGCGATTGGATTGCATCTGTTCCAGTGCAAACGCGGTGTGTCGCCCATTGGCCCAACCGTCCCGCCGGAGCATGCCTGCTCCCACAATCGGGTCGGTAAGATCTGAACGCACAGCCAATGTGCGCTCCATCATGGCGGGAATTAACTCACACGCTATGCTAGCGATGCTCTGGGGTCGTCACCTTCCCAAATGTCTCCACCACGCCGACCAATGTCTCCGCACGGATGACCTGGTTCAGGTTGGATGGAACGGACCGCTTTCGAGCTTGGGTTATTCTCCCCCTCCCTTTGATTGCCGGGACGCGCAAATGCCGAAGACGACTTAGCTCGCCAGCAGCCGCTTTATAATAGAGGGCCTTCCCGCTGCTCCCAGCTCGAGAGCCCTCTCACCTTTTCACAGGGTCGTTAGCTCCCCCTGTTGTCAGACCCTAGGCAAGACGACAGTTGTATCAGAATAAGACATCGTCACTAGCCACCATTGCCACTATCAACGCCTTCAAGATGGATAACTCCCACTTCGGCACCCCTAGCAAGGAATGGACGGACTACTCCGAGGCCCACCCGGGCCTCGACATGGACTCGGACGGCTTCTCCGACTCCGTCGACTTCCCGTCGCCGACAGCCCTCCGCGACGTCGCCAACGCCGTCAAGGCCGCCTCCTCCAAGGCGCTCTTTGCGCGCGACGGCCTCGCCTCCAAGGTGACCGTGACCCACCACAGCATCCCGACCAGCGACGGCTCCTCCATCACGATGCGCGAGTACCGGCCCATCATCGCCGCCACTACCCCCGCCGCCGCCGCCGCCGACGATCCCCTCCCCGTGTACGTCTACTTCCACGGCGGCGGCATGCTCCTCGGCACCGCCGACGGCGAGGCCTGGAGCTGCGCCACCTGGGCGCACAGCCTGGCCGGGGCGGCGACCCCGGCGGCGGTGCTGCACGTGTGCTACCGGCACACCCCCGAGGCGACGCACCCGCGCCAGCACGACGACGCGTGGGACGCCTTCGAGTGGATCGTCGCCAACGCGGCGGCGACCGGCGGCGGCGCGCTTCCCGGCGTTGACCCCTCGCGGCTCGTCGTCGGCGGCGTGTCTGCCGGGGCGTCGCTGGCGGCGTCGGTGGTGTTCCGGGAGGCGGCGCTGGCCAGGAGGGAGGGCCGGCCCGGGAGGGTCGCGGCGCAGCTGCTCGTCATCCCCTGGCTCGTGCACCGGGACGCGTACCCGCTGCACCTGTTTGCTGACCCGGATAGGGCGTCGTTGCTGCAGTGCGAGGCCAGCCCGACGCTGCCGAAGCCGAGGTATGACATGTTCACGGATCTGTGCCAGGTGCGGGATCCCCGGGATCCGCTGATGAATGTCGCGCTTGCGGAGGAGGAGGAGCTGCGCGGTACGCCGAGGACGGCCATCGTCGCTGTGGGTTGGGACATGTTGAGGGATGAGGCGTTCATCTACGCTGGGAAGCTGGAGAGGCTGGGGTGTCCTACCAAGAAACACATCTTCCCGGGCCTGCCCCATGCGTTCCGAAAGTACCCCGGTTTGCCGTCGAGTGTGAGGTGGGATGAGTTGATAGTCGAGTCCCTCCTGTGGTGTCTTGACGAAGGTGCCGAGGGGTCTACCCCTGGGGATTGGAAGATCGAGGTCCCGGAGCAGTATCGGTAGAAGACATAGACTGTATTTACGCGAATTCATAAACTTTGGAAGAGCTCCTGTTCAAGCTACCTAGTATGTTGATCATTCCATGACCTCCTTTCCTTTCGCCTAGGAGGAAGTGGTTTCAGTCGGTTGTCCTACTAATCCTTGACTTAGAGTATACGATTGAGAGGTAGAATTGCACCGTGGACTATCTACCGGTCAGGTGTCAATGACAACAACCTAGAATACAAAGAAAAAGAGAGTTGCAAGAATCCTGAGAGAAAGCTATTCTACCGATTAACAAGTTATCATTCCCCTAGCATTAAAAGTCCGAGGTCGCTAAACCCACGATAGCAAGATGAGTTCCACCATCCTTCGAAGTCCTCAGGCGTAGTTTCAACCCCAACCCCTCAACAATCCACGGCAAGGCCAACTACAACCAGGCCAATTACAACCAGTTCGGCCTCCTCACAGGCATATACCTAACCAGCTCCCTAACCCCAATCGCACCACCCCCCCGACCAACCACCACCTCCTCCCTCGCACCCCCCACCCCAGCAGCAGCCAACCCCCCCCATCCCAACACTGCCCCCTACCTCCCCCAAGTTCAACTCCGTAACATCCACCCCAGCAAGCCGAAACATCCAATACTTTCCCGACGGCCCCGCCCCGGCCCCGGCCGCCATCTACCCCACCCTCCTCTCCGAGTGGTTCGGCGTGCCTCCTCCGTTTCTGGTGTCCATCCCCCTCCGCCTAGTCCTCGCTCCGCGGCTGCCGGCGTTGCGGAGGCGGGTCACGGCCTCCCGGGCGTCCCTTGTCCCGAGGGGAATCTTTGCGACTTGGGGGAATTTGGCCCCGTAACCCAGCGGGGCTCTCCTCTGCGTCTCGTCAAAGGTGAGGCTTACCGTGTGCCGCGCCGCCCGCGCGTGGCCCGGGTTCTTGCGCGCCTCGGCGTCCCACTTCCGCCGCACGCGATCCCAGTCTTGGCGGATCAGCTGGGCGACGGCGCCGATGCGGACCTGCTCTTCCTCGAGTTTGGGGGGTGCGACTTGCATTCGGGTGTTGAGATTTGTGAGGAGGTGCTTTCTGAGCCAGAAGCTGGCCGAGAGGCCATGATCCGGCATGTTGGCAGGCAGAAAACAGTAAGAGCCAGATGAGTTTGATTCCTGGGTCCCAGAGTTATCGGAAATAGTCAACCAAGTTAGTAATGTTAGCTTCGAGGTCAGTTTCTCTTGTGGGATTTCGGACAAAGAAAACAGGGTGTTTTCCTCGGGTTTTAAGGGAATTACAGGTCTGCTAAATTCACTGATCAAAAGCAACCGTCTTTATTCACCGTCTCGGAGTCTATAGTAAGGAAACTGAAACCGCTACAGGCTGGTTGCACAAGTAAGAGAACAGTGATATGCAACAGGACAAGTGGTTTTGGCTTGGGACTACCAGCCAGTGGACACGCCATCCTGTCAAACCAATACCATGGCAGATTCGCCTACCCCCGACTGCGGCTAAAGATGCAGTGTGTTGTCTGTCTCTGTCCCTTGGATCTCAAGTCAGAAAGGACCCAGCTGATGCGCTCTTGCTGGTCAGGGGTGTTGACAAGACCAGCACAGGGCGAGAAGGTAAAAGCCCCTAGATATCGTTGTCCACATCACACAAGCTATAATTTGGGTCGACGGATAATTATTGATTGATATATTTGGTTGGGATTGATACTGAATGGCCGGAACACTGTGCACGTAAATCCCCTGACTAGGAAGCCTGTGCCCATTGCGGTCCAGCCCTTGATAACTCTGTGGAGCGATGTCATCTTGATGCGTGGGAAAGTAGGTATGCGCGGGTATCGGAAAGGAGAGACCCGACCAACTTAGGAGACAGACTGGGGGCTGAGAGAAGCGTCACCCAAGGCGAGAGAGCAAGCGCAGAAACGACAATTGGAAGACAGAAACAATACCGAGATAGAAGACCAAGCCCATTTACGGCCCCGGATAGCCCATCCTACACAACTTATCCATTACCACTTACACAATAGGAGCACAAAATCAGCGTACATATTCCACAAAAGCACTTCCACAAAAGCCCCAAAGAGAGGAAGATGAGAGGAAACGTGAAAGTTCGTCGACACATCATCAGTAACAACAACCACCCCATCACAGCTTCTCATCCCACTCCTCCTCCACCGACCCTTTCACACTCGCCGGATAAGACCGATGAGAACAAACCCCAGCCCGACAAAACGTCACCTTCTTCTTAAACAACCTCTCACTCTTCACCCCCCTCACCACCGGCCCGCCAACAGCCTTCAGAACCGCCTCGACGTCCCCAACGACCTTCTCCCTGGCCTCGGCGTACATGACCCGGGCCCTCCCCAGCGTCCGGGCCCTCACCCCCTCGTCGGCGAGCTCGTCCAGCCTGACGGCCAGCCGCGCCGGCATCTCGCGCCTCTCGGGCCCGTCGGGCGCCGCCGCGCACGCCGCGTCCAGCTCGCGCCACCGCGCCTCGCCCATCAGGCGCGCGTGCGCCGCCAGCACGGGCGCCATGCGCCGGAGGGCCGCGAGGTCGAGGCACGCGCGCTCGCGGAGGCGGGCGAGGGCACGCGGGGACGGGCGGTAGGGGACGGGCGGGTGGAGGGTGCGGAAGAGGAGCATCCCCAGGAGGCGGCGGATCAGGCGGAGGAGGATGGGTTTGGGTTTCTTGGAGTGGACGAGCTCCTTGTTGAGGAGGGTGAGGATTGCGCCGAGTCTGAGGTCGATTGACTCGATGGATGAGACGATGGAGTCGATGAGGATGGTTGGTTTGTCTGGTTGGGTGCGATGGGGGAAGCTTGTCAGTGCTGTGCTTATGGGTAGCCTTTCCTCTTGTCCTGGGAACCGACGTCTAGCGGATCGGAGAGGATATACAAAGACCATGGGGAAAGCGGGGAGATGGCCTGGGAGTAACTCACTAGTATCCTTTTGCAGCATATCAAGGTAATGCCCTAGGTCATCACATATCTGCTTCTGTTCATAAAACTGGTTCTCGATGCAGTCGAAGGCGGCCTCGGTACCGCAGTGGTCGTGGGATGGGTCCTCAACCCTCTGCGTGATTTTGACCAACTAGCACCCTCATAGTTTAGTATGAGCATCAACTTCCCCTTGAGCATCAAGCCGAGATCGAATGGGCATCACTCACCTTGCTGAGGACCTTCTCGACCGTCTCCGCAGGGCCCCGAAGCGGTGCTGCTAACCCCGGAAGCGTCCACCTCGCCACCTTGTCGTCGTGCGGCTTATCCGGATGCACCAGTGACCTATATAAGTGTTGCGCTAGGCTTCAGCAGCTAGTCACCGGATATTTGGGGGGGAGGTTTCGTGAGTCTCTGCGTTTCTGCTTACCAGAAGACAGGCCGGCTATCCTCGTCGAGGCCGACAGCGGCGCCAAAGCCGTCATCGACTAGGGCCGACGAGACAAAAGGGTATAGCTCGTTGAACAGCTGCTCATCGGTCTTGCGGGTGCGGTACGATTCGGCAGTGAAGATAACCTGGGCGAGAATTTGACTAGTTTAGTCACGCGGTCAAGTCCCCAAGGGGGATGGATGGTGTTGAAGAAACGCGTCTAGCAAGGTGCCTGTCCACGAGGTGCTGACCGGCAGGCACAGCTCTCATGTACCTGGATGGCCAGCAGCGGGGCAGCGGAAACGGAGTGCGGGCTCACCTCTAGGGGAACAAAGACCTTGCCCTCCTGATTGGAGTTTGCAGTGGTATCGCTGGGGACGGCATCAATAGTCCATCGAGATGTGGGACCCCTCTTGAGGCGAAAGAACTCGGCCAGGGCAGCATTATGATCAGCCAGCTTGGCCAGTTCGGCATAGAGCCAGCACTTGAAGTGCAAGGGAAGCAGCTGCTCAGGGTCCGCGAGAGGAATCATGATGAGGAGGGGGTCCGGATGACGCCCTTGAGCCACTGTGGCACTGAGAGCAAGGAATATATGAGAGACTCGGGGAGTGTGAAGCGGGAGTGTGTGTTACGGCTACTGAATAAGAGTCAGATGGCCTTCTAATTGGCTTCTATGTCTCAGAAGCTGGAACTGTCGCGATCCAAATCCCGGGTCAACGAAACTATCTCGAGATGGAGAGAGAGAGAGAAAGAGAAAGGAAAGAGACAAGCCGGAGAAGAGAGAGATGGGGAAGCCCCAGGCATAAGGGGGGCGAGTGAGTTTCGAGGGATACAAAACAGCTACAACTGGGTACCTTGGTAGCTCGAGAAACTCAGTCCGGGTCCGAGTACCTGGCGGTCTGTACATGTGGCCCCGGGCATGACTTAATGATGGCATCCTCCATGAATGCTGGTGGGAGAGAGCGGAAAAGTTAACTGGCGTATGAGAAAACAGAGTTCCGGGCCCGCGTGATTTGCGTCGAGACAAAGGGCTGTGAGCGGTCCAGAGCCGAGAGCCTCTGAGTCCGGCGAGCAGGTGCATGCGGCAACTCCCAAAGTCAAAGAAGGCGGGGTGTTGGGCGAGTTGGAGCAAAGATGGAGCGAGCTGGAGCGAGCAAACACGCCTGGGTTTGTAATTAACGCTCCTCTCGGACACCGGAGAGCCAAATCACGCTGCAAGCCACATTGTTCGGTCTATCGAGTTGAGGTGTCACAATCCCCAGAGGCTAATCCGAGTCGCTGACGATGATCTGTTGGAAGCTTATCGATGAATCTGGGGCTTGGCATCGGGACAGCATTCTATCATGAAGGTGGGTGTGACTGCATCTTATTCGCATCCAACAGCATCAGCCATAGTCGCCATCAAATGAGCGTCTCTCGGGAACGGGACTAGGAAGCCAGAGAAACCATCATGACTGGATTAGCCGGACGGAGGGACGGGAATGCATGGTGTATGGGTTGGTCGGACTCGGGATTTTGATCGGCCGGTGAGAACCTTCCTCGCGCATCTCCATAGTTTGATTGTGTGTGTTGCCTGTGTGCGCGTGAGTGTGTGTGTTGTGTGTTCAGCCGGGTGACCACTCATGGATGTCTCATTATCGATAATAGCCACCGACGTAGGTCGGTTACTGTCAGCTGATACAAGCCCAATTCAGGCAGAGCACGAGATGGTAATACAAGAACCGGTGAGGCTCCAACCGGCGACGACACCCCTCCAACGAGCCAACCGAGTGATATGCCACCAGTCCGTACGCCGAGTCCCGAAACACAGCCCCTCCTGCGCGATGCGCAATACGCCAAACCTAATACAATGGAGTACAGAAAGGGCTCCCCTCTTTCCCTACTTCGTTCTTGCCCAGCGCCTTCCACCGCGATTAAAGCAAGCCGCATTTCCGCACTAGTCCTCCGTCTCCATGCCCTCGGCCACCTCATTGGTACTACCCTCTTCGTCGCCATCGGTCAGTTCTAGAATCCTCGCGTACTGAACCGTCAACCGCTGCAGTTCGCGGAATTTCCCTAGAGGCGGCCGTTAGTTATCCCGCCATGTGTGTAACGTGTGTGTGTGTGTGTGAGAGAGAGAGAGAGAGAAAAAGAGAGAGAGAGAAAAAGAGAGAGAGAGAGAGAGAGAGAGGATATGGGGGTGCGTAATTACCTAGGATCATCACCACGCCCTTCAGGAGCTCTTTTCGATCCCATCCGCAAATGACATCTCCCTTGCTGAACCAGCCCTTCCCCTCGTCGGCCGTCGCGCCTTCGGGCTGTTCCTTCTCCCGTAGGACTCCGCCTAGCAGGCTGTTGAGAAGCTCCTCTACTTTCCCTCGGAGCCCCTCTGCGCCGATTCTCTTGGCGTACATGAACAGGTATAGGCGGAATTCCTCTCTGGACTCCAGAGACAGAGCGCCAGCAATGCGATTCTCGAGGTGGGCGATACTGACACTGCTCTCAAACCCTTCGAATCCTTCCCTAGAGAGGAGAGCCTTGATGAGGCGCTGGAGCGTGTATGCACGGCCCTTGAGCAGGAACTCGGTCGTGGTGTGGCGCTCCAGGAAGGGGATAATGCCAGCCGACACGTTTGTCTCGCCATCCTCGGCAGCTTTCGATGCCGTGGCTGGGCCCACAGCCGTGGATTGCAGGGCGCTGATGGACGAGTCGTTGCTGTTCCAGTACTGACTGCCAACAGCCCACCATGACTCGGATAGGCGCTGCCACGCGTACAGGTCGGTCGCATAGTAGTATCCATCCCCGTTGCTGAGGGTGACGACGATGCTCCCCTTGCTGTTCAGGTGAGCCGAAGTGACGCCGGGCGCGGGCGTTGCGCCGTGTGGGGTGAGTGAGGCCGTGGCTATCTCGAGGATTGGCCCGAGAGAGATGGGGGGGTGTGGCGAGGACATGGTCTTGATATTCCAGACGTAGCACATGCCAACAGCAGTGATGCAAAGCAGCAAGTACTCGCGGCACTCCAGAAATACTGGCTGCGACTCCAGCACGAGAGCATTCATGAGCCTGCGGCCTGCCGGAGTCCACACGTGGATGCCGGCGTCTTCGCAAGCAGCCGCCCAGAAGTTCTTGTTTCCCGTCACAAGTATGACGGCCCTCGGCAGATAATCGTGCCATAGCGTGACGCCTCGTTTGATGGCGCTTATGCGTGACGGGTCTCTAACCTGAGCCGGGTTCTTTGCTTCGAGGACAATGTTCTCAGGGACTCTGGTGGCATCCTCGAGTGTGCTCTCTCCCTGGAGAATTCCTTGCTCGAGGGGCCGGAGGATGTGTGATCGGATTTTCGGCACCGCTAATCTCACCTGCGACACAGAGATCGCAGGATTTAGGACGGCCGGTCTGAGGAACTCTGGCGTCGGAACAACCCCGTGGCTAGGCGCTGTCAGGGGAGCAGGCTCGACGCCGTCGACGCCGTTTGTCATTATGGCGATAGGTCCCGTTGCCAGACGCTTGCTAGGTAGGTCTTCCTCGTCATTCCCCTCTATCGCAGCAGCCTTTCTCTTGTTCCCAAGTAGCATCGCGGCAAGGCCACCTCTTGGCAGTCCCTCAAAAGGCTTGCTAAGATCAAGGATCGTCTGCGGTGCGTCGTTCTGGGCCGCCTTGGCCGAGCCAGCCCCAACGAGCTGCGACTGCGGTAAGGACGATGTCCCCGTTCCTGAGCCAGATACTAGAAGGGGAGCAACTCTCTTCTTGCCGTCTTTGGTAATCGTGACTCTCGACTTCAGGGCTGCTATCCGCTCGGCCGTCTTGTCCGCGCTCTCTTTCTTGTCCGTGCTGTCCTTCTTATCCGCGCTGTCCTTTTTTTCTGCGCTCTCCTCGGAAGGAGTCTCTTTGCTCTGTTCGTCATCTTTGTTCGTCTCGCTGCTCTTCGTCGCGGGTTTAAACCCATTAGTGGAGGCACCAGCTGAAGCAGCAGCGTCCTTCTCGGCCGGTTGGAAGTCGCCCATCAGAGCGCCCATCCTCGACTCTGCCCCACGCAGCTCGCCCGCCTTGCTGTGATTCTCGAGATGCAGAACGTCGATATCTTCGGCGATTCCCATGCCTTTCCTCGAACCTCCATACTTCTGCAGTGCCCGGTCGTTTTCCTCCGACTTGGCAACCCAGCCCAGCTCGCCGACGTCAAACTTGACGGCAACAATACAGCCGTCGAGGCTGGAGGCGAATAGCGTCTGCCCGTCGGGGGTCCACGCAAGATCGGAAATCGACTTGGATGCCAGATCCTGGAGAATGACAAGCGGTCTAGAAGTATTCGTGTTCCAAATGCTGAGTGTCTTGTCTTGCCCTGCTGACGCGATGACTGTAACAAGGCCAGCGGAGCTTTGGCCGTTGTCGCTTGCGCCGTTCTCCTGAGGCTTCTTCGTGTAGAACAAGCGGGGGGAGAACATGCACACCTCAGTGGGGCCCTCGTGGCCGATGAGATTGATCTCGCTATCCCATCGCGTCCGCTCTATGATGGCCACCGAACTGACGGGCCCGTTCACGGCGTTGGCCGCAGCGATGTGGTTACCGTCCGGTGACCAGCTACACCTCCGGAAATACGTAGTCAGTGGCGAGCTCTTAAAGGGCGCACTGAGGGTGGTCTCCAGGACAAAGTTGTTAGCCATGTCATGCTGTGTCGCATTGGGAGCCGGGGGAGTAAAGCGGAAGATCTTGATGGTCCGGTCGTCGCTCGCGGTAGCGAAGTATTTGTTGGCGGGGTCGAAGGTAATCCCCTTGACGTGGCTTTGATGGACGGCTAACGTCTTGAGCTTCTCGAAAGTATGCCCCGACCAAACCACCACCTTGGAATCCAGGCCCACCGACACCAAGAGGGAGTTGTCCGCTGACCAAGCGAGGTCTTGAACGTCATTCTCGTGCCCGACGAGGCGCTTATATGTCTTCCAATTCTCGACCGGAGGCGGCTCATTCGTCCCTATTAACGCGGTTAGCACCCAGCCAGTGGTTGGCAGATTCGAGACAGCCTACCAAACGAAGCTGCATGGGATGGTGGGTTGCTGTCGAGCTGATAGATGCAGATGATTTTGTCGTCGGCGCCGGATGCGAGATACCGGCCATTTGGCGAAAAGCGAACGGAGTGGATGGTGCCTAGGTGGTGGCTCATATGGCACAGCTGTCGAGGTTTCTTGTAGCTGGGGTTTTCGGAGTTATAAATCGATTCGGTCGACCATACTCGGACATGCCCATCTAGGTTCCTTAGCAAAGCACCTAGTCAATGCGCATAACAATGCAACGTACCTCCGCCGGCGGTGGCCAGCCTAGAGCCGTCGGGAGAGACATGACAGCTGTACACCTCGAAGTCCTTCTGCTCCCCTAGAAGTTGCGAGAGGGATTGTCAGTTAATAATTGGGTAGGTTCAGATGGCTGATATACTAACCACTATGGCTCAGCCATGAAGGTTTGATGAGCTGCATATTGATCTAGTGCGGCCAATGTGTGCTGTGACCATGTCTGAATGCGATGCTAGGACGATATTTAATGGTTCCTAGGAAACAGCGATGTTCGTGATGCGTCGCGCTTGGATCCTACTCGCGACGGCACTAAAAAGTTCTAGCGCAAGCTGGAGCTTAAGATTATACGTAATTGAATATGCAACGAAAGAAATACTCCATTACCCATGTACAGTACATATACAATTATCCGAGCCACGTTGTATGCTGTTATCCATTTCTAGGCGTTCCATGTAAACATGCAACCAAACGGCTCTGGGATGATAAATAACAACCTAGCAGTTCATAAACCTCCCTTCCAGCAGCCCCTGAAGCAGCTTTTACTTTTGAGGATATATAAGAGGTCTCAGAGGAACCCTAATCCCGTCTTTCGGGCTGAGATGTGTTCGTCACAGAGAACACCTCTTTGGTTCGCGATGGTAAGCTCTGATGGCTGGTCTACTTCCTTGCTTTGCTTGCGAAGTGATGGGAGAGGAGAGGCTGATAGGGAGCAAGGCAAGAAAATTGTTCAACAGAGGGACTCATCGGGGCCCGTGCAAAAACAAACGACTCAGCCTATCACTACAAAATCCTAGCTACATACAGACATTGCCCCATGTTACCCATCCCTAACAGCAAGCAGAAAGTCCCAGCGCCCAGTCGTGGTACGATATCCATCCAAAGAAACAAACAGGCAGACAGACGCAGATACACCAGGCGCCGAAACGGAGCCCGGGAATAACTGGAACTAGAAGAAACTCATACGCGCAAACTTGGACAAGGCACTGTTTACTTTGCCGCAGCGGCCTTCTTCGCTGTCTTGGGCTTGGCCTCAGCCTTTGGCTCCTAGGGTCGGGGTCAGCGAACTCTCTCGGACACCATTAGATCTGTGGCGAATTAAGATCCGAGAGGCAGTGGGAGGGAGGTAAGGGGAGGTAACTAGAGCAAAACGACAAGTGTTTGTTGTTGCTGCTGCTGCTGCTGTTGTCCCATGGGCCACACCAAGAAGTGGAGCAGCAAGGATGGCGCAAGAGAAAAGCGCGACAGAAACACGGCAAGAGAGAAAAAATGGTCGGCGAACGCATACCTTCGCAGCAGCCTTCTCTGCCTTCTTCACAGGGGCCTTCACGACAGCCTTGACCTAAAATGCGGTGAGAAAAACGCGCTATATGTGGGGGGTCTCTCGCGGACGCGCCATGACTGATATGTCATACCTTCTTGGCCGTAGTGCTCTCCTTCTTGGGAGCCTTCTTCTTGGACACACCGGTGGGCGCAGTGGCCGCCTTCTTGGTGGTCTTCGGCTTGGTGGTGCGCCTGACAGCAGGGGCGGTGTCGACGGTGGGGAAGACGCGGGGCTTGGAGTTGCCCGTCTGCGAGCGGGTGCCTTCGCGAGCCATTGCGCAACGCGTCTATGTCTGTCCGATTGCCTGGTCGCCAGTGTTAGCACACAAGGTCAATGATGACAACTTTGAGGAAGGCGAGGGAAGATGCTGCAACGCGGCGCGAAGCAATATCAGCCGATGCGCCTGCTCTTCCTGCGCCTGAGCGCGACTGACCTAGCGGACTGGAAAATGCGGCGAAATTTGAGCGGAGTTGCTCAAACGCGATAATAACCTTTGCAATGATAGCTTGGGATAGGAATATCGAAGGAGAGTTTGGATGGCGTTGGGAAGTAGAAGAGTTGGAAGGTGTGGAAGAGGGAGGAGGGATGTTGTCGCGAAACGAAACGTCGCAACGGCGCAAGCGGGAGAGGGAGAAAAATAACGGGGTTGGGGCGACCTCCCCCCCTCCTGCTGTTGTTGCCGCTGCCGCTGTCGCCTGAGCTGGCAGGAGCTTTTTGTTGGCTTAGAGAGCTTCTTCCCCAGATTTAGGCTCCCCCATCCTCAGCTCTCAGCGGGCGGCCAGCTTTGCCGCCCAGACTGGTCTCTCTCGCCTCGTCTGAGCATCTGCCACCTTTCATCTTGGATCGCTTGCGCCCACGAGTCCTGTCTATTCCCGCCGCGCGCATTCAAGCTGTCCATCTGTTCCTGGTTTGACCCTAGATGAAACAGTAGAGGTAGCTTTTCCCGGCTTTCAACGGCAAATCACGATCTCCCCCTCATGCTGAAGCCCCGGGTTCTGGCTTGTACTTGCGATTGCGATTGATTGATCCAGCCCCTCGTCATACGGCAGGAAATCCCTGGTCTTCATGGTGTCTGCAATTCATGGGCCGCAGAATCCAAGCGATTAAGAAGCTGCAAGTCATAGCACGACATCCATGTTGACTGACGACTTTCGCGGGTCGAGGCCTTCCCCCCGGTCTCTCGGTCTTCTGACTTATTAGGTTGCTTCGCGCCTTTTTTCTTTTGGGGGGGGGGGGGGGGGGTTTTCTGCTTATCGCCCTCGTCTCCGTCGTCCGGTTCTAGCAAGTTGACTTGTGCCCGCTGACCATTTCTTTTCTTGTTGTGCCCGATTGCCACACAGATCATCCATGGCTGTGAGCGGTTGCAGGAAAGTTCAAGCATACGCGGTCCCCGCCGTTATTCCTGGCCACCTGGTGGGACGAGGAGTCGAGGACCCACCGGACGAGCCACGGACATCCATTTTACTATGCGTAGGTTTACCAAATTCAACCAAGCAGCGTCATGAAGCTATCTCAAAGCTCAGCCAGCCGATGGCTCTGTCCACCATCTAGTTATATCATGACGGCAGAAATAAGCCATTACGTCTTTCCGAAAGATTGAAGATTGAAGATTGAATTTATTCGTCTCACAACGCCGCTCCTCAGTCAATCATTCTGGGCAATGAGATCATTGAGACGAGACTCGCTTGCGCCACAGCTTTACACATTCGAGAACCACAGACCAAGGGCCTCGATTGTCGAGTAGCAACACGCGACCGGCTGCACTCAGCCCTCAGCCGCTCCAATCTTGTGGCCTGCCCATTTGGCGCAGATCATCAAATGCGCATTTCCCAGCCTCACCTCCTTTCCTAGAATTATCAACGTCGCATGCCGACAACTGCCACGGAGCGACGCGGTTTGTTGACCTCTCGCCAAGATGTTTGGACGCGGCATGTTTCGCTTGCTTCTCCTGCTCACCTCCCTGTTTCTGCTATACATTTCTTTCCCGTATCTGTACCACTTGGGCGATTATGTGCGACAAACGAACCCCTTCTCCGGCCAGAAGGACATCGAGCGGCCTTTTGTCGCCACCGAGACCGAACTGGCCTGCCTCAACGGTACCCCCATCCCGGGCGACCCCCACGATGATGGCACTGCCAAGCCCATACCCAATGTGGTGCATTTCATCTTCGGGCTGAAGAACCCCCTCTACCACCCGGGCGCCGGCCACTTCGACTTCCTGAATTACCTAGCCGTCCGCAGCGCCCTCGTTTCCCTCAAGCCCGACGCCGTCTACCTCCACTACACCTACCTCTCCGAGCCGCCCTCGCCCTCGGCCGATGCCGACCCGCTCACCAACCCGTGGGTGCGCCGCCTCGCCAACGACATCACCCTCGTGCACCACCCGCCCTGCGCTAGCGCGGCCCAGTACGCGCACATGAGCGACACCCTCCGCCTCCGCCTCCTGCTCGAGCATGGCGGCATCTACTTAGACATGGACACCTTCGCGCTGCGGCCATTCACCCACATCCTCGGTCCGCCGCACCCACGCGACACCGTCCTCGGCGCCGAGGGCGGTAACCGATGGGGGCTCTGCAACGCCTTCGTGGCCGCCCGCCCCAACAGCACCTTTGTCGCGCGCTGGCTGACCAGGTACCCAGCGGCCGACGACGCCTCGGGCGCGGCCGACCTCGGGCGGGCGTGGAACTACCACAGCGTGCTGCTGCCGCGCGAGCTGGCGGCCAGCCACGCGGGCGAGGTATGCCCGCTCGCGCCGGACGCCTTCTTCTGGCCCACGTGGACGTGGCGCCACGTCGACTGGATGCACGCCCCGCTGGGGCGCGCCGCCGCCGACTTCTGGGCCGCCGAGATCGAGCGCCACGGCGGCGCCCTGTTCGCGAACCAGCTCGCCTACCACGCCTGGGGCCAGATGGCCTATGACAGGTACCTCAAGCGGCTGAACCCGCGGGTTGTGAGGGACAGGGACACGAGGTTCAACCTCCTTGTGAGGCGCTTCATGGAGGATGATCTGTAGGGCCGGGACCAGGACTTTGCTTTGCTCTGTAGGGCTTGTTGGCGTTTCCCTCGACGGACGAGCTGGCGCTTTATATGGGTTGTGTTTGGGAATAGAGGGAATAGGGAACTCTGGATACCCTTTCTACTAGGTCCTTGGCGTCGGGGGAAAAGGCGTAAAACCAAGGTTGGTTCTATTTTGTGGGACAGGTTGGACGGGTTATGGTCTGGAAAATTGTCGGCCAACTAGATTATGTCACTGCTTAGCTTGGAACAATATATATTACGTGTCCTGTGCATGCTGGCTAAATGTTGGGTCCGTCTAGTTTCGTCCCATGAACGCCTCTAGAGCGCCTAAAATACAAGGCCCAATCTATATCCCGGTTTCATAGCCATTTACTTCTAGGCGTGGACAAGACCCAGACTTCTATTTCCTCCCGAACGAGCCTGCGTCTCAATCAAACCAACTCCGGCACCAACCCAGAAAACTCGGCCGCCTCGCCGTATTGGGCGACTTGAGTGTGTTCAAGCAGTAGCTCGCGTGGTTCCGCGTCTTGCGGCCATCGCACCCGCAGCGACACCCGATGCCGCCCTCCTGCTCCGGCGCGAACGGGAAATCACCCAGCGCCTCGGATTCGGGCAGCTGCCGGCCCGGCGCGTTGGCCGGGCACTGGAAGTACCAGTCGTGCCGGTAGCCAAAGTCTTCAAAGTGGTGGATGCGCTCCGGCTCCACGAGCATGGCGAGTGCTAGCGCGTGCACTGCGGCGTCGCCCCACTGCGAGAGGTGTCAGAGTGGGTGGAAATAGGGGTGTTTTCGGGAGACATACCCGCTCAAAGTAAAAACCTCCAGTCTTGTCGAGATGCTCGAACAGATCCTGGTAGCCCCTGCCACGGAAGAAGTCGAGGCTCCCAATCTCAAAGTTGCTCCAGTAATGGCAGAGACTCCAGCCGTCGCCGTATCGGTCGCGGTGCCGGGCCCGGCTCATCATGGACCGAAACGGCCAGGGGAGCCACGAAGGGGTCATGGTGGCCTTCCACAATTCGGTGGTCTTGATGCGATGCCTCTCCTTCCAGTCGGCCACCTCGCGGAAGAGGCCGGGGCACGTCGAAGGCACCTCCCACAAGGCAATCGTGAACCCGTAGACCTTGTCGTGCTTGGCCATCTCCACGAACGGATCGTACGTGATCGAGCAGTGAAAATCGACATCCGGCTCGATTCGCCAGTACCACTTGTACTTCTTCAGGGCCTCGAGTGTGTAAAACTTTCTGGATGGCCAATTAGCCCGCCCATTCTTCTTCTTTCGCGCACTCTGAGGTTCCAAGCCACAGCGCCTTAAACCCACCCCGAATAAAATCGGCACATATGATGATATGTCTCTCGCCCCGCATACAGAATGCTCCTCTCCCCCTGCCTCCTGATGCTCTCCCTCGCGGCGTCCTCGTCCATCCAAGAAGGGAACGTCCACTCGTCGCGGGGGATCACCTCGAACACGGCCTCCCCGCTGACGGCGGCGTCCATGGCCTCGACGAACTCGGGCTCCCACGGCTCGTCGTTGAGGAAGACGACGGGGTAGTGGAACCAGCGGTTGAAGTGCCTCTCGACGCTCTGCACCGTCTTCAGCGCCCCCGCGAGCTCGCTGTTCCGCACCAGCATCACCAGCGCCGCGCTCTCGCGGCGGGCGGCGGCGGCTGGCTCCCGGCACCCGATGTGGAAGGGCTCGTCGAGCTCACCGCCGGGCCGGGAGACGGCGAACTCGCCCGTGTGCACGAGCACCTCGAGCAGGGCGGCGAGCAGGGCGAGGAGCAGGATCGTGGCCAGGCGCGGCCGCGAGAGCAGGCGAGCCAGCGAGAAGAACGACCGGGCGCCGGGGAGGCGCGGCGGGCTGAGGAGGCGCCGGAGCATGGCGGCGGGCCTGGTCAGGCGCTATGAGCGGCGAGCGAAGGGGGGTCGAGAGACGGACGGCGGTCGAGAGATACGGTCGCCCATGGGCGGGCTTAGAAACCCAAACGGGTCGGCCGCAGCCTACAGTAAAACCCATCAGTCTATGTTTTGTACAACATAGGGGCAGACGGTTAGACCATACATATACATACCTAAGGCACCACTCGTGTAGATCCTTCCGTCGAATCAAGGTTAGTGAGATGGAATTGAAGCTTCGAATTGAACAGCCGAGTGCTTGTAAGGTGCTCGTGTGAGATATTCACTCCCAGACCGCGGAAGGACCCAAGTCTCAGGGGTCGTAGAACGGACATGACGATGTCGCCAATGGCAGCTCTCCAGAGGGCCTTGTGGAGGCGTTCTCATCCAGCCAAGGAAATAGCCAGCTGCTCATCATTGTCTCAAAAACAGGCTAGCTTGCTGCTTCCCACATCCAAAATTACATAGTAGCTGAACGATCGACACTGTGGCAGATGTGCAACTTGGGGCAATGAATTGTGTGGAATGTGACTAGTTTTTGACAGCCGCGTCATCCCTGCGCAAGCGAATTGTGCCACCATCTTTCGTCCTCTCCACTCTTGTTCGTCAGAGGCGGCCGCTACTCACACAGAGCCCTCCAAATATCGACTCTCCATTGCCTCGATATGGCTGCGAACTGCGACTTATAACACGAGGGGACCCCGGATACAACGACCATTCTGTTACCCAGAACGGCGGGCTAGAATTCCCTTCTCACCTGTCAAAGCCTGTGCCGTCCTCTCAGCCTCTGACGCCACAAGTCCATGGCGTTCGCTGAGGCTGAGAAATTCTTCGTTGGGGCTTATATTCCGTTTCTTGGCGGAGGAGAGGGGCTAGAAAAGGGGAAGCGTGGGCCTGCTTTTAAATCGGCTGGCCTGTTAGCATCTGGCGTACACAGCCCCGTGTTAGCCCGCAAATGAAGGAGAATAAACACGAGACGCGGCCTCGGATTGGGGGCTCAAGGCGGTGAGAGAGATTGTCTCACAGATCAGTGTAACATGATCAATCAATGGCATGTCAGAATTGTTACAACGTGTGCTGAGCAGTGTTTCCCCCGGCCCCCCATCTCCTTACATCCGCGCTATTCGTCTGTGCCATTTCGGGCTTATACACACACTTATCCGATGGATGAACTTCGAGAGATGGGCTTCGAGTATGCTTTCAAGACCAGCCTTCGCGTGGGCGTTGGTCGAGTGCAGCTTCTCGCCTGGACAGAATACGGCGGGCCTGCATTAAGAGCGGGACTCTCCAAAAGGGAGTGCCATACCGTTTCCCCCAAAGTTTTCGGCACAATTGCAAATAGAATGCCAACAGAAGTGAGATAGAGTTCACAAGAACGAGCAGCATGCTGCGCAAGACAGCCACGGCCGTTCAAGCTTCAAAGCTAATGATGCAGTCCATGTAGTTGTTGGCCGGCTTGAATAAATAACATGTCTTTCCCGCCCGTTTGCCCGACATCAGCAAACCCCGGGAGGATGTTGTGCCTCAGTATTCCGGTAACATGGACAAGGACAGCAGCATCTTTAATTTGGAATTCAACCATGACCGGCTCTTGCGGCGGAGGGGTCGGCGTCGGCGTCGTGCCGTCTCGTGGATTCGCTCGCGGCCTCGGGCATTTCTCAGGTTCATGAGGAGGCCGCCAGTCTTGCTGGTGCGAGTCACGAGGAACGTAATCGTCTCACTTCTCTCCGTCCTCATCCTGGTGCCGTTCCTGAGGCCCTCATATACGAGACCACCCCCCCACTACCTCGATCTTGCTAGCCGGTGCAAGGAACTCACTCCAGGGTGCGCAAATGTCGGCAAAGAAAAGATATTCATCAGCGTGACCTTGCACGGCAGAGATGGCTATCTGGGAAGGGGGCCGTGGGGGCATCGGGTAGTACAACTCGTTAGCATCCTTGGTCCGGCCAATGTATACCTCAGCATCTACGAAAATGGCAGCGGCAGGTACGGAAAGGTCGCGCTGGAATACATACGACAGAGGATCGAGTGCCGCCACAGGATCATCAGCGACGAGCATGTTTCGCTGGCCGGCTTCCCCAACGTCACTCTTCCAGACCGATCCCAGCGGACAAAACGAGTTGCCTACCTTTCGGAACTACGCAATCGCGCCTTACGGCCCTTAGACATGCTCGACGGCGGAGACAACTTAGTCGTCAAGTTTGACAAGGTCCTCTTCCTCGACGACATCGCCTTCCGGCCTCTGGACGCCGCTCATCTGCTCTTCAACACCAACATGAAGCCCGACGGCCAGACAGACTACCTAGCCGCCTGCGCCCTAGACCACTCGAGCCCCTTCCACTTCCACGACGCCCACGCGCTACGAGACGCCGACGGCTTCGCCAACACCCAAGCCGTGTTCCCGCTCTTCAGCAGCCAGGGGCGCGGGCTCTCCCGCGCCGACATGCTCTCCGAGCGGGATGCCGTGCGGGTCAGGTCGTGCTGGAGCGGCATGACGGCGGTGCGGGCGCGCCACGTCCAGAACACGGCCCGGTCGCTGCCGGACGGGGACTTCCGCGCCGTCGGCAGGCACGTCATCGACCCCGCGCGCCCGACCAACGCCACGGTCCCCGTGCGCTTCCGCCACGAGCCAGAGGTCTGGTTCGACGCCAGCGAGTGCTGCCTCTTCATGGCGGACATCGCTCAGGCCGCCGCCTCCGCCGGCGGCGAGACCACCACCACCACCATCGCCGGGATCTACGTCAACCCGTACGTCCGCGCCGCTTACTCGGACCGGACGCTGCACTGGCTCGCCGTCGCGCGCTACTGGGAGCGCTTGTTCGTGCTCGTGTTCGACTTCCGGGCCCTCTTCGGGCTGGCGGCTGCTGACGGGAACCCATACCGGGACGTCGTGGAGGGCCAGAGGTTCGGCGAGGAGGTGTGGGACTACGACGAGGGCCGGTGGAGGCTGGTGGAAAGGGTTGGCCGCCCCGGGCTCTTCTGCGGCATGCGGGGGAGGCAGCTGATCGATCAGGGAGGAGAGCGTGGCGGCGACGGTGACGGTGACGGGGCGCACGGGGGTATGCTTCCGGGACAGATGCCGGGGTTCTAGATTTTAGCGAAGGGATTCTGGAGTCAGGTTTGGGACAAGTGTATGCGCCGAGAATTCTGGGACGTCGCTTCACGGATATAAGACCGCTGTTCATTTTGTGACATGTTGCTAAGGTGCCTTACTAGGTATGTGAATGTGTTGGCGACCAGATTACTGGTTGCCAGACTTCGAAAAGAATCATTTGCGCCAGCATCTGCCAATTCGATATGTGGTTAGGTTACCTTAGTTTATGGGGGGTTATGGCGGCGGTGAAGTTCTACTAGGTACAGTACCCCTCACCTTGGTTTATTGACATGCGGCATGACTCACTCACCGTCCCTGCAATTACTCATATAACGGCGCACCACAACGAATGCATGCTCCGGTAGGACCTTGCGCAGGGAAAGTACAAAGATTCCTCCCTCTAATTGATGCAACACTTAGCCCCTAATTAAACCTCTGCGGGATTCTTTGCCGTTTTCTAACAAGATGCTGCCGGAGAGCGAGCTCAAAACCTGGCACCGCCATGTCAATGGCGTCAAATACATATGCTCGACCGATCCCAAGCTTGTCCAGCTCGACGCCCTCAACGCCGCCCTGGAGTCGGACTTGCTCTGGTGGGCCAAGGCGCTCCCCGAGGCGCAGCTGAAGAAGATTGTCGAGTACTCCTTGTGCCTTGGGCTCTACAGGGAAAAATCGGACCCACCGGGGAATGCTCAGGGTGTGTTGCTCTCTCGAGTGGCGCGCGTTGAATGGAGCCAGATCACTGACCTCGGTAGAAGACCCGAATATCGAGATGGTTGGTTTCGCCAGGGTTGTGACGGACTACGTCACGATAGGCTACTTGACGGACGTGTACGTGCTGGAGGAGCACCAGCGAATGGGCTTGGGGAGGTGGTTGATCGACTGCCTCGACGAGGGAATAAGCAAATGGCCCGAGATGAGGGGCTTTCTGCTCCTCACATCTGACCCCCATGCCGTCAAGCTGTATGAGAAGGCTCTTGGGGCAAGGGACTTGCGGAAGACGTCCCCCGACCTCATTCTCATGGAGAAACCGGGTGTCAGAGGGTCGAAAAAGCATGCGTGAGGCCATCAACCCCTTATCACTGTCTTCCCATATGCTCCCCCCATCGCCCTCCTCATTTCAATGGCCCGCTTGTAAGGTGGTGCTGTTGGAGACTGGACTGGGTCTAGAGAGACATGGTCGTCTGGAAGTCGGTAGGACGCCTCGGAATCAAAGGCAGAAAGATCGCCGCAGGCTATAAAAGGCGCTATCCACCGGATATCCTTGTGCTTGTCGACGGTTAGATCGTCAATCTCGACGTCAATGATTCCATCTTTGCCGGGGGTTTCCACAGCCGCCAGCGTCGAGTCCCACGCTCCAGTGTCGTAGTTTTGCATGAGCGTGTCAGCTATTATCGGCAATCTCGACTGCCTCTCCTCCAGCATCCTGGGTAGGCGACTGCCAACCCCGAGAGGCTCCTCTAAGCTGGCCTTGAATCCCTGAGGAGGCTGAAAGTTGATGCACACAATAAAAGCCTCTACGCTGCTCGCCCTCGAGGATCGTGGCTTGGCGACATGGACGTGTTCAAAGAAGATCTTTAGTTGGGCGTAGAGCACATCGACATTACGGCCCCTGAAAATCTTGGCGACAAACTTTCCACCCGGCTTCAACACGCACAAGGCAAGGTTCAGGGCGGCGAACAACAGCTGCGATTGCACATAGATGTCAAGATCGTGGAGGCCAGTGACATCAGGGGCGCCATCGCTGAGCACAAGATCGACCGGATGGGAAGCTTGTTGACTCCTTGTGCTCGGGTCATGGTCGGGGTCCAGAGCCTTGAGAAGAAGAGGTACAGTCGCCGGATGCGTGATATCGGCGCGCAGAGTGATGATCCCTGGAAGCGGACTTATCGGCTGTAAGTCGATTGCCACAATCTTGACATCCTTCCTCGGACGGAGGCCATCAGGTTGTGCGACCGAGTCCTGGGCCAGTTCTTGAGAGGGCTGCTCCGTTCCCGAGGCAAAGACTTGGAGCATCTGTTGACGGAACTTGGCTTCCCTGTCCTGCCAGGCAGATCGACCGAACTTCTCCCCTTTGATGAGGACTCTTGACAGAACTTGAGACCAACTCCCAGGAGCCGCGCAGAGATCAACTACTCTGGTGACATTTTCGAAAAGATTGAACTCTAGGAACCTATCAGTATGGCTTAGGCATATCAGGCTAACAAGGAGCCACCACAAACCTTCATCAAGCTGGAGCAGCTTGAAGGCACTTCTTGCGCGCCACCCTTGTTCCTTGGCCAATCTGTAGTAAGCGTCACGCTTATCCTTGGACGATTTCCCCATCTTGCTGCGGCGGTATGATTGGAATTCCTCTTTTTGAGTCAACAATTGGTTGCCAGTTGGCGTAAGCAGAGAATTTTCAGGAGGTGTTGTGGCTTGGGCCGTCGTAGGGCTGGATTAAGGTGTGGTCTGTGCTGTGGCGCTGAGGAAGCCCCGCATTGCCCCTGGCATTTCTTGGGACGGCCAAAATTTTCTTCGGCGATGCTGCATTGGAGGGTCCAAAGATCTAAAGTACTGCAGTGACGACGACCGTCTTTCCACGGGATCTACACAACCATGGATATGAACAAGAAGAAGCGAACGCTTCCCAAATCCTCTACGAACCCGCTGTCTAAAAAGCGCCGCAAGCTTCAACAAGCCGCCTCAGGAGGGAAGGCTAAGAAGCGCGTTGATGTCAACTCGCTGCAATGGCGGACTGTCGATGTGCCCGAGATGTTCGATGATGCGGAAGGCTTCTTCGGCCTCGAAGAAATCGATGGCGTTGATATTATCCGTGACGGAGACACGGTGCAGTTTGTATGTCACAAGATCACTGCTTTATTCCCAACTGCAACTAACCCCTAGGCCAGGTAACCGGAGAGCCGTCGGTAGATGACGGCGAAGAATTCGAGGGCTTCGACGACGAGCCAGAAGTCCCGCATACTGGCACGGCGGATACTAAGGAGGATACCCAGAAACAGCTCACGGGTCCATCAAAAGGAGCCGAGAAACAACCCAAGGGAGCCGAGAAACAACCCAAGACAGCTGAGAAACAGCCCAAGAGAGCCGAGAAACAGCCCACGGACCCCGCGAAAGGAACCGCGAATACAAAAGAGACCAAGGCAGGGGCCAAGGCAGAGGCCAAGGCAGCTAAGAAAAAGAAGGATTCGGCCGCGAAAACGAAGAGAGACCCGGAGCTAGAAACCAACCTGTTTTCGAAACTCGAGAACATTGAAGACCCGTCCGAAGACACAGATCTTTCGGCTTGGGCCCCCCTTGATCTGTCGCCACAAATGCTGACCTCGATTGGTGGCCTCAAGTTCTCCAAGCCCACAGCTATCCAAGCTGCCGCCATCCCGCAAATAATGGAAGGGTTCGACGTTGTCGGAAAGGCGTCCACCGGGTCAGGAAAGACACTGGCTTTTGCTATACCAATTGTGGAATATTGGCTTGCTCGTCACGACCAGAAAGAGAAGGAGGCCGCGCCGAGGCATCCCACGGCATTGATCCTCTCGCCAACAAGAGAATTGGCCCACCAGATTACGAACCACATCAGAGAGCTCTGCGCCGGCCTGCCCACGTCTCCATACGTCTGCAGCGTCACGGGTGGCCTGGCGGTGCAGAAACAGCAGCGACAGCTGGAGAAGGCAGACATCGTTATCGGCACGCCTGGCAGACTATGGGAAGTCCTTAGCTCCGGCAAAGCTTTGCTCAACTCATTCAAGGAAATCCAATTCCTGGTGGTTGATGAGGCGGACCGTCTCCTGACCGAAGGCCATTTCAAGGAAGCAAAAGAAATCTTTAGTGCCTTGGATAGAGTTGAAGGCGACGAGGATGACGAGGAGGAAGAGAGTCCGAAGGAAAGGCAAACCCTCGTCTTCTCTGCCACGTTTAACAAAGGACTGCAGCAGAAGCTGGCCGGCAAGGGCAGGTATGACCTGCTTGGCGAGACACAGTCCATGGAGTACCTCCTCAAGCGGCTGAACTTCCGAGAGCGGCCAAAGTTCATCGACGTCAATCCGGTGTCACAAATGGCCGAGGGCCTGAGGGAAGGCATGATTGAGTGCGGCCCCATGGAAAAGGACCTATATCTCTACGCAGTCCTTCTGATGCAGTCGAGGCGTCGGACCTTAGTCTTTACCAACTCCATCAGCTCGGTCCGGCGACTGACCCCCTTACTACAGAACCTCGGCTTACCGGCCATTGCAATTCATTCGGAAATGGCCCAAAAGGCCCGGATGCGTTCGATTGAGCGCTTCACGGCGTCCAAAGCGGGTGAGGCTGGAGCCTTCTCCATCCTGGTCGCCACCGATGTAGCAGCTCGCGGTCTCGACATTCCCGGCATCGAGGTCGTGCTGCATTACCACGTCCCGCGAACCGCGGATGCGTATGTGCACCGGTCCGGCCGCACCGCAAGAGCCCAGAGCTCGGGTCAGAGCATCCTATTGTGTTGCCCGGACGAGGTCACGCCCACCCGCCGGCTCGTGGCGAAGGTCCATGCCGCCGCAACGACAAAGGCCGCGAAAGCGGGCAAGGAGGACGGTGGCAAGTCAGCCACGTTCTTCATCCGCACCGTGGACATCGATAGGAGGGTCGTGTCGCGCCTCAAGGAGCGTGTCGTGATCGCCAAGAAGATCGCCGATGCGACGCTTGCCAAGGACAGGGGCGGCAAGGAAGACAACTGGCTGAAGGCTGCTGCTGAGGAGCTCGGGGTCGAATATGACAGCGAGGAGATCGAGAAGGCTGGGAAATGGGGCGGCAGGGGGAGCGGGAGGAAGCAAAAGGAGAAGGAGGCGAGGGAGCTGACCAAGGCCGAGCTTGGGGCTCTGAAGGCGGAGTTGAAGATGCTCCTCTCCAAAAGGGTGAATCAGGGAGTCAGCGAGAGATACATCACCGGCGGTGGTGTCGATATCGATGAGTTGTTGAAAGGCTCAAAGGGGGAGTTCTTGGGCAAGGTGGGACTCGGCATCGACGACGTATGAGGCTCCCAGGTCGTTCCGTTTAGTCTATAAATATTAGATACTTCTCCCAGGACTATACTTATTTGCAAGCAGTGCTGGGTAAAAATAATAAACGTCGTCCTGGTTCCAGATTAGTCTATTCTGCATTACCTGCGCCAACCAGAATATGAAGGGGCAAAAGTATGTACATACCTCCTGCGAGTGGGCATTTGAGTCGTGTCATTAGGTCATAGCAGATACTTCACTCCCCAAAACGGGACCAAATGGACCTTACATCGAGGAGAGTTTGGTGGCCGTAGGGTAGGAGTTGGTTTAAATCGTGGCACACGTCTTTAGAATTACCTGAGAGACTTTCATGTATATCCTTGTGACGGACGTTAGTTCATGACTCTGCCGTCGGTCGACTGTCGAATTAATCCAGCTACCGCGATGTAGTCTCCCTGCGCGTGCTCCGGGTAGAGCCATGCTGCTGCTGGATAATCGAGAGATCTTCCAGTGTCAGATATCACCAGTTCACTCGGGCGAGCTGCGCCTGCCTCCTTCGTAGAGAGAGAGCCAGCCATCCTGCCCTCACGTATTTCCCAAATGCAACTGGCGTGATCATCATGAATCATGTCGTCTGCTTCGAAGTAAACATGGATTACCACTTATTGAAATTATACTCTGTGCTGCCCAAGATAAATCCGAGAGAGAAGGATTGTGAGTTCATGATTTGCAAAAGGGGGCCTCCCCCTGGATCATCTCACGTTCTCCTCACCTTCCGTTGACCCTACGACAGACTCCCACTCTTATTGTAGGCATATTTTCTATTGTCCAAAGTACAATACAAATTCAGGTTCTAGTACAGAAATTTTCGCAGCGAAAAGCTATAAATTCTCCTCCAAACCTGCCATCTTCGCTTTGCCCAGAACAACCATCTCCAGACAGCTTACGGAACTGCGCTTTAAAATATCCCGAACCTCGATACCTTTCAAACTTCCAAGAATACTTTACAAACCCCAGAGATTCAGGACGATATGAATTCCAAGACGAATTCCAACATGCCTTTCGATAATATCCCCCAAAAGGTCCAGGTTTGCGCGGTCCTCACCTTCGCCCTGGCCTGCTTCATCATGCCCTACTTCGGTACCGAGCACCCCGAGCTAGAGATTGTCGAGCGAGTCCTCACCAACTGCGAGACGCTCCGGGCTTGGCCTCTACTCTCTCCCCTCTTCGCCCTGTACGTACAACTGTGCGACTGGCTCATCGCCGACACCGTCACTGTTCCTCGAAACACCAGAGACTGGTCCGTGTGGGTCCAGGATCAAGATCCTTCTCCTCCTTGGAATCCGGGCCACACAGCACTCCTCCTATCGGTCTTTGTGCGCTGCGGTATTCTCTTCTGTGCCGCCTACTACCCCATTCGGCTCCTTGCTCGCTTCTCCAACTTCGCCTCGGCAGTCATCCTCTCGGCGATTTCCAACACCCTCTCAGCTGCCGTCTCAGTCCATGCAGAATGGCTTGCCTTCTTCGACGCCTCGGCCGTGGCACTCCTCTCACTTTTCACCACCATCGCACGTCTTCTGGCTGTTCTGGCTCTGGTAGTCATCCATGAACTGAGACGAGGTCTGGACTGGCGCCATGCCCACCTCACGACGCTCCGCAACAGCCAAACGAACCCCACCGGCCCCCATACCACCGACACGGGAATCAGCGTCGGGACGGAGACGCCTCCTTTCTGGAACGGCCTTTGCACCAACGATACCGTAATCTGCCGGTCCATTCGAGACGAGCTTCGCTGGGTCAAAGAGACGAAGCGGGTCGCTTTGACCCAACACAAGAAGGAGTACGACGATGAGCTGAACAAGCTCTGGGCTCGCGCCCATGAACTCCGTACGGAGTACGAGACGAAGATCAAGGCGGCAAACGCCAAGCTGAAGAGGCTCGGCCTCAACAAATCGTCCAGCGAGGCGATCTCGGGCCTCGAGGCCGAGATCGCCTCCAAGGACAAGGAGGTCGAGGACCTCAAGAAGAAGTTGAAGGAGATGCGGGAGAGGAACCAGGGGCTTTGCACCCGCCTCTCCCGGGCCTCGGAGAAGTACGGGGAGGACCTCCGCGCCCTCGCGCGGAACCCCCCCGATGCCTCCGAGGTGGTGGTCACCAAGGGGCGGTTCGACCAGCTCCAACTGGAGCGAGACCGCATGTCGGAGCGGTGGGCCAAGCAGCTCTATCGCGCGGAGGAGCTGGCCAAGGCCAATGAGGCGCTTCGAAGGAAGCTGGGGATCTAAGTATCTCCCATCCTCGCGCGGTAGAGCTGCTTGGCCCACCTTTCCGACATGCGGTCGCGCTCCAGTTGGAGCTGGGAATGTAAGTATCTCCGATGCTCAGGTCAGCTGAGTTGTTTATGGTTGGGGTGCTTTTGTCTGGAGGGTTGGAGGATATTTTGTATCGCGATGCACAGGGAACTGGCTTGGCTCAAGTTGGAACTAGGCATACTTCTTTCGCTCTCCTTGTTCCTCATTTTTCCTCATTATTGCTCAACAGGTGTTTTTGGTCGAGAGTCGCAGGCATAGGCAGCACCAAATACATCACTCTCATATTTCTCGACAACCCTTACTGTTCAAGTATTGCCACCGTTCCGAAACTCCCATAGATGGAGCCAACAACGGTAACAGAACCTCGGCATCTTCAACTTAGAGCATGAAAATACCAACATCATGGGTGCTAAACAGCAGGTTCAGATGAAGGGAGTCCCTGTCACACAAGAGGACGCATTGCTTGGGAATCTGACAGGCAGGGGGCAAGCAGTCTTGACCGATTTTGACCTTCAGAAGACGAATATATTCGAGAACCCCCGGACAGGGATATAGGGGCAGTGGGAATGGATATGGATGGAATCATCGGTACCAACCGATGAAGCAGGTTAGAACTTCAAGAAACACCGTTCCGCGTTTCTGGAAGAAGATCTCCGTCTACGGAGCAGCGACCAACCTATTGGTTGGCCCGGAAGTGCAGCATCGTACGAGAAAGCGAAGGGATGTCGTTGAGCATCAGGAACCCACACCCACTATCGACATGCGCCAAGTCGAACTGCCGAGAGCCGCCAATGGGAGTCTAGATAATCGCAAACCAGGACATGGGCCACAACTTGGGAGGAAAACATAGTTCCGGATACCTGCACCTTGACGTTGGGTCCAGAATGCATATATGGATGCTAAGAACCAATGACACAGCGTTTGCTGGGGACATGACTCCACAATTGTATGTAGGTGGCACAGTGATACACAGTTTCCGCCTACCATGTATACGGTCATAAGTGGGCACGGACCTACGATTTAAGTATCACTAGCATCACACAATTGAGGCCCTCATGAACATGTATAACTGATCATCCATCCTCACCGACAATCTGGTTCAAAGGTTCTCCAAAAACATCCTGATCTCTCCCTAGTTTCGTATCCGACCATCTATGCCCTATAGTATTTGGACTTCTGTCACAGAGACTGGAGGACAGGGAACCACAAGGGATCGATCCCTTAAAAGCCATTGTTCCACAACATCGCCGCCCAAGGCACACCATCACATTGGGCGTTTAGGTGTCACCGCCGCCAGCCTTATTTAGGCATCCACTCACCAGTGGCTACAGAGTTCACGGCACTTTCCGTACCTGTGCCCCATTGATCCGTTTGCCAACAAGCAATTTTAAGGCAGACGTTCTCTCACTACGCGCTACCCAGGGTCGCTCACTGAGCAGCCATCCAACAGGTATAGTGGCAGGTGCGAGAGTATGGCGTCTCAAGCGTCAGGTTCTTCTTTTATGGCCAGCGATGCCCTGGGCCTGAGAAATAATGCGTCGACTACCTCCATAAACGAGATTCAAGGACCGAGGAAATTGCGGCTCCTTGTCGCAGCCAACGGGCCCAAAGATGTCGCCTTCGCCCAGGCTATTGCCGTCCGGCTCTCCAAGGACCCGCAAATCACAACAAGGGCTATTGTCGACGACATGACGCATCGGCTTGCGCAAGAGATCCTTGTGCTGCAGAACCGGTCATTGGAGAAGGGTCCCTGGGCAGATGGGCCCACCACCAGAGATATCGAGGCTGCGCAGCACCAGGCCTTCGAATTGGTCGAGTGGGCTGACCTTCTAGTGCTCGCCCCTCTCGATGTAGACACCCTGGCCAAGATGATGTATGGCATCTCGGATAATCTGGTTCTTGAGGTCTTACGAGGGTGGGATGCGTCCAAGAGAATCCTCCTGGTTCCCGGCATGACTACACAGATGTGGGATAGCCCAGTCACGAAGCGTCAGATGAGCAAATTGCACCGCAAATGGAACTGGGTCAGGGTCATGCCCCCAATCCTCTGGCGCTACAACGGAAACCAGTCAAAGCGTATCGTCACTTGGGACGCCTTCAATGAGGTCGTGGGCATTATCAAGAATCAGGCAGACCTCCTATCGCTGGGCCATGACGTCGACGTTGCCATCCAGCAGTCGACCCTCACAACCTATGGTCCGAAGGCGGAATCAACCCTGCCCCCAGAGATCTGGAGCATCATCTTTGAATACACGAACGATTGGGAACTGGCAAAATCTCTCGGTGTCTTCACAAACCTTGAAATGCCGACAGGTCAAGGATGGCGGCTGGAACCCAAAGATCCGAAGGACCCCCTCCAAGTCTTCATGCACGACCTCGAGTGGACTTTGCTCACGGCCGACACCACTGCCATCTGCAAGAAGCTGGCTGCTGCACCACAGAATTTCCACGACCTCTCTGCACTAGCTACCCACCTGATATTCAAGTTCGCCCTCCTAGAAGTGCTATCCTACATCGAGGCCAACTGTCCGCATATCTTCAAGGGGTTCGATGGCAGGATCATTCCGACCAAGGCATCTGCCTACTACGGCCGGATAGACATCTTGGACTGGTGGGCTCGCTCGCCGTCATTCCTCGACAAACAGTACGATGCCGAAGCACTCAACGGCGCCTCAGCTAAGGGCTTCGTCGGCGTACTCGAATGGTGGCGTCGCTCCGGCCTGCCGCTGAAATACACCGAGGCTGCTCTCGAACAGGCCAGTTCAAAGGGCCACCTCCATGTCCTAACGTGGTGGCGAGAGGCGTCTCTCCAGGACCCGTCGATCGTATTGAAGCCGGGCCGCTCGCTGCTTGGTGCTGCGCAATGGGGCCAGCTAGCGGTCATTCGATGGTGGGAGGAGAGCGGGATTGCTGCTGGCCACCACGAGCATGTGTGCAAGATGGCCAGTCGTTGGGGCCAAGTCCAGGTCTTGGAGCTCTGGCGGGAGTTGAGGGGAGACGACAGCATCCAGTTCGACTCGGGGGTGCTGATCGACCCAACATTCCACTCCTACATCGAGGTGCTGGACTGGTGGAAGAAATATACCCATGGCGAGTTGCCTGGCATGGATGGACGGAAAGGGAAGCGAGTTGAGTACAGGACAATGGAGATTGAGGAGGCCCTGGAGGACTCCTTGGGCGACCAGACTAAGGTGCGGAGATGGTGGGCCGAGAACGGACTAAATACAGGGCTGGGGATGAGTGAGTGGATGAAGACGAAACATTTGTAAGGCTAGTTGACATGTCGCATTGCGATTTCCAGATCAGGTACATACATTCAGGTCGCACTTCCGAGAGCGCCTGGTTTAAACACCCACCTGTCAATGGGTATAGGTCAGACTAGCAACCTAGTAGGCTTAGGGAAACGAATGGAACTCCAAAAGGTCACTGAAATTTAGCTGGATTGCTGGGTATTATCTTTCTCAAAACCTCGATTTGTCGTGCCTGCCCCTTATTCCTCAACGCCGAAGCACCTCTCTTGTCCGACCTGCGCATGCCATTCGAGTACACTACAGTCAGGTCGGGAATTACTTCACCCGGAGCAACTACTGTCCGCGGGGTGAGGGTGCAATACTGCCACGATGTCAGCCAGATTTCTTCCAAGTCGACTCATCGCCACTTGCAGCCGGGTTTCCGGGGACGACCTACCTTCCCAATGACGGCACCCCTCCCAACCTTGGATCCAACGCCTACTACTGTGCCTTCACCGACAACAGTGTCGCCGGCCTCAACCACGGCGCCGACCTCCACGGTAACGTAGTCCCCGAGGGTGACTGCTCTCTCCGTTATCCTCCCCTCAGACCCCATAGCCCCGACCAGGCTACGTTCATGTATGATGCATCGCCTGCCGACGTTTATACTTCCGCCCAAGGAATCGAGTTTCGCGCGTGGGTGGACCACGCTCTCTGAACTGATCGTGATGGGGTTTGAGCCAGTGAGGAGGGCCGAGTCGGCGATGGTGATGGAGGATGAGAACTGGACGGGGGGTTTGGGGCCGGCTTGGGAAATGGATGGGAGGATCGAGTGCCGTTTGGCTGATGAGGAAGACATGGCCGAGAGGTAAACGGCTGCTGGGCAACGGAAACAGATTTGGATAGGTATGTATCTATGCTATGGAGGTCGACGGCAGGATTGCATGATGTAGAGGCATGGACGCCGTTATCGGTGAGCGATTGGGAGAGCTTACAGCTCTGGGTATCACGGATCCACAGGCATGAGGCAGTGAAGAAGGAAAGAAAACAAATCTCACGCTGGATGAATGATATCAGCGGTTGATCTTCGCGGCTCGGTAGAAAGATAAGACGAGGGTCAAGACGCGGATGTGGAACCCACACTAGCCGCGCTGACCAATCAGAGAAGTAAAGAGACGCTCAAACTCTGATAGGTGGTAGGAGGTAAGGTAGGCATTCACCAGGTGAAGAGGCTCCAACTCTCGCCATCGACGGCCACGAGTGCTGGCCAAATTCACTACGAGGTCTCTCCCATTTCTTTGTCACTCTTTTCAGCACGTCGAACAGCATTTGATGCTTGTAGCCGAGCTCTCTCTACTTAAATTTCTCTTTGTGTATTCCCCCTCTTGACAGTTTCACCAAACCACCTCGCCACACGACCCTCATCCATCACCTCCACCTCCTCAATATCATCCATCTCCAAAAGTGCCGATCACACATCAAGGGCATTTGTATCGCCACTTTATTTTGAGATAACTCGCAACTGCTGCAGTGCCTTGTCCCCCACTGCAATAAATGCGCGCTCCGTTTCGTCCCCCCACTTGACAACAAACATGCCGGCTCCCAAGCGAAAGAGGGCCGAGAGAGGGCTTAGCGATGGAGGTCCCAGCCGGCCCTCGCCGCATAGACCCGGGGATACAACTTTGGGACAGCATGAAAGAGGCTATCCAGATAGCGGTGGACGAGGCGGCCGAGGCGGACGGTCAACGCGAAGAAACGACCGGCGCGACTCGTCACAAACCTACGGAGGAGCTCCTACTCCTGCGCCTGCCTCTCCGAGCCTTCCACGGCCCTCGAGCGCTTCCTCCCAAACTGCCGCCCGTGTCCCGGCAGCGCCCGCGGCTCCCCCTTCTTTCCCCTTGCCTTCGCCGATACAGTCTGGCTATGACTATACCGTCATCACCGATGATCGCGTTAGCCGATGGTCCAAGGGTGGTCGGAAAGAGGTGGTCGACCATGGCATCCAGGCCCAAAGTGAAGAAGATACCGTCAAACTCTCGATAATCTTCCAGGAACTAATTCATGCCGTCATTGACTCGCGACTGGCTGGCAATGATGCAGGGCGTATCGTCAAGGACATTGTTGGCTCAAAGCCGGCAGAGCAGGAGGGCCACTCCTTTGCCTTCGATCCGCCCACCCTCTTCCTCGACACCATCTCGATAGACATCGAATCTAGCGAATATCGGCCCCAATTGCGCGACTTCATGGCGGCGACAGAGATATCACCGACGCTGATGCGCCAAGTCCTCGATCCACCACTCTTGGAAAGGATGGGTCTGATCCGGAGCACCTTCTCGAGAGTAGGTATTCGTCTATCCACGAACCTTCTATATCGGCAAGCGAACTACAATCTCTTGCGCGAGGAGAGCGAGGGCTATTCCAAACTCACCACCGAGCTCTTCACCACTAGCAGTACCGAGCCACCCTCGTCGGAGACGGTGCAGGCCACCTTTGAGAGGGTCAAGGGGCTGATTGGGACTTTCGACCTTGACGTTGGGCGGGTTCTAGATGTCACTCTGGACGTATTTGCTGCCGTCCTGATCAAACAGTTCCGATTCTTCATCAAGTTCCTCCGCATCAGCTCTTGGTGGCCGCGCAGCCAGATCCGGCACTCGGCCAGAAAGTATGTTGGTGGTCTTCCCCTGTGGGCCTTGCCAGAGTCGTACAGTTGGTTGCCAGATGGGGACGATGAGGTGGTTCTTAGCGAGCAGCGACTTCAGCGCGATATCGCTTTCTGGGATAGAGCGCGGCAAGTTCACCTCGACGCATTCTTCGAGCTGGGCGGAAGACAAGTGGCAGATGCGGATGATATTCGTCGAGCCAATGCCGTTACCGACGACGACGATGCTGACACCGAGCAACAATGGATCCAAACCACCAGAACTCTCCCTCTCCCCGGCAACCGTGTGGCTGCCCAACTCCTCGGGTTCAAGCTCCGGTTCTACAACTCGGAAGCCCGGGATGCCGAGGATGTTCTTCCAGCGAATCTCCTGTATCTCGCCGCTTTGCTCATCAAGGTCGGCTTCATCTCCCTGTCCGACTTGTGGCCTCACCTATGGCCACTTGACGAAGACATGGAAAACGTCCGGGTTGCCAGGTTGAAGGAATTGGAAGAGAAGGAGAGAGCGAATCGACCAGGTGGCGCAACAAATGCGCTGATGATGGCCGGCGCTCTACCAGATGACATGCCCTCAGTATCAAGCATCGCCGCCCGCCGCGACCCAGCCGGCGCGAGCAAGGCCGAGGCCGATACGAAAGCCAAAGAAGCAGAAGCCAAGCCCAGGTTGCCGGAGCCCGAAGATCAAAAAGTACATCTCCTCAAATGCCTGCTCACTATCGGTGCCATTCCCGAGTCTCTTTTCATACTCGGCCGGTATGACTGGCTTCCCGAGGCTTATCCGGAGCTTCTGCCCTTGATCCACCGGATCCTCCACCATTGCGTCGATAAAGTCTACGAACAGAGCCGGCCAATCGGCACTGCATCCCCCGAATGCCCTCCGAAGCAGATGCCCGACATCGACCAAACAGGGGTTCCGAAGGGCACCGTCAAACTCGGTACCCCCCCGCCGAAACGCCCCCTGCGATGGCCATATCCGGACAAGTCCGATACGAACGAGGGGAGCTCTTACCGCTTCTACTGGGACGAATGGGCCGACAATGTTCCTGTTTGCCAGACAGTCGACGACATTTTTACCCTATGCAGCACATTCTTGAATCTCTCGGGTGTCAACATTGGCAAGGATTCAGCATTGCTGTTGAAGCTTGTCAGCATCGGCAATAAGAGCTTGGCGGAGGATCAATCGCCCCAGAACCTCGCCCGTTGGCAAGACCTGCTGCGCCGCTTGCTCGTCCCTGCTCTAAGCCTGACGGGCTCGAACTCGTCTGCTGTCAGTGCGGTGTGGGACCTGCTCAAGCAGTATCCCACTCATGTGCGATATACAATCTACGCCGAGTGGTTTGAAGGCCAAATCTCTCGCCTCGGCCCGATGAAGAAAGCATTCGCGCGGACTCGACTGGAGACGCTGAGCACGATGAAGCGACTATCACTCACCACCATCCATCAAATGGCCAGGACCTTGGCAAAGACAGCCTATGCCTCCCCCGGAATCGTCTTCAAGGTCGCACTGGACCAGATCGAGTCGTACAGCAACCTCATCGAGGCGTTTGTCGAGTGTGCCAAGTACTTCACGAACCTTGGATACGATGTGCTTGTCTGGTCCTTGATGAGCTCGCTAGGCGGGAAGCAGAGAAGCAGGACTCAGGAATCATCTGTGCTCCTGACAAGCAAGTGGCTCCAGGCATTGTCCAAGTTTTCCGGGAAGGTCTTCGAGCGTTATTCCGTCATGGACCCGACTCCAGTTCTTCAGTACGTCAACGACCAGCTTTACAAAGGGAACTCGACCGATCTTGTCATCCTGACGGAGCTCATCTCGTCCATGGGAGGAGTCGTTTCAGATGCCGACTTCACTGATGCCCAGCTGCGAGCAATGACCGGAGGTGACATTCTGCGCAGGGAAACCCTCAAGAACCTCGGCGACAGACGAGAGGAATCCGCTAGAAGCGCCTCTCGTTTGATGAGGGCGCTTGTGGGAACCAAGCTTGCGGGGCCGCTCCTCGTCAACATCGCGCAGTATCGCCAGTCTGCCATCTACAAGATACCCGAAGCGGAAGCGCACATCAAATTCTTGGCTACCATGGTGGACGACACCCATCAGGTCTTGGTTCAGTACCTCGACCTCCTCCGGAGCAACCTGACCCCTGACGAGTTTGACCCCCTCGTCCCGAACGTCGTGCTACTCATGAAAGATTACGGCCTGGATCCTAGTCTTGCATTCATGATAGGTCGGGCTAGCCTCGTCTCTCAAATGATGAATCCAAAGTCGCCCATCGCGGCGTCCGCCAAGGATGCCGATGGAGATCTTTCGATGGAGGCCAACGGAGCACCGACTCTTAGTAGTGAGCCCAAGCAAGATGCCGCTGAGGGGGGTAGTATAGTGGACAAGATGGCTCTCGATACCGATGGCAAAGACGGACAGGCGGAGCCGAGCGCACCCTCGCAAACAGCAAACGGCCGGAAAGCCGACCCCCTCTTGGATTGCCTTCAGCCGGTCATCGAGGCTATGCCAACCTTGATCCCTACAGCCGATATCTGGCAGCGGATTAGCCCAGAGTTCTATGTCATCTTCTGGTCCTTGCAGCTCGGTGATCTCACCCTGCCTCAGTCCAGCTACGAGGCAGAACATGCCAAGCTGAGGAAGAAGGCCGAGGATGTCATGAAAGATCGGAGCGACATGTCGAGAAACGGAATGAACAGGAAGGATCAGAAGAAGCGGGAGTTATTGGACAAGGCGGAGGCGATTCACGATGAAAACAAACGTCACCTGGAGCGGTACCACAAAACCAAAGTCAGGCTTGCCCGGGAGACGGCCGCATGGTTCCCGGGGAGCATGACCAAGGCCAATGCAACTTCCGATACAATCCTGGAGCAGTGCATCCTTCCGCGCTTACATCTATCGGCCATCGACTCGGAGTATTGCTTCCGAATGGTCAAGTTCCTCCACGAGAGCCAAGCGCCCAACTTCAAGCTCATGTCTCTGTATGACCGATTCTTCAACCAGAATCGGCTTCGGGCCATGATATTCACATGCACAGTACGCGAAGCCGAACACCTGGCAAGGTTTATCAAATGTATCCTGGGCGACCTGTCACGATGGCATGGCGACAAGGAGGCATACGAGAAGGAGGCCCTGGGGGCGAGGGAGAAGTCCGGTAAGAAGACCAGAAGCTACCTGGGATTCTCTACCGCATGCGACGACGACGGGAAACCAACCGCGTTCGTTGAGCACGATGCATTCCGGGATCTCCTCTTTCGTTGGCATAAGAACCTCAACACTGCCTTGAGATCTTGCCTTGGTGGCATGGAGTGGATGCACATCAGGAATGCCATCACGGTGCTGAAGACCGTCATCGAGTTCTTCCCTGCAATCACCTTCATGGCCGACAAGCTCCTCGAGCAACTCAAGACCATTACCGAGCGTGAGGCCGCAACCAAGAATGTCTCCGAAGGGGAGGAAGGCCATCAGCGGGTCGACCTCTCAGTCGCTGCCCAGACAGCCTTCTCCGAGCTGCAGAGGCGAAAGCCGAAATGTATATTGGTGCAGGCCTTCAGACCCGGCACGGTAAGTACGCCCCGAGACGAGAGGGCGCCAGAGTCAAACTAACATCTCGAAAGACTGCGGGATCGAAAGACGAACCCAAAGCGTCGGCGTCGGCCTCGGCCTCAGCCACGCCCGCCAACCTGCGACCTACTGCTCCAGAGTTCAAGCCCAGTCAGCCAGCACGGAGCCAGCCCACCGCAGATGAAGAGGATGGCGAAGTCGAAGACAGCAGAGACAATAAGTCAAAACTACCGAGCACCGCACCGGCGACCGAGGATAAACGGGAGTCTACAGCAGCCCCCAAAGAACTACCCAAGGACACCGGAAGTTCAGCTCCTACCAAGCCGAGCTCCGGCACTGCTACCACTACTGCCTCTAGCAAACCTTCCACTCCAAAGCCAGCTGCTGCGGTACCGGTCACAACCATGTCGGGCCGCTCGGAGCTCAACAAGCCTGCTACAATTGCCCCTGGTAGCCACGGCCTTCCAAACAGACCGAGCCTTCCTAACAGACCAGATGTGCCTTTCCCGGGCCTGCCCGCGAATCGCTTTGGCAACCAGTTCAGGCCGCACGACAGGAGGGAGCCATTGGCCCCAAGGGAGCCAATGGCGCCCCGGGAACCCCACCACAGAGACCCGCGGGAAGTCAGGGAAGTCAGGGAAGTTCGCGAACCCCACCCCAGAGACATGCGTGAACTCCGCGAACCCCGCGACCCGCGGGATTATCGCGCCCCCGATGGCTCTCGCCCCGAGAGGCCAGACCGACCGGAGAGACCTGAGCGACAAGGCAGGCCCGAGAGGCCTGATCGGCCGCAAGAATACCCAAGGTCTTCAGATCGACGGCCTGCGGAGGGAACCTTGAGGGACTCTGGCCGCCCGTCGGAGAGAGACTGGCCATCCAGGTCTGAACCGCCAATTTGGAATGACCATGGACTGCAAGACCGCGACAATAGGCCCCCTAGGGAGAGTCGAGGTGGCGGGGCAACTCGCGGCCATGATGGCAGGGCTCCTCCACGGGACTCGCATGTGGCAACGCCTCCGCCGGCCACAATGTCCTCACGACCTGGTCCTCATGAGCCTCCACCTGATGCGCCACGACCCCGAATTCTCGATGACGATCGCCCAGAGCTCATGAATCCTGAGCGAGCCGCTGCTTTATTCGCCGAGTCTAGAGATTCACCGCCAACGCGATCACCCAGAGATGCGGGCCGCGATCGGCCGCCTCGGACAGAATCTCCAAGACATCAACCAGACTCGGGACGGGACGAACGGCACGGTCGCCACAGGCATTCGGATTATAGCGCCGGCAGGGATACCCAGAGAGAAACCACGCCCTCCCATATCAAAGGAAATAGGATCTCTGAGCGGGAAGGCGACAGACCCAGCGACAGGGCGACGGAAGGGCCTCCTTTCCACGGCGGCCCACCGCCTCGACCAGCAGAATCGGAGCATGGCAGGTTACGCCAGCAGGACCCTAATTACGGACGTTTGAATCCGATCCAATCCGTCGCTGACATCCCGTCGGGCCCGCGAGGCCGGGGGAGGAATTCGGCCAGAGTCAGCAGCGCCATGAATGGGCCGCCTCCGCCACCTCAGCCGCCGCAGAGGACTGATGGTCGTTTCGCTTCCGATGCCAATCGGCCCCCCTCCCCTGACCGCCCTCCGCCAACCGGTCCTTCATCCTCCCGGTCAAGGCGAGGCCAGTTCGACAACAACCTGAACTCGCCAAACTCTGCTGTCCCACTAGCCCCGCCAAATGGTCGTCCGGATCGTCCACGGCAGGTCAACAACGCATCCGATAGCCACGTCGATCGGCCACACCGCGCTGTTGACCAGCCTCAAACATCCGGGCCTCCTTCACATTCTCGGAGCGCCGGCATGCCTCCCTCGAATACGCCCGATCGGCCCCCTTTCCCCTCCGGGGCCCCTGGTTCGCGTCTTCCTGCACATTCAAGTCTTCCCAACACTCCTGGGATGGATGTCCCAACCCCCACTGGCCCTTCGTCTTCGAACGAGAGGATGAGGCCTGGTGGCAACAGACAGTTGCGTGGCATCCAGAGCACACTAAACCAAGCCCAGGCTGATATGTCAAGTGTGGGTACTCGTGGATCTAGCAACACCCGCAAGGTTGGGTCACGGATGAGCCTCACTGGGTCCGACGCCCAGGTACTTGCAGGCCCGTCTCCTGTTTCTACACCCGTCCACGAACGGCACGACCCTCTCCGCCGCGAGACCAACTCAGACCGACCACCGCGGTACACGGAGCCAATCCAATCGGTCGCAGACAGCAGGGAGAGCAGAGGAGGGCCCAACGGCGAAGGCTACAATCCCGACTGGGCCGATCAAGAGCGTGTCAGCAGCCGTAGAGATCATCGAGAACGGTCCGACCGCAGCGGAAGACCGTCGCGCCGCAACAGCCCCGAGCGTAACCCGGACCGGGAGCGCGAGCCCAAGGATCCAAGGGACTTCCGGGATCGGAGACAGGGTCCCTCGGCTCCGGGAGGCTTCCCATCGACCAATCCGCGTGATGCCGAAAGAGAGCAGGGTCCTTCTCGCCGGTCTATGCGCGAGTCGGGTGGGGCGAATCGGGACTCGTTTCCCGGCCCAGGTGGTCGCGAGCTCACGGGCGCCAATCGCGAGACAAGTCATAGGAGCCATAGAGGTGATGGCCCGGGTGGGCGAGGGGAGAGCGGAAGTGGCCGGGGCGAGGATTACGGTGCTAACGGGAGAGGCGGTGGAGGACGTGGCGGCGCGGGAGGAGGAGCGTTCCGAGATTCGAGGGCGAGACCCGGAGACGATCGTGGAGAACCGACTCGAGATAGCCGGAGCAGAAAGCGCAGGAGCGAAGAGGCTTCTGGCTTGATGGGCAGCGAGAGGGAGAAACGGCAGCGGCGTTGATGAGGCCATATATTCGTTCGTGTTTGGCCTCGCCTATTCGACAGCGATGGAGGAGAGCAGATGCACTGGAAGGTGGACCTCGAAGCGTCCCCGATGCTGTCCACAAAGACTGATCATCCGGGGGATGCGCGTGGGTTGATGATCATGGCAGCGGCCGCGTCGCAAGCGTGATCATACGGAGCATTCTTCGCATTCTATACTGGCCCGCGGCGTGTACGACTTTTCTCTTGTTTTGGCGAGTGGGGATAAAATGGCATCATCCAGACTGCTTGAAAATCGGGTACCAAAAAATTGCAGAGAAGAGAAAAACTAGGAATTCATCATGTCAACAATGGGCCCCATGGCGACGCACCACACACCCTATCCGAGGCGCATTCGGAGAGATAAATGCAAGAATGCACACCACTCAACTCTTCTCTTGGGAACTTGTTCTTTCCAATCTTTCTGTACAAATGGCCCTCCTCGGTCCACTATCTATTTACCCCCCGTGGCCACCACCGGCTTCCGACTATTCCTCGCGACCCCCGTTGTGCCTTCTTCTCGCCTCGTGCCTCTTTGATGCCCGTCCCCCTCTGCTCTCGAAAGTATGGGGACACGATAAAAACGGATCGTTCGCTTCGCAACACGTAATGATAATAGACTCGCAAAATCTACGAAGGGGAGGTTTAGAGGACGTAGTTTTTCCCACTCTCGGGAAGGAGTTTGTTATTCCTCCGGATGAGTTAGTGTATGGCTGCATTTTCAAGGGACGAGCGAAAAGGGGAGGTTCGGCATCAGCATCGGCATCGGTATTTTAGCGACGGCGTTGGTACATGGAAACGTTTGGCTTTGTTCTCGTCATGTACATGTACTACTTCTTTCCTCTCGGTCTGGGATTGGGGATAACAAAGCAAAGAAAAAGGGGTTGATATAGAAATAAGGTGCGGCGTCGACATGGTCAGGCACTTCACTTTATCTAGATCACCTCTCGCTGGTTGGTCTCAAGGAGCCTTCTTTCTGGAACTTAAATGTCAAAGATACCCCGGTATTACGCGTTGCCGTGTTTCTCACAAATGCTAAAGTTTGCAGAACAACTGTCCATCAGTGGTTGTGGTATCGCTGTCGCCCCCCTTTCCCGGCTCCCCCCTCGTCGAAAAAAACGCCCCGGCCAGATCTATTTACAGAGGCAGATAAGATGCTCAATGGTATCAGAAAACGTGATATGGAACCTGGCCCTCCTTCCCATCTTCCCTCCCTCGGGCCCAAAACACAAGAAAATCATGCAAATGTGTATATCATTAATATACCGCCCCTTTCGTCCCCCGCTACCGTCACCTCGGTCCGCCCTCCTGGGGCGGCCTCGCCCCCCACAGCGCAGCACCGACCTTGATCTGCGTCGAGTTCCGCGGGTTCCCGCCGCCACCACCGTACGCCCCCGACCTGTCGTAGGGCTCCTCCTCCTCGACCGTCGACAGCGAGGCCACGCCTCCGTACGGCGCCGCCGCCGGCGGGTACGCGTAGTCCTGCTGTTGTTGTCGTTGCTGCTGCCGCCGCGCCCCGTGGTAGTCGTCGCCGTCGCCGCCGTCGTAGTCGTAGTCGTACGGGTTATCCCCGCCCCTCCTCCGGCCCGGCGACACGGCGAGGCCCACGCCGCCCGCGGGGCTGTGCGGCTCCGGCTGCGCGTGCGCGATCAGGCCCGCGTGCTCCTCTCCCACGCCGCCGATGCCGCCGGGCCCTATCGTTATCCCTTCCTCCACTCCGCCACCAACCCCTCCTCCTCCTGCTCCTGCTCCTGCTCCTGCTCCTGCTCCACCGTAGCCCGTCAACACGCCGTACCTGCTGCGCCGGAACTCGTTCGCGATGGGCAGGTGGTCCGTACTCCTCGCGCCGGGGCGCCCGGCGCCGAGGCCGGCGGCGGCGTTGGCGGACCCCCCCTTGTTCCTCCTCTTGCCGGCCAGGTCCAGGTCGGCCATGTCGACGGACTCGTCGGCGGCGCTGTCCTTGCGCGAGGTGGAGTGGTAGCTGACGTCCTGGTGGCGGTGCTTGACGCCGACGAAGAGCCACCTGACGCCGCGGCCGAAGGCCTTGGCCACGTCCCACAGGTTCAGCGCGTCCCAGAGGGCGGCGAGCCCCCAGAAGCCGCCCTGGCTGCGGGGGGCGTGCTCATTCTCGCGGGGCGGGAGGCCCAGGGCCGGGTCCGGGGACGGGTAGAAGGTCGGCTTGGCCGCGGCGAGGTAGGGGCGGTAGGGGAAGGCCCAGAGGTGGAGGATGGCGAAGATGGCCATCTCGAAGCAGAGGAGGAGGGAGGGGATGCCGACTTTGAGGTCGGGGTAGGCGATCACCTGGTTGGGGCGCACGATGTTCAGGGTCGAGGTGCCGACGCTGATGGCGGCTGACTGCCAGAAGGAGAGGAAGATGACCAGCTTGATGGCGAGGACCTTGAGGAAGGGCGAGTGTTCTGACAGTGCGGTGCGCAGCTGCACGTAGAACTGGATCAGGCAGTACATGGCGATCGTCACGGCTAGGGCGTTGATCGTGATGACCTGTGAGGGGTCGTGTTAGTTACTGTCCGCGTATTTAACCTCCTTTCCTCTTTCCCCCCGGGAGTCCAGGAAACAGTGAACATACCCATATATGGCTGAAGACGGGGTTGTTCGAACTCTCGCAGTACCTGTCAAAGTACTGCGAGACGACGGCGGTGATGGTCATGGCCACCCTGATGAAGCAGTAGTGGTAGATGCCGATCCAGTTGATGTTGAACCACGTCAAGCCGCTCGTGGGGGTCCGCCAGGGGCCCCTCTGGCCACCGCAGCACTTCTTGAACCAGTTCAAGGGCCAAACCCAAGGTTTTATCGGCTGCATGAGGCGGAAGAACTCCTTCTGTTCGTGCAGGTCCGGTGCGATGTAGTGGCAGAGCAGGGCGAAGAAGGACGAGATGGCAAAGGCCTCGTAGCTGTCGCTGAGGACTTGGAAGTAGATGGCGTGCCAGTAGAAGCGTATCGAGAGGAACGAAGAGGTGGCGTATACGGGTACCATGAAGAGGATGCGGATGATGCTGCCGGGGGGCATTAGCATCACAGGCAGAGTGAGTGTGGAAGGGGGTGGGGGGGGGGAAGCTTGGGGGGCAAAACAGGCGAAGGGAGAAGGTGGAACAACTGACTGTTTCTGCTCGCGAGGCTTGGTGTAATGTGTAGCATGCATCATGATCAGGTAGAGGCTCATAACTATCGCCACGAGAGTTGATGCTGCCCCAATTACCAAGGCGAGTTGGTGGAAGGTTAGAGGGCCGGCGATGGGTATCTCGGAGTCCGGGAGAACTGTATGGAGGAACAGCAGTCAGTATCGCGATCGGCGCCATTGGTATCGAAGCACCTACTCCTCATCTCCTCCAAGGTCGAGTTGCATGTCAGGTTCACCATGATGAAGACCTCGTATCGGGCATATCCGAGAAGGGCTTCACTTCTGGACGGCGAAGACTGCCTTGTCGGCTCGTCCTTGCGCTACCCAGAGGGATGGCGCAGTCTATTCTTCTCCTCGATCGTGAACCTGCCGGCCTTTCCCTCTCATCCGTCTTCCCGGCGAAGAGTCTCGGGGTCGGAACCAGCGGGGTGTCGCACTGCTCGCCAGCTGAGGGACAATCTTGTTGGGCTGAGACAAGCTGAAACCCGTTCGAACTCGTCCTTGAAATGAGTGTTGTGTTGCGCCAGATCGGATGTCTTCGTGGTCGGTTTCTAAACAGGTCACGGCGTGCGGCCCTCACTTTGACGTCGTCGGCTTGGGCGCGGTTTGCATGTCTTGAAGGGGTCGGACTGCGCAGGCGCTCGACATGCGCCCTCCCATCTCAATGTGGTGGCTTATGCCTGGCTGCTAAAATTACAGGGCAGCCACGGCACTGCCATCGAACCGGGGCAGATTCATGTGGTTCCATTGGCTAACGCCGGAGGACCCCCTGGCTATTTCGGATGATCCCAAGTTTCAGGTCCTGCCCCGTCGCAAGCTAACAAGGGACATCATCAACTTTCTCAGCTCATCCCGCAATTCCAGGAAAGTCAGATTAAACATATTCTAGAAAACTACAAAACAACACACCGCTTGCCATGCTCGATCCGTCGGGGTTCCCCCTGATGTGGATATATATTATTGTAGATAATCGAGGAAGACGGACGCACTTCTAGCGGCTGAGTCCAAAGAGCTGAACAAACCTGCAAGGAAGCGCACAGCCTACGTTGCCAAGGCTATCGCTTAACGAAGGACCCCTTTTTCCGTTCCGTTCGTTGTGTTGTTTGCGCACTTTTGATCGAGAATAGGTGTTAATTTTCTGTCTTGGACAGGGACCATCTACCGCCCATTGCAACTAACATCTAGCTTGTTTGTCTGTATCGCTGGATGCCAACAGACATTGTGGGATCCCTCTGCAAATGGTCAATCGTCCCTCTCGATCTCTTCCTGGCGTGTGCTATTTATGTACAAATTTCCTGATCATTAGGATCCTTAGCCGCCCGTGGCAGCTCCTCGATGCTGCTCCCACCAGATATGTCCAAAAATATGTCTGTGTCCTTTTCAGACTCGGGAGGTGGGAGCAGAGGTGATTTGTCGAGCATATAATACGAGCCTGCGTAGAAAAGAAGCCAGAGCGGTCTTCATGTCCCGCAATGGTCCCCTGTATAGAACAATGGTGAGAATCGTCACGCACCAACCCCGGAATCCAACGAGCGGTCCGGAAAACAAAAATATGGTGGGGAAAAGAAGAATTTATGACAGAGGTACTGTCGTTTCCCCCGAGGTTTCTCAATATCAGGGACAACAACAACCACGCTGCAGGCCGAGTCTGTTTGTCCGTTTTGTGATCGACATCCCTTTTGTCTTGGTTTGAAAGACGGTCCAGATCTCCAGATGCCCTGTCCTCTAAAACGCCATCGTGGTATCTCGAAAATGCAGATGCAAAAATGATCCAAAGCCTGTCGGTCAGGCGAGGGAACAAAATTCGTGTACGTCGTGAAAATAGTTTATGAAGTTTGTTCGACACAAAGACAAGAGTAAGTGGAATTTCAATCGGCATCCGGATCTGGATTGGTTGCCCTCAGAACCCTCGATGGGTTGTGGACTCTTCTAGAGTAATCTTGGTCGTCTCGGAGAGTGTTGACGCTCTCGTGGCTCTTGTTCTCGGCCCGGTTGTAGATGTTTTTGTTGAAGGGGTCCATTCGAGGATCAACAGGCATCAGAGTGCTTCGCCGTCTGCCTTGGGCACTGTTCTCCCAACTTTCGGCCATAGTCCTCCCATCCGACCCTCCGGCGAATCGGTTCTCTGACATCTCGCCGGTCTTGGGCGTCCCCATCATGCCGGAAGAACTGCCTCTTTGACTAGGAGCGTCAAACTCTCCCTGCTCTTCGGCCTGTCGCTGTCGCCTCCGTTTAATAAAAAGGCAGACGACAATTGCTGCAATAGCAGCAAAGACGCCTATGACGCCAATCGCGATGCCAACGGCGGCTCCGGTGCTCAGGCCCTTTTTAGAACTAGACGATGAGGTGGCTGAGCTGGGCGAGTTGCCGCCCGCGGTGGGAGTGACCGTGACGGTCCGAACCGTGCCGTCTGCTGTGACCGTCGAGACAGTCGGCGATGGATTCGTGTTTGGTAGACGCTAGACTCCGAGTCAGTAAAGGTCGCGTTAAAGATTAGGAGTAAAGTTCAAGATCCAATAGGAAGCACCCTGGGAAAGAAGGGCCATACAGAAGAAGTAGTGGAAGGCTCAGAAGGTGGAATGTAAGTGATCGTATCCTGGACAGTGCTCTGCACCGTCTCAGTTTTAACAGTCTCTTTCACCTGGTTCCAGACCGGTTAAACATAGCTGCCTGTGAAGCTCTATGCTTCCTCATGGACAACGAGGAGAAGAGAAGAGAAGAGGGAGGAGGAAAGGTGAAAAGGGCGAGAGGAAGAAGGGCAATGAAGGGATGGATAGCTTGTCAGCTCAAAAAGGGAGCGATTATCTTACTGAAGAGGAGGTCGTGGACCCTGTGTTTGCGGTGCCAGCAGCGGGCTTTTTCAGGGTCATGTATCCAAACAGGCCATCTCCACCGCAGACATCGTCGGGGAAACCGGGGCAGGAATTGCTGCACTCGTCCGTCGACACCTGCGACGACTTGCCGGGAATATAATCGGAGCACCAACACGACTTCTCCTGGACAATAGCAAGGGCATATTGGCCCTCACAGAAGTGGTAACAGAGGCCGTCGGACTGATAAATGCTGCTGTCTGGATGGGAGATGTCAGCAGGTAGCCCAGGCCCATGGCCAAGAGAAACGAAATGATATGAAACTCACTGGCACCCATCGAAGCTGTGTTGATACTGGCACAATAGTCCATCGGTATCGAAGGTTTGGCTGCTACCAGAGCGGTCCATAACAGGGCGGCCGAGGCAAGATAGAGCCAGGCATGGCGTGCCCCTCGTGAAGTGGCCATGGCGCAGAGGTCGTGCGAGTAGGAACTGCAAGTTCGATGTGAGATTTAAATCGTAAATGTTGGCACGCAGCCAGGGGGCTTGGGAGAGTATCGACGATGAGGGTGGACGAGTTTGTAATATGGCCAGCAACGAAGAAATCTGGTTACGCACCGTTCCCAAATTGGGTGTCACGCAAGGGAATCTGGGTGACGGCCCACTCAGCAGCCCATTGATTCACCACAGCTGCTCTTAGAAAACGGCAATTGGGGCAAGCAACGCCTGGGCCATTACTCAGGGTCGTAAGAGCAAACAGGATCCAAATTCGGAGGTGTCCAACGCAGTGGAGCGGGAGCTGTCGAAAAATACCGAAATATCGGATGGGGACTGTCTTGATCTGGGGAACGAAAAGCGGCTTGGCTTGGCAGCTGCAGAGTGCAGAGTGCAAGGCAACGCAGGACAGCACAGGACAGAAAAGAAACTCGACGGGGCGGAAGGAGGCAACGCGGAAGCCGGAGAGAATGTAAATGTTTACAGCGGGAACTGGAAATTGCTTAGGAGGTGAGGAATGCTGGGCAGCAGGGGCCAAGCCAATGACTTCCAATTAAAGAGTCACGTCACCCAACAACTGCACCGCTGGATATAATGCTTGCTTGGTTGCCTCGAACGATAGCAAAAGGCGGAGGAGAGGAGGAGAGGGCAGGAATTGAGGTGAGGAAGCAAGCTGTGGTTCGGGGGGCGGGGATGGTTAAAAGACGACCAAGTGGGAGGAGGCTGGCACCTCGGCGAGTTAACAGGGGGTGGTTCGTACTGTACAGTACCTGTCTGACCAGGGTCAGTTCTTCAGGGACTGGTTGCAGTGTGCACAGGACGAAACGGATTAGACGCAGTGAAAAGCTTGCCGCCAACACAAACCGGAATCTGTGTAGCGTGGGAAGTGGATTGGGCCCTGTGGGTAGCCTCCAGCACAGTTAGGATGTGGCATCACCAAATCATCAAATCAGAACCCGGTACGTACCGATTAAAGGGGGTGCATCCCAGTCACTCGATTTCCAGTGAGCACAATCTGGTGGAATGTCGTCACTGAATCTGTTGCTAGCAGGGGTTGAGTTAGGTGAATTGGGATGGTCCCGTTATTACGAAGGACCCAAGGGTATGTATTTTGTACATCGAATCACTTCATGAGCCGCTGGAGGGAGGAACACCAGACCCAAGGTAACCTGATTTAGACATGATCGTCTCCTGGGTGGAAATCCCAGTCGCCAGAGCAACTCTCCTCTCCGACTGCAACGCGCTGAAGAGCTCAACTCTCGACGAAGCATTGGAAGATGACGGTTGTACCCACTGGCAAGCCGAAAGGTCAGCAGCCAGCAATGGGAGAGAAAGAGAGAAAAAACGCCCTTCTGATATGCTGGGCCAATCTTGAGAATGCAGTGTCAAACCTGTAAGTTCCTTCCCCCCACAAATGCATTCTTTGATTACGCAGTAGGTACCTAATCTGTATGCAGTCGTCTGCAGTATTTGTACATAATACATATGCTGCGGATATTGGAGATTGGATACCTAGATGGAGGCTGTTTTTGGGTTCTTCCCATCCACCCAGGGCCGGGGTCCCCTGTTCGGCTGCATTTGATGTCCTAGTCCTCCGAAAAGATATTTGGCTGACAACCCCCAGATTTGACCCAGGTCAGACACACGGACAAAGAAGTGCCTGACCACTGACTCTGAGGATTGGATTACATTTGAACTCTCCCAATGCTTCTAGTGTCAGTCTGACAGAAGGCCAGAGTTACCTCGTGTGGTGCAAACCGGGGGAGCCAGTCCTAGACAGTCTCAAGTGGCCTGACCTCGTATCTCGATCTCTCACGAGGCACTAATATGGATGGTACACCCTCCCTCCCCCACGCCGCGGCACCTGGATGCGGAGGAAAAGCATCTTTTTTTTCTGTGCCATTGACTCGGAGTGTATCCGTACATGCGAGGATGCATTGCTCTTTGCTGCGGATTACGGCATCATGGGATAATGTCTCCTTTACACCGTCGCCTCGCTTCGTATTCTTGAACTTGGCGCTAGAAACGGCGTTGCCAACCGTATCCGTCACGATGCTCATTTGTGATGCCCTTCCTGGTGGTTTTATGTAAAATAGCGAAAAGCAAAAAATATATATAATTAACAGGTAGGGGACAAATATCCACATCCTCTGCAAGTCCTCAATTTCTTCCTCGAACCTTTTCTTTAACACCCTCTTGACAGGCGGCTCCCGAGTTTTCTTGAGAGGAGACATATATGCAGCTAAGACCTGTCATCCATTGTCACAACCAACTTTAATCCCCATCCATCCCCCCATCCTCCAACCTCCCGTGCATCTCAGGCTCGGTGGTCTAATCCTCCAATTTCCTGCCGTCTTGATTTGTACTTCCACTCCGCATCGAGAAGATATATTCGAAAGGTCCAGATGAGCTTGGCCAGATGTATCATATTCATAAATGATCATGACGCCATAATAGGCGACTTCCCAGGCCTTAGTTGGAGTGCGATTTGCCCTGGCATTAGAGCGAATCTCCTCCATTGGAGCGCAATTTGCCCTGGCATTTGAGCAAACCTCCTCCATTGGAGCGTGGGGTCCGATTATGGGTTAATTTAATCCGCAATGGTACCAGAAACAAGGTTTTGTTTCGGGAGCAGCACCTTCCAGGTTGTTTGACATGTGTATTTATTTCATTACAGCTGCACCAGAATAGACAGGACAATTCCACCTTTGCCATTGCCACACCCGTCAAATGCCGCCCTCTCGAGTGCCGGCCGCTCTCTCAAGTGCCGCCCTCCGAACTCACGATATATCTGACGTCACCGTCCCTCTTGTGATAGCTAACCGGTCGAGGAAGGTCCAGGTCGACGGCGGCTCAATGGCTAGAGAGGTAGACTTGGAACCTTACGCGCGTACTTATATGCGTACACGTAGTCTATGATTGTTCGGTAGCTCTCAGTCCCGTCCCCACCAGTGTGCGACGTGACTTACCCTATCACCGCCAAGCGATACTCTAAATCTTGCTCTTCCCAAGCTTCTACACGTGGTTCTCCATTATGACTCCACCACTCGGTAAACGGAGCTCCTGCAGAGCCGCCAGAGTCCCAGGCACGCCAGGCATCAGAGAGCAGATCCCATCGCTAAGTCGTAGCAAGCAAGACGCAGATGAACATCCAATGCCTGCTCCACCATCTCACCTACCTACGTAAGACATCCGTTCTCTGCAAGTAAAGTGTTTCGTCCGGTCGTACATGTCACAGTCACAAGCTTCTGCCGTGGTACCTGTGCCTCGCATATTCTCATCCTGCTCAGCTGGGGCCTGCCGAAGTTCCTTCAGCAGCAGCAGCAGCAACGGAGGCGCCAGCAGCAGCACCACCAGCAGCAAGCTGACGTATCACCTGTGGCTCCGAGTCCGTGACGAGAGGCAAGATGGAGATGCGTCGTGGTAGCCGTAGCGCCACTGCCTCGGTGATCGGCAAGTATCAGTCCTAGATTCGACCTCGACAATTCGCTTCCTGACTGTGAAACGTGCAGTCCCGCCCCGAAAGGAATTTTCTTCAGATGGTAACCAACCGACCAGCAGCGGAGCCACCCGCGAGTATGTTCTCCCGGGTGCCACAGCTGAGCCGAGATGAGGATCTGCCTTGCGTCGGGGAGTCGGAAACTCGCCGATCCAGGCACGGGTGGAGACTGCCCGACCATGGTTGCACAGCCGACCCGATAGCGTCAGGGGAAATCCGGACTGATCTGTTATAATACTGTCTGTATAGGAGGAGAGATCATCGAGTCGATATAATCACGATTATGGAAAGGGTTGGAAACCGAAGCAATTGATTCTGCGATGGAACGCCTCCTGCCTGCTGTGTATGTGCAGGCGCAACGAGAGACGCCTATCAGTCTACCTACGTACCCAAGTTACACATCAAAATACAGCAAAAAATGACGCCTTTGATACCAACTAAAAAACAACCCGCCAAAGACCAGCCCAGTAGTAGTTCGCCAACTCGTATCTTAACCCGCCGAATTTTGCCATGTCGTCTGTCAGGTCTCGACCCAGCCCGGGGCTTGCGTTCCATATCCCTCGCTCGAGAGATCATGGACAATGACCGGCAGAAAGTCACCTGACTTCCGTAACGCTGAGAAGAGCCAAAAAGGAGGAGCGAAAGAAACACATTCAACGCTCCGGACTACCAGCGGGACTGTTGTCCCGGCTCTGAGACTCGATGCTCTCGACCATCTCAAGCACCCGCGTGCGCGGCCGGTCAAGCCTCACCGCTTCAGCGGTGTGGACGATGGTCGAGGGCGTTCTCGAGACCAACTCGTCCTTACTCATCGGCTCGAGGGGCCGTTCGTCGCCCCCAAGCTTCTCCTCCCCGCCCTCCCTATCCGGGTCAACGACCACGACCTCCTCCTCTCGCTCAATCTCCGCATTCACGACCCTCAGCCTCTCCTTGGGCACCGTGAACATGACCTGCACGAGCCTCTGCTCCACCGCCCTCTCGACGTCCCAGTCATCCAACCCGTCCCCGCCCTCGCCCTCGCCCTCCCACGCCTCCCGCCCCTGCTTCCTCCTCAGCATCTGGCCCCCAGCAGGCCTGGCCTCGCAGTCCGAGCTTCCCCCCATCAAGCCCTCCCGCGTCGGGCTTCCCCCCCTACTACCGCTGCTACCACTCTCAGGCGACCCACTAAACACCCTCCTCAGGCTCCCAAACCAGCTCCGCCGCGGCCTATTCTTGCTGGGGCTACCAGGCTCATCCTCATATTCATCATCCTCGCCGCCCCCTCCCCGAAGCAAGCCCGGCCCCTCGTCCCGCAGCCCGGCCAGGTTACTCTTGGCCGTGCCCCACGTGTGCGACGAGCTGCCCGAGCTGCTCCCCAGGCGCGCCATCTCCGCCACCGACGGGCTCGCTGCCCGGCTGTGCCGGCGCCGGTGGTGGTGGTGGTGCTGCTGCTGCTGCAGCTGCCGCGCCGACCGCACCGACCCCGACCGCGACAGCGGCTGGTAGTTCTGGTGCTGGCTGAGGATGCTGCGGCCGGACTCGGACATGCTGCTCGGGGGGCGGCCCTCGTCGCTCGTCGGCGTCGTGGTTGTGGTCGTCCCGTGCGCGCTGATCCTGGCCGCCAGCAAGGCGTCGGCGGCGTCGACGTCCGACACCCAGTCCCGGACGTCGTGGTCCTGCCCGGCGGCGGCGACGGCGGTGGTGGTGGCGGGCCCCCTGCCGCCCTCGGGGCTGGGCGTGCTGGCGGCGCGGCTGGACGGCGCAAAGATGCCGCTGCCCCTTGGGGTCGTGGCCGTGGGCGTGAGGAACGGGTCCGAGCCGGCGCCCTCGCCCTCGTCATCGTCGTCGTAGTCGCCGTCGTCGTCGGGGTGGTGGTTGTGCTCCGGGCTACTGGGTGACCCGCTCGGGCTGCTGGTGTCGCCGTCCTCGGGCCCCTCGTCCTCGTCCGCCTCGTAGATGGGCGGGATGCGATGGGGGCTGCCGAAATCATAGCCGCCACTGCCACCGCCGCTCGACGACGTAAGTACGTTGGTGGGCTGGTACAGTCCCCGAGCCGAGCCGCGCGACCGGCCGGAACTCGGCCCCGCCGCGACGGGCGGGAGGGGCGGAGGGTACGAGAAGGGGGACAGCTTGCCCTGACCGCGGAGACTCTCGTAGCCCAGTGAGCGCTGCCCGCGGGCGTACGCGTCGGGCCCGCCCGTGTACCAGTCCCGCGCCGCGGCCGGGTTCCAGGGGAAGATGCCGGCGTCGCCGCCGTGGTCGCGCTCGAGCATCTCGTCGTGGTTGTTGCCCACGTTCAGGAACCTCGCGGCGTCCTGGCTCAGGTTCCGGACCACCTGGTCCCGGTGGGCGCGCTGGCGGTTGGCGTGCCTCCTGTAACACACCCCGAGGACGATGGCGGCTATCGCCAGGGGGATGCCGACCCCGAGACCGACTCCCAAACCGATCTTTTTGCTTTTCGAATTCGACCCGCTGGGCGAGGGCGAGCTTGAGGTTGAACCACCACCGTCGGCTTTACTGCTGGCGGTGGGGTGCGTGTATTCGTCTGTCCACGCCATTGAAGTCAGGTTGAGGAACATGGGAACCTCGTTACTGGCCCCGATCTGCCGTCTCTTAACCCTGGACGATGGACTCGACGAGACGCTATATCCCCCGTAGACCATCATGACATTCCCGGGCAGCAGAGTTGCTCCGTGGCCGTATATTCCGGGGCCTGGCGGCTGCGCGACCGGGTTGGACCACTGCCAGTCGTCAAAGCTGCTGCCCATCTCGAGGACTGCCAACTGCGGCTCGGCCGCCTGGGTGATGTCGCCGACCCAGCCTCCCAGTATGACGAGGGAGCTTCCGTCCTCGGTGAGAACCGCGGTGTGGCCGGACCTGCTCTCGACGCCCGTGATGGTATTCTTGATGGCCAGCTCGGTGTTTGGATTGCCCGCCGGCGCGTTGATGGAGAGGAAGGTCCACGACTCCTCGGGCAGGCTCCAGAGGGCAGCCGTGCTCATGTTGATGAAGGCGCCTTGAGTGTGTCCCCCCAGCAGAACGCTGTTGGCCTGCTGCGTCACCGTTCCCGACCTGTTCGCAATAGAGGGTACGAGAGGAGTGAAGGTAAACCCGGCGTCCGCAATGGGCGGTCCATTGTTGGAGGCATACCTGACCGTATATGCGGCATCCGGTCCAGGGTCTTGGGTAGAAATCTTCAGCATCTGGTTCGAGTACGATGCTGCTGACTGCCAGGTCGATGTTGAGGCGTTTGACCACGGGCACATCCCGCCGTAGACATACGTCACAGGCGGCGATGGGACCGGGGCGATCGTAGAAGAGAAGCTCAAGCTCCCTCCCAGAAAGGAGGGCCCAGCTGGGCCGTTGGTGGTGGGATAATGCTGGGCCCACTTGGTCTGGCCGGATGTCCGATTGAAGGTCCAGACAGATGGTGCCTTCTTCGAAGAACAATCACCGGCGAGTACGGTAATGGTCCCATCGTCCGAGATCGACGCGGTGAAGGCCGTCGAGCCGGCTTCGTCGTCGAGAAAGGGAAGTCCAGATGTAAGTGTCTCTACATTGAGGGACCTGGCGTGAACTGTCGACGAAACGTCGATGGACAGCAGATTGACGGATGAGTCGTCTGGGTAGAAAATGAAGGCGTCATGGCTGCTCTGGCCTTGACACGACGAAGGCCCACACTGGGGCAGGAGGATCGTCGTTGGTGTATAAGGCAAGATCTGAGACCTCGCAATCCAGATCCAGAAAAGAAGGAATGCCCAAACTGTCCTTCGGACGGCCGTGGTGGAGGAAGACAGGGTCCCTACCAAGGGATACCCCGCGATGTCTAACATTTGGAGCACTGCGGAGGAGGCCACTATTATGGTCTCAGGACAACCACATGGTCCCGTTTTCCGGCTCTGCGCTCAGCATTCCCTGGTTGTGCGCTGTTTGAGTTGGTTCCAGGTCCTCGTTGCGCGCGACTTGGTCAGGATGAGGGTATAGCTGAATGATGCTAAGAATAATAATGAACCATGGTTCTTAAGACAGCCACGTAGTGTGTAATAGTGCACGATGGGCTGGCAAGGTGGGCACGGCTAGCATGAAAAAGCAAATGAGTTCTTTCGCGGAGAGATCAGCATGGTGGGGGGAAACCGCTCAATTGACAAGTGAATCGATTGAATCGACCAAGCACAGATGTTGCCGAAGATGGCTGGGTTTGTTTTGACCAGGGAAAATGATAGTTGCTCCAGCAACCCGTATCTGGTCCAATAGCGAACAAATACGAAAAAGTACACAGGTATCCATCCACATTTAGATACATAGGTACCTACGCATAATCCAACAACCGGGTAAACAACCTGGAACCGCGATACGATACACAGTAATGAAAGGAGAAAAATCCAAAATCAAATGTTCCAACTCAACTGTGACATGCACGAAAAACAAAGCTAAGTTCACTAACGCATTGCCCATCATTCCTTGTCGCCCTTGTCGGTGCCAATCAGGTCCGCCAGCTTAGCCTTCAGCCCTGCGATTTCCTTATCGCAGTCTGCAAGATCGGCTATGTACTGGGTAATGCTGTGCTGTAGAGCCCGAACGTCACCCAACCGCGCCTCCTTGCCCATCTGTTCGTTGGCGAGGTCGTCCTTAGTGGCCTCGAGCTCCAGCCTGAGCTCCGTGACCTGCGCCGCCAGGGCCCGGCCGTCGCTGCCGACGGCGCTCTCGAGCGCTCGGTTGGCGGCCCGCTCGCGCTCCAGGTCGGCCTCGAGGCTCCTGATCTGGGCGTGCGCCGTGTTTACGGTCGAGCCCAGGCGTATGTTCTGGGACTCGAGCTCGGCGGCCTCCTCGATACGCCTGTTGTACCGCTTCTCCAGTTCGGTGACCCGCACGGGGAACTTTGGCTGCAGCGCCGACACGACGGTCGGGTTGGACTCCAGCGTCTTGGTCTGCTGGACCGCCGGGTGGTGGTCCCAGGCGGGCAGGACGAACAGCGTGTTGCGGCCCTGGCCCGCGAGGCGGTAGTACCGCGTCGTCAGGTTGACGGGGATGATGCCGCGGGCGTACGTCTTGCCGCCGCGCTCCTCCTGCCACTGGCGCTCGCCGCTGACGCCCTTGGCCTTCCATATCTTCTCCTTCTCCTCCACCAGCGCCTCCTGCCTGTCCAGGATGCTGTGGATGTGCTCGAACACGTCGTCGCCTGCGTTGACCAGCAGCCAGCGGTCCTGCGGGTAGGCGATTTCCCGGCCCGACCGCCCGTCGGGGCCGAGCGTCGACAGGTGCTGAAGCGGCACGACGGCCTCGCCCGCCAGCGCGTCCAGGGCGTTGCCGTAGGCAATTTCCAGCTCGTGCATGCGCCCGACAAGGTGCTGCGTGAAGCCCAGCCACTGGCCGAGGAGGGTGTTGCGCGCGTCCTCGCGGTCGTTCTTTTCGGAGTCATGGTCGGTGGGAAGCAGCCCCATCAGGCCACCCTCGCTGCTGAACTCGTGGTCGAGACGCTCGAGGCAGGCGTTGGTGTGCATGATCAGGTTGTGGTGGTTGGCAAATTGTTTCACCGGCTCGCCGAGGCCGCGGGGCTTCGTCTCGGTCAGGGGGCAGTGGTACTCTGTCCCAAAGACGTCGCTGCGGCCCTTGACCTCGTTGATCAAGCTGTTGAGCGGCTTTTTATGGTCCGGGTCGTCATTGGCGTACGGTGTCTGCAGGTCGTTGAGCCAGTCGAAGGCATCATTCTGGGCTGCCCTCAGGGCCAGCTGGTCCCCGTAGTTGGCGGCGTCGACCACGCTGGGCTCGAGCGTCGGAACGAGCTTCAGGAGCAGGATGCATAGTGCCTGGGCGTGCTGCTTCAGCGACAGCAGGGTTGGGGGCACCTCGGGCGTGGAGATGAAGTTGCAGTTGAGCTGGCGGAGCAACCCGCATTCGTCATGGTGCATCCGCGACCACTGCGAGGTGTAGGGGAGGGAGTAGTCGGTAGCCTTGATGTAGCCTCGCTGCTCGCCTTCCTCGTCAAAATCGTGCTCAACCTGGTGGGTAATCGGAAGTTCGGCCATCGTGACTCGATTTAGCTCTTGCTGAATGTCTCAGGGGGGCTGAGATGAGACGAGATGCCGATGAGAGATCTGCAAAAGTTTCACACGCGAAGAAGGGATGAAGAGGAACTGCGAGAAAACAAGACATGATCGCGTGGTTAATAAGGATGCGGAATGCTATATTCTCGAGGTTTCTAGCACAAGGACGCCAACCAACGACCATTCTACCACACGCAAGGCAAGGGATGGACAATGAAGCATTCCCCCATAATACAAAGAACCGGACGCAACCAGAGCTCACTGCATTCCCTGGAATGAAGCATAAAGAAATGTCAAGATTCTTCGAGCGTTGGACAACGAAAATGCACCCTGCCTGCGAAGGACGAGAGCATACACCTGGGTAGAAGTTATATCGGGTTGCTTCCATGGCGCTCCTTCTGTGCCATTACAAACATAGAGCTACTGGAATGGAATGAGCTCCGCGATAATCCGTAATTACGTTACGTATTGGGAGATCTGGACTGAGGGGGACCACCCTGTTGCTTCTTCAGATATCCACAGATCATCACCTTGTATTCTTTTAGTGTACATAGCGAACGTCGATAGTTGCGACCTTGCTAATCGGTCCTGATCGAAGATCGCATCAGCTCCATGTCGACCGAGGTACCCTTTCTAGTACACTAAAAAATAATTTCCCATCCGGGGTGGGGATCGTGGGTCCAGAAGCGCAAGGGGTGAAGATCAGCCAAGCCCAATAACGACTATTCCTAAATGGGGAAAGCATGGGATGTGGCCGGTCAGCTCCCGGGTCCCGGCCCCGGCCCAGCGTGCCACAAGTACCCTGACGAGCTGACCACCATTGCCACTTGGCGGGGATGCGTTCCAGCTCGTCGCACGAATGGGTCTCCACGTTCAGGTGTCTCCTTGACAAGCGTGGGCCGATGCATTCTCTGTGAGATTACCGAGCGTTAATAGCGTAGAATTCCATTGCACGTGTGCACTGCACAGTATCCATACACTATACTAGTATGTACAGAGTAAAACGGAAAACGATTCATAGGCATCTCGTTCAAGTGTCTGTTACAAGCAACCGAGAGTCGATGATGCTGGGCTACTGACAAGCACGGGCAGGGGTTGAGTCGACTGCCGCTATCTTGGCTCGGCAATCTTGATACTCAGACATGGGCTGGGATGATCCCAAACGCTATCCGCGAACACGATCGTCGATTGGCCTGACTAATTTCGATTGGAAGTGTGCTACGTGGCCGCGTCCGCCACAAGCTGAAAAGTGTATCATGGGCTCACAGTCACAGTGGGGTTGGGCGCAGAATCGTTGGAGCACCAGAAATCGACAGCGTCAAGAGAAGCAGAAACGGCCGACCAATGCTTGGTCTCATCATAGGTACGTCAAGAACGGCTTGCGAAAGAGGCCCGGCAGGCGGTTTACCGTTTACCTACTCTATGTATGTACCTACGCCATTGTGCGTTTGAGAGTCTGTGATAGTTGAGATGCAAAAGGCTGGAAACAGGTTTGGAGAAAGTGGAAGTTGAAAGGCATGTGTAATTTCATTGACAAGTTGACTGGCAGAACCTGAACCCGGAAACGGAGAAGTACCAACTAACCACCATTGGCCCCGCAATTATCTCAATTTACCCACATCCGCACTAGCTTGCTGCTTGGGACAGGGGTAGGCGCTGCAGAAACCCCTGTTCAAATATATTTCATCTGCAGCCGCTTCGTCCAGACGAACGAGGCCTTCACATCACCACAACCAGCCGAAGTGAATTTCCAGTCTGGCTACCAAAGTGTTAATAAAAAATATGGAGGCTATTCTAGAGAATCTGCATTTCCCCAATTCCGCACAGCTTGGGCTGAACATTGTGGGCACTTTCGCTGGAGCTGATCAACAGCGCTAATCGTGTATCTGGTAAAATAGTAATTGAGTTGTGCACAGGGTGCTCCGACATCTGCGTCATAGGGCAGGGGTGCAGATCAAGTACCGTCCCGTACATGCGTTACGGCCAATCGATGCCTGTGTACAGATTACGGAATGATGGGTACCTTGGGAGTGTAGATCGCATGGACTAAGAAGATGAGGTAGAACAACAGCAGGTTAATCTCGTCGAGCGATTATGCGATACTATGTAAAAGGTCCTCCCCAGCGCGCTTTTGCCAAATCCTGCGCGGGAAGAAGTGTTTGTGTGTTTGATGCCCTCTTTCCCTTTCTACGCATACAACATAGAAGCTCTACCTTGGGGGAGATTGAGCCCACCACAATCTCACAAGCCTTGCAGTTCTCTCAGCTAGCAAGCCCACACCACACAGCTCTGGAGCTGGACCCAAGCTCGACCCACTTCCCAATCAATACCCTGACCCCCCGAGTCCCAAAAGTTCCAAGCTTGTCCCCCTTCTTCAGAAAAGGCACGACCTCTTCAAACGTACAGTCAGCCCCTCCCCGTTGTCCATCACAACTCTGACTGGATCACAATAGATTCTTGCCCTACTGTCGCTCTTTACGCGCGCAGTCTCTCTGGGCCCATCCGAATCGCGTCTCGTTCAAGGCTACGCGCCAGTAACCTACCGCGACCATGAGTTCGAGCGACGATGACCCTCCAAAGTCGTCCTCCCTGTCGGGTAACTATTCCTGCCATGGAACCACTGGGCAGTAGACTCTCATCACTAACCTCTCCTACAGGACTGGTCTCCACCCTCGCGCCAGTGGCTCTCGTCTCGGCCATCTACCTGATCGCCTTCTTGATCTTGAGAAGAACCCAGAAGCGTTATTATGCTCCGCGAACTTACCTTGGGAGTCTCCGCGAAAAGTAAAGACGCTGTCACCCGCGGCACGCGCTCATGTGAAACCAATTGCTGACAATGACGGGTAGTGAACGTTCTCCTGCTTTACCAACCGGCTTCTTCAACTGGATTGGCGCCTTCTGGAAGATACCGGATATCTACGCTCTCCAGCACCAGTCCCTCGACGCCTATCTCTACCTGCGCTACCTGCGCATGACGGTTGTCATCTGCTTCGTGGGATGCTGCATCACCTGGCCTGTCCTGTTCCCCGTCAATGCGACCGGTGGCGGTGGCCAAGAGCAGCTCGACATCCTCTCGTACAGCAACATCAACCGGAGTACCCAGAAATACCGATACTTTGCCCATGCCCTTGTTTGCTGGGTTTACTTCAGTTTCATCATGTATCTGATCATGCGGGAGTGCATCTTCTACATCAACCTCCGCCAGGCCTTCTTGCTCAGCCCCGCGTACGCTAGCCGTGTCTCTTCGCGGACCGTTCTCTTCACCTCGGTTCCCGCGAATTTCCTCCACGAGACGACGCTGCGCAAGATGTTCGGCGACACGGTCAGGAAGATCTGGATATCTGGTGACACCAAAGACCTCGACAAGCTCGTCAAGAAGCGTGACAAGGCTGCCTATCGCCTGGAGTCAGCCGAGGTAAAGCTGATCAAGATTGCGAACAAGACGCGCCAGAAGGCGATCAAGAAGGGGACCGCAGACCAGGTTGAGCCCCCCGCCGAGGCCGACGGCGCCCCCTACCCCTCCGAGACCGCCGGTGCCGTCGATTCCGAGTCTGGTAGCGTCGCTGGTCGTTGGGTTCCAGAGAAGAAGCGGCCCACGCATCGTACAGGGCCACTCGGACTCCTCGGCAAGAAGGTCGACACGATCGACTGGTGCCGCAACGAACTGCAGACGGTTATTCCCGCTGTCGAAGCTGCCCAAGCGTCGTATCGGGCAGGGGAATACAAGAAGATTCCTGGAGTCTTCGTCCAGTTTAGGACCCAGGCCGAGGCCGAGTGCGCCGCCCAGGTCGTCTCTCACCATCAAGGCTTCCAGATGACGCCGAGATATGTCGGGATCAAGCCTGGTGAGGTTATCTGGAAGAGCCTCGGAATCTCATGGTGGCAGAAGGTCGTCCGCCGCTACGCCGTCCTCGCTTTCATCACGGCTCTAATCATCTTCTGGGCTATTCCGGTGGCGGTTGTTGGAGTCATCAGCAACGTCAACTACCTCAAGACCCTTTCTTTCCTCACATGGCTCGACAAGATCCCCCAGATCATCATGGGCGTCATAACGGGCCTGCTACCCGCGGTCGCCCTTTCGATTTTGATGTCACTGGTCCCAATCATCATGCGAAGTAGGTTGACCGTCTGCTGCTTTCCCCGTTAGACCCTTTCAACTAACAAGTCGTACAGTATGCGCCAGGCTCGCCGGAGAGCCTTCCGAGTCCCGAGTTGAGCTCTTCACTCAGAATGCTTACTTTGCGTTCCTGGTCATCCAGGTCTTCCTGATCACGACCATGGCCTCGTCTGCTTCGGCTGTTGCCAAGCAGATTGCTGATAAGCCCGCCAACGCCCCGTCGATCCTCGCCAACAACCTCCCCAAGGCGTCGAATTTCTACATATCGTACTTCATTGTCCAGGGCCTCACCATCGCATCCCAGGTCCTTTCACAGGTCGTCGGGTTTGTCGTCTTTTCCCTCATGTACAAGTACCTCTCGGGGACACCCAGGGCCTACTACACCAAATGGGCCAACCTCAGCGCCATCTCGTGGGGAAGCACCATGCCAGTTTACACCAACATCACCGTCATCGGTATGCTTCCTTTCCTCTCGGCTTAAGCTACCTTGTCTCGTGCTGACTTTGTCATAGCAATTACCTATGCCGGCATTGCCCCTCTGATGCTCGGCTGGGCTACGGTTGGCATGTCGCTGTTCTACTTCGCATGGCGTTACAATGTCTTGTTCGTCACCGACACTCAGATCGACACCCGTGGACTGATCTACCCGCGTGCCATCAAACAACTCTTCACGGGTATCTATCTCGCCGAAGTCTGCATGATCGGCCTCTTCGGCGCCTCTGTTGCACCGGGCCCGCTCGTCCTGATGGTTGCCTTCCTCGTCTTCACCGTCCTCTTCCACATCAGCCTCAACAGCGCCCTCGATCCTCTGCTGTACAACCTGCCCCTCTCCCTCCTTGCTGAGGAGGAGGCTCGCCTTCTTGATACCCCCGTGGCGCAGAGTGCCGTACCTGGCCAGACCGCCGCCGCCGCCGATGGGCTGCATCGTAATGAAGCCCAACATAACGGGACGCAGCCTGTGGACAATTCGGAGAAGGCCATGCCCGAGGCTCAATCCCTGCACAGCGCGAAAACGAAGAAGCCGAATCCCCTCACCAAGTTCCTCAAGCCGTGGCTATTCTCCGACTATGAGACGCTCCGTGCGCTGGCCCCCACCGGACCTCTTGACCTCACAAACATTTACTCCGAGGAGGTCGAGAACAATGCATACTACCCCCCATCGGTGACCTCCACGACGCCGCTGCTCTGGATCCCCAAGGACCCTGCGGGCGTCTCGAGACAGGAGATCGCACACACCAGCAAGATCATCCCCATCACCGACGAAGCCTGCGATCTGGACGAGCAGGGCAAGATCAACTGGGATCGCGAAACGACAAGGCCGCCGGTGTGGGAGGAGAAGGTCATCTACTGATGGGAGAAGATTCTTAACTGATTTTCATGGAAGATACCCGGAGTTGAGTCACATGGTGCGAGTCGTTCCTTACTCGGTGGGATTTCAAGAGGGTAGTGGTTTTGAGATTTGATAATGTTAATATGGCTGTCTTACCACTTGGCTTGCTTCTCGTGCACGAAAGGGGGTCGTCTAGATGCCCCGTCGCTCCTTAACTCGACAGGATTAGGATCAATATTAAGATCGTAATACTACACGAATACCCTCACTCTCTCTCCACGTTAGCTACCTACTTATTCCACTCTCACTTCCACACTCACTGCCAACACGGCATTGTACGCTAATAATCTGCGGAGACGAACAAAAAGTACAGCTTCTATTATTATATTTTTAAAAAATGGCGTCAATTGTTTTATTCCACTGCGAACCATGGCCAAGGGATTCGTGACATAGAGTCTAGCGATGCCAACCCATGTTCCCTCTATCCTTACCAACTCAAGCATTGTAATCGGGGTATGGCATACTCCCAAGCTGTCTTCCCAGCCGTTTCTCATCGGTGAGTAAAAAAAGCGACATCTCGTAGGACCCTCGTCAGATGTTATTGGACCAGGCGCAAACTAGCAACATTTGTAAAAGCATGTAACGCCGAATCCCGAGCTCCTCGCTCCCTACTTAATGCGGTCCATGCTTAGAGCACTCGCGCAAACGACAACCGGGCATACCGCCAGCGCCGGGTAGTGGTGGGAACCCTTCGGGCCCGGCTGCATCGCCTCCGTCGAGGTCATATGTCTGCTTGATCAAGTCTGCAGCCTGCCACAAGTCAGCCAAAAGAAGCGCCCCCTTAAGTGATAGCCCCGCTCCCGTCTCTTTTTTTCTTTTTTTTTAAAAGGGGGGGGGGGGGGGGAGAGGGGGTTTGGGGGTGTGTGTCAGCTAGACATACCTTCTCAGCAACAGCATAAACCGCAGCCTGCAGGTGCGCCGCCGGGATGAGCGGCATGACGCCCGCGTCGACGACGCGCAGGTTCGCGGCCCCGTGCACGCGCAGGTCCGGCCCCACGACGCCGCCCAGGTCCGGCGGCATCATGGCCGTCGTGCCGCAGGGGTGGAACCCCGTGCGCAGCCCGACCTGGGCCGCCGACAGGAGGCGCGCCTCGGCCTGCTCCTCCGTCTCCGTCTCCGTCTCCGTCTCCGTCTCCGGCGGCACCCACGGCCACCGCGGCCGGGGCTCCAGCTCGCGCACCGCGGCCGTGGACGCGACGCGGCCGCCGAAGCGCAGCGCCGCCACCATGACGGCGCAGTCGGCCGCGTCGGCGCAGTACCGCGGGTCCACCTCCACCTCCACTTCGACCTCACCGGCGGCGACAAGGGCGGCGCGCACGTGACCCCTGCTGAGCGGCCGCAGCACCGACGCCGTCAGCGTGCCGGCGCTGTCGGCCATCAGCTCCGCGGCGGCGGCGTCGGGGCGGCGGAGCTGCGCCAGCGTGATCTGCCGCTGGAGGGCGTGGCCGCGCGCGAGGGCCGGGTGCTGCTGCTGCTGCTGGGTCGGTGGCGCGGGGGTGGCGGCGTCGAGGAGGGCGGACCAGCCCGGTGTGAGGGCGCGGAGGGGCAGGAAGGCGGCTGTGGAGATTAGAGGGGCTGTCCAGGGGCCTGGTTGGGGTGGGGGACTGTTAGTGGGTTTGATCGTGGGGGGAGAAAGGGGGGGCGGGGACGGACCGGTTTTGTTGTTGAAGTAGAGGGCTTCTGTGTCGTGGAGGACGTCGCCGGTTATGTCGTTTGCGGTGAATATGTCGGGGCTGCTGTCTGTTTGGGTATTATTCTTGTCAGAGGGGTCTAAACTAGGTAGCCGTTGGACTACAACTCGGGACGCGGCTCACAGTTGTAAAACGCCCCAACCATGCCATGATCCTGGAGATTATAACCAACTCCCGGGAGGTCAATCTGTAGGGGAACGTTGATCGACGAGATAATCGGGGCAGGACCGATGCCCGAGACCTGGAGAAGGACGGGAGACCTGATTGCCCCGGCAGCGAGGATGACTTCCCTGGAACATGATATGTTACGCACGACGTTCTTGGACGCCGAGGCAAACTGTTCACACGGTCAGACGGCACTTATATTTACAATGGGTGCAGTCCAAACTTACCTCTACTCCAAGTGCGCGCTTTAACTGCCTGAGCGGCGGGAGAGCAAACGGGTCGTCCCTCTTGCCAATTAAGATGCGGGTGACAGTCTGTTCCGTGGCGAGATGCAGATTTGGGCGATCGATGACTCCGTCGAGATACGAAGTCCTGCTATCAGATCTTGACTGATTCGTGGGCGTCATGCTCGACGGAACGATCATGGCACCCATCCCAATGCCCCTGTTGGGATCGTATAAGATTGGAATGCCAAGCTCGGCGAGGCCCCGAAGGAAGTTCTCTGCTAAGGGTTAGGGCCATCGTACTTCAAGTGCTAACAGGGCGCCATACTTGATTGCTCGTAGAAGAATCGCGGATAGCCGACCTGCACGGGGCCTTGGGTGCCATGTACTGACATGTCCGGATAGATATGTAGAGCCCGACTTGTCGTTGCTTCGACATCCGAGGTGAATCTCTCGCTCTGGCGAGGGAAGACGGGTTAGCCAACGAGAGACAATTGCGTCTGAAGAGCTGGGCACTAACCTTTTTGAAATAGGGGAGCAAGCCCTCCCAGCCCCAGCCGGGATTTCCAAGGGCTTCCCATGCGTCGTAATCCGCCGCCGAGCCCCTTGTCCAGACCATGCCGTTTAGAATGCTGCTCCCGCCAACCACGCGCCCTGCATTGTATGGGCGGGTCTCGTTGTCGAGGAAGGACTGCGGCGTGGTGGTCAAGTTCCAGTCGTATATCGTCGAGAGATCTCGCCCTACCAGTCCAGGTATGGTGACAATATTGTCAGAAGTATCCCTGTTCACTGAGTGAGTAACGACCGTAGTTGAAAATTTGTCGCGGGGGGCACCAACAGCTCTCCTGCCTCAAGGACCAATACGGTAACTGCAGAAGCAAGTCAGTGGGAATCTAGGAGAGAGAAAGTTGAGCCATAGATGAGAGAAGCCATACCATTCCGGTCTTCAGTCAGCCGATTGGCGACTACAAGGCCCGAAGTGCCTCCACCAACAATTATATAGTCGTATGAGGGAAGCAGTTGGCTGTCAACGTTGTGGGGTTCGAGATGAAGGCAGGTGGTGATCGAAAGCAAAGATGAGAGGATGATGTAAACCACCAGAGGGAACATCATCTTGGTGGCCAGAAAGCTCAGATGGTAGGAAGAGGGTACCTATGATCTCCAATAGGATGGAAATGTTGTGATCAGGATAACAAAGTGTGAGAGGGGATTAAGATATTTGCACGAAGAGTTGAGAATGGCCGCTGTAAACAAAAACCGACCTTGTTGAAAAGTTCTGGACAAAAGTGTCATATTCACTCAACCCCGGCACACAATAGGCAAGCACCTCAGTCAAAGGACCAAGGAGCAGTGATTGCTTGCTACTGTGACTCCTAGATATCTTTGCCAACAGGCACCATAGATTTGGGCAAACAGGCCCTCCTATCTGATGTATGCCACACCCCTGAATATGAATTTTGCAACATGACAGCGGGCTCCTTGTCATTCCGACTTATCTTCCACTCTGTTCCCCATAGAAATATAGAAATGAGTTGACAAGCATAGGCAGCCTCAAACCAGATCACGGCAGCCATTTTCGGAGCATTATTGGACTCGAATGGACTCCAGCGTTCCCCCCCAACTGGCTAGTCGACGTAGAGGAGCGACACAAATGCAAACGGCGTCACAACTTCAAAATCCCATGCGATGCAAGAAGAGAAGGAGTGATGACGGAATACCAAATTTCTTCAAGATCATCTCTAGATCGAGGATGTTCGACATTTAGAGCTAATTATACACGTGCCCACAGCCCGGTGTGGAAAACGACTTCATTCCACTTCATATGAGCCTGGGCGTAATAACCGCCCATCACTAACAGGATGATCTGTCATGACCACTAACCGTACAGATATATACTTCGAAGGTCAGTTCCACCCAAATAATCACCTGGGCAAACCATGTGCAGTTGGAGGGAGGTTCGCCACTTACCACAGAAACAACAACGAATGGTAAGAGAGAAGCTCTTTTGGCCCAAATGAAGTCCCAATACTGAGAGAGACAGGCGAGACTCTTGTTCCTCAACCCCACTTGACACCAAATAACTTGAATCCTTGCTTGTCTCCCTTATCGGACGATGATGCATCGGCATTCTCAAGGTAGATCCTCTGGTGACCAGCCACGTCGACGAAGAAGTACTGGTACTCGTAATCGGATCGGCCGGAACGTTTGGTGAGGTGCATGTTTACTTTTCCTCTGCCCTTGGGGCCTTCAACCTATTAAATGTTAGTAGGGGTATTGAGGCATCAGCTGGAAGGGGCTCATACATTGAAATGCATCCGCAGATGCTCATTGCCCTGCGCATCCTTGGTGGTGGTTGAGCTGAATACAAGTTAGCCAGATCCTAGGGACTTGTCGTCAGGTGACTTACGCAATGGGCCTTGCTCTCCTCCACTTGTTCCATGTTTCCTCGCCATACGCAGTGATCTTGTTGCTGTCGCCAAGCAACTCCAGGCATCTTTGGTCCTTCTTGATCCTACTGATGGCGCGGTTGAGGTATGAGATCTTGCTGTCGGGAGAGAAGACTTCCTTGAATAGGAAATATGCCACGCCGCCCTAGAAGACATTAGAAGGAGCCTACTGAGGGTATGGGCTTCAGAGAGGCCTACAGTGAGGACAACGCCAACAATAACCATGCCAAAGTTGAATGTCTGCTGGGCAGCTCTTGCGGATTTCTCGCCGACCGAAAGCTGAGTCCAGGGGACATTCCCATCGTCGTTGAAGGGCGTTACAGCTTTCCTCTTAGCTTCAGAGTTGAAGCTCTGCTGGGTCGCGTAACATCGTAGGGCCAGGCGGGGCCTCACAAGGTGGGCGGCATTGGAGAGGACGACGGGCCGGAATACGGAGGAGCTAATCAATTTGACCATGGCGGCTTTATATCACCCATGGCGGTTCAAAAGGGGGTATCGGGTGCTTGTAGGTCAAACGGTAGGACGTTAACTTTCTGATGGCACGATGGCTTGTAGATGCATACGGCAGTAGTTCGGCTTTTCCCCCATGGTGGGGTAAAATCCAAAGCCCGCTAGACTGAATCTAGACTACCGGAATAATCCGTGCAGCGCCGGGGGCTACTCATCATTCTCGCTCAACCCTTGATGCCAGGTCAATCAGCGGCCAAATTCAACCGTGGCCAGTCTCCTGAATGCGGACCCGCGCCATTCCTCCCGCGATATTTGTTCACCATCACCAGAAAAGCCGCTCCAAGGTGCCCTGAAGATACAGACATCCCAAAATGAGCGGTCTTGCGGAAAAACAGGAATCGCAGAAGCTCTTCGAAAAGCTGAAGACAAAGCAGGCAAACAAGGTTCGTGGGTGGCACGCTCTTCTGTTGGCGGCGATCCAGTGCAGCGAAGTGACTGACACATTTGTTGGAATAGACCTGCTTCGACTGTGGCCAGAATAATCCAACTTGGACATCGGTCCCCTTTGGCATTTACCTGTGCCTCGACTGCTCAGCCAACCATCGGAATCTCGGTGTCCATATCTCCTTTGTCCGATCAACCAACCTCGACCGTACGTTCTGCCGCGACGTCTTACTGTTACGCCCTGAAAACTCTAGCTAACCCTTGGTTTGGCAGAATGGCAATGGGATCAGCTACGTCTTATGAAAGTGGGCGGTAATGAGTCTGCGACCAAGTTCTTCCAGCAGAATGGCGGATCTGCCGCCCTGAACAGCAAAGACCCCAAGACCAAATACCAGTCCAACGCGGCAACAAAGTACAAGGAAGAATTGAAGAAGCGGGCCGCAAGGGATGCCAAGGAGTATGTCAAGGAGTCCGCTTACCTGTGTTCGCCCCTTGTTGCTGACTCGATTCAAGATTCCCCGATGTGGTAGTCATCACCGACGCAGCAGCTGCCAACGGCTCCAATACTCCGGCTGGAGAGCCGGACGATGACTTCTTCTCGTCTTGGGATAAGCCCTCCATCAAGAAGCCCACCCCGCCAGCCTCGCGCACCGCCACTCCGCCCGTGGTCGGGCGGACCCCCTCCCCTTTCCTCGGCGCAGGCGCAAACGGCAACGGGAAGGATATCGCCCGCGCCTCGTCTCCGCTGGCTAAGACGGACAGCGATTCCAAACCGGCCAGCAGCGTGAGCCGCGTCACCACCTCGGCTGCTCTGAGGAAGACATCGACGACCAGCGGTCCGCGAAAGGCCAACGTATTGGGCGCGAAGAAGACGCAGAAGCTCGGTGCCAAGAAGATTACCGGCGATGTTATCGACTTCGACGAGGCGGAGAAGAAGGCCAAGGAAGAAGCCGAGCGCATCGAGAAGCTGGGGTACGACCCTAATGCCGAGGAGGAGGCAGCGGTGAAGCAGTCTAGCAAGGGCGACGCCAGCAACGTCATCTCACCCACTCCGGTAAACCCGTCTCGGGGAGGCTACGGATCCGGCCACAGCCGCGAGAAGTCGGCCTCCGAGGTGGAGCGGCTGGGTATGGGTGTCGCGAGATTAGGATTTGGCCAGGTCGGTGGAGGCAAGGCTGCTGCCCAGAAGAAGACCGGCGGCGGTTTCGGATCCGTTGGACCTATCAAGAACAACACGGACGGTAAGATCCCTATTTCCTGGCATGCTGTCCTGCTCGAGAACATCCCCCCCACCTGCTGACGTTTCGCCCACAGATGATGATGAGAAGTATGCGCGGTCCAAGTTCGGCAGCCAGAAGGCCATCTCATCGGACGAGTTCTTCAGCAAGGGCTCCTTCGACCCCAGTGCCCAGGCCGAGGCGAAGACGAGGCTGCAGGGATTCGAGGGCGCCTCGGCGATCTCGTCCAACGCCTACTTCGGCCGCCCCGAGGAAGACGACGCGGGCGAGGAGTACGGCGACCTGGAGACGGCCGCCAAGGACTTCATCCGCAAGTTCGGGATAACCGCCGGCGACGACCTGGAGAACCTGACCCACATACTTGGCGAGGGCGCGGGCAAGTTGCAGGGTGCTATTCGGAACTACCTCGGGAGTTGAGGGGAGCCCGTCTCGTTGGATGGCTAACGGTCGCTACCCACCTGTTTAGTGAGGTTTTAAATAAAATAGTTGAGTCAAGTGAGGAGAAGCCCATGGCGGTAAGTAGGCGTGGAAGGGAAAAGGGGGAAAACGAAACAGAGACCCCCTCCCCTGGACCAGGTGGTGTCTGGTGGTCTGGCACAAGGGCGTATAGGAGACGGGCGGATCAAGCGGATCGGAAAGTACGTAGTCGGGTCTACGGCCGATAAATACAGACTAGACCTTGTTCCTTGAGTTATTAGTAGGGGGTGATGCATTTGTACCTTGGTTGTTCGCGCGAGGAGCTTGTTAATGGCGAAGGGGGTTAAAAAACATGGAGTTTCTGCAATCTCAGTTAGATCTATCTGATCTCCCTTTCTGATCTCCCTTTCTCCGTCTTGGCTTTGGCGAATGCTGAAGATGGTTGTTGATGCAGTGTTTGGAATGGAGCGGTATACGGTCTGTGGATAGCTGGGCTTGCCTAATGGCGAACCACTAGAGTGTCCCAGCTCGTAAGTGGACGGCTCTTCGGCCATTGTTACTTTGAGTGGTTACAAGAATAAGGAAACGGCATTGCCAGGGACTGGACAAAGTTGCCTGCGAGAAATAGGCCTCTAGAATAGCCAACAGGTTCGTGAGGTTGGGCGTTGGGGCAGGCACGCCTACAGCGAAGACTGACCTCCTACGACTCTGGGAGGCATAGCCTGTCGCCATCCCAGGTCGGACGGGGAAAACCGGTACAAATGGGCGAACGAAGGGGGAATGGCTTATTTCGCCAGCTCTATGAGTACCCTGGGCACTCGATTGCAGATGGGCTACTACTACCGATTGACTGACCATCTGTCTGTCCTGCCGTGGAGGCGATACTCTCTTCCTCCTCCCTCCCATGCGCCTCCATTGTGTTTGCTTGAAGTCCACTGTAGGAATAACTTCGACACATACCCGGTGACCGCGTCCTCGCCCTTCGTAATCCAAACACACAGAACTACTTCTTCTGGCCCTAAATGTACGCCATAATGATCGGTCCACAAGCGGTCCCAACCGAGATGGCTACCGAGAGCGTGCCTGTGGCGTGCTCGGTGTCGAATCCGATCCGGGAGAGAGTGTTTTTCTTCGATCCCCGTTTCGAACGGTGGTGTACTCGGATATTGAGGGGAAGCAGCTGTTCTCGGCGGTATCGACTGAGGAGAGGTGTAGAAGGCAGTTTCCCTGGGCGCGATGGGTCGGTGTAAGTACGAGGACAAGACTCGGCAGGGCCTAATAGAGGAGAGGATGGGAAATGGCTCGCCTTGAAAGGAACACATCTGGATTTACTTTGGCACACCCGGGAGGAGAAGAACCTCGCAGAGTAGTAGCATATCCATTGCCCATGACCTCGGGAATAATTGGGCACTACAACCAAAGCTGTCAGTGACGAGGAACAGGCGGTGTGTACTCTTAGACATCAGCACGACCGTCCCATGAATTGTTAAATAGCAAACGAATTAGATCCAAGAAAGATTGGGATGGTGGCTTGAGTGGGCAAGCTGCTCTTGTCCCATGGGTTCAGACAGACTGATGGGCGAAATGGAAATATCTTGGGGGGTGCTGACTATGTGCGACCTTCTTTCCTTCGCCGTTATAAGACACGCATTTGGGAAAGGATAGCGCACTTCTTGTTCACGGCAAGCGAGAGCGCAAATAGATGTATCATTACTGCCTATCCAACTCATGAGAAGCCCGTCGGACCCCAGCTAAGCATCCCCGGGCAGCGCATCCGTCTCGACAGCAATCCACCTCCCCCTCCCAGCCCTCCTCGCCCGGATATGCCTCTCCACCCTCCCAGCCACCTCGACCGCCTCAACGAACCTCTCCCTCTCCGCCCGCCCCGCCCCTTCTCCCAGCCGAAACCCAGGATGCAGCAGCAGCCTCCCGACCTTCCCCCAGTCGCCGACCCAGTCGACGGCGTCGCAGCCCGGCTCGGCCGCCATCAGGGCTGGGAACCACGGCGCGCAGCCCGTCAGGTCGAGGCACTCGAGGCCGTAGAGGTTCTTCGCCAGCCTCCGCAGCAGCACCACCGCCTCGGACCAGTCCCCGTCGAGCGAGTGGCTGTACGGGCCCGTGCCGCCGTACGGGATGCGGCCGGACCCGGACCGGCCCCCCGGATCCACCACCACCGAGCCGGCGAGCCTGGCGTTGGGCGTCAGCGACGGCTCCGGCCAGTAGGCCAGGCTCAGGTGCGTGAGGGTCGGGAGGTGGGATGCGAGCGACAGGAGCTGCCGCCACGAGACGGCCGACGGCGAGGTCTGCGGCGCCACCGCGAGGGATAGGTGGGTGAGGTTGGGGAGCAGGGGCCGCTGGACGCCGCCGGGGTCGAAGGGGGCGGCGTCCCAGGATTCCTGGAGGTCGATTGCCTGCCCCGCTGCTGGCGGCGCGGAGGGGAAGAGCAGGTCGGATAGCTCGCGCAGCTTGATCGACCGGCCCGGCGAACCGGTCAGGTCGAGATGGAAGATGTACTCGTTCGCAGAGCTGGGGCTGGGGAGAGGGTCACCGCCATCAGCCTCGCCGTCTTCGAAGACCTCGGGAGAGGGTAGGAGAATGGCTCGCAGGTCGGCCAGCGATACCCCGCCGCTGTAGCACATGCCCAGATATGTGATTAAAGCGACCTTTAGCTGGCACGGCAGCCCGTAGAGGTAGTAGCGGTTGTAGGAACGCTGAAACTCCCAGTCGATCGTGAGCTTGCGCAGAGCAAGGTCGGTCAGGCTACTGCGGGCCGGCAGATATGCGCCGGGCAGACCATGACGCTGAAAGTTCTCGACGACGCCAGCCCCCGAGACGTGTTGAGGAGGAGCATGGGCTGGGGCGGACAGCCAGCTCCGAGGAGGGGCAGGGCCGGGGGGGAGGCGGCGGCCGTTGGGACCAACCCTGATCGGCCGACGAGGGGCGGGTGGAGGGTGCTCAGGCAGCTGGAGAATGCGCCGGATCGCGGGGGGAACGGTCGGGGCACCTGCAACAGACTGGGAATCTGTTGGCTGGTGCGACCGAAGACTCACTCGTCGCAAATCTGCGAGGAGTTCGTTGACGCCGCGTCCTGAATGACCTGGTAATTGGGCACCATTAGTTAGCTACCTATTCTATGCCCCCCCGATTGCTCGCCGTGGGGCGGAACGGACCATCATGGCTGCTACTGCCTCTGCTGCTACTGAGTGAAGCTGGTGCTGTGGACTGGGGCTTGGAGTACTGGACGTGATGTCTTTTCTTCGGCATAACCAAGCCGGAGAATTTTCGATGTCAAAGATGCAGTGTCTCAGTCCTGGACGGCTACCGGCAGCTATGTTAATCAGTCCTGCTGCGGTCGGGAGTTTGCCCACCTCGCCTGCCTCGGTAGCCTTTTCTCTCCTTCTTGCCTCTGTGTCATACCTAGTCTTGGCCCCTCCCCCACCATAGGAAATCCCCGAGAGCGGCCCCACCACAGGATTAGGTACCGGGGCAGCACCACTATGAGACATCACGTACTCTGTTGCTTCTCACAACAACAGCCGACCAACACACCATCCCCATCTAATGGCACCCAATCAATTTAATCCAGCAGAAACCACCAGACGAAACCCAAACAAAGAGAGGCCCATTGGACGCTATACTTGGTTGGAAGTCGTTCGAATCTTGGAAGGAAGGTTTCGGCGAAATACCTGGGTTTGGTTAGCTGCCTCTGCCCGTTAGCGCCCGCCGCCTTGCCCGCCCGGCCGACCAATTGGCGCGAGACGAGACGAGGCAAACGCGTTGCTGGACGGGACGACGAAGGATGTCATGGAAACTCCAGCCTGCCGCTGCCAGTTCGTCCCATCCCCATCTCCATTCCCATCCCATCCCCATGGGCATATCGTATATCGCATGTCGGTAATTTGTGCCGATACTTGCCGATGCCTGCCAGGTTTGGTTTGGACGAACTCTGGCCAAGACTTCACCTGAGGCGGCTTCACTCCTCAAGCAAGTGACCGTGGTGCGAGGAGGGAAGGGAAAAGGGGCGGGGGCTCCTTCTGTCGGAAACTTTTGCGCGGAGGGACGAAATACCTACCTACCTATCTCGGTGCATGGTCCCAGAAATGGTTCAGGGTCCCCTGACTTCAAAACCCTCCACGTGACGGGTCCTACTTACCTCCCGAAGCCTGGCTCTGGACTCAGGGGGATTTTATTCGTTAGACAGCCCGATAAGACTATGCAAGAGGTGACGTTGCGCGACCGTTGAGGCCGCTGCCAAGCCGTCGAGCATTCCCGCGAGGCTTACTGTGGAATCGTAGATGGCCCTTCAAAACACACGGCGATGGGCGTGTTTGCCGATCCCGCCATCTGTCATGCACAAAAAGATATGCCCAGAGTTGGCTGGTGGAGGCCGGGGCTCTCTGGATCTAGAACCGGATCGTCTGATGACTTATTCAGATGCCAGTCAACGTTCCGCATCCCAGTAGGCATGTAGCCAGTTGGGCATCGTCCAGGTTTTACGGCCGTGTGACAGCAGTTTACTGTCTCCATGACAGCCCGCCACCAGTTCGCATGGGTCAAGGGTCCCGTTCATAGCGGATTACGACCGAGTCCAAACTCTAAAAGCCCCGTCACACGTTGCAACTGGGGGCGGGGCAATATGAGACCGAGCTTGAGCTTCCCGTTGAATGTTTCTTTTCTTTTTTTTGTCCTACTGCTTGCCCGAGATCTGCTGCCTATGCAGGTATGGCGTCGTGGGACGAAAGGAATGTGGGTGGGTTCCGACACACGACGCCGACATGGGACCCCGGGGCTCACCGTTGCCGCCGATCATGAGGAGGGGGAATGAGCTTTCAGGCTGTCAGCGACGACGCCATACATGCAACAAATCTGACCAGTTCTCCCCATGCTGCCTTCTCCCCGAAGAGACACCGCCGGTCCCCGGGCCCCGGCCTTCTTCCGACCAGGAAAAGATCGGTTCGCCCTTTGCTTCTCAGGGCCGCATACAAGGGCGCGGTCATGTGTTGGACTAGGGCGAGAGGATGCTCAGAATACACCTAAGTGTCGGAGGTCCTCGGCCATCTCGATCCTGTACAGTTGCCGAGTTTGACAATGACATGTGGTCCTCAGGCCACATTCGGAAGGGGTTAGCGAACGAATCCGGAAACCATTTCTACGCTCATCCCCGAATCGGAGCCGAAAGCAGTGCTGGGCAACACGACGTGAGGCGAATGAGTTCACATACAGCCTGATGGATCCATCCCGCACGACGCGTGGTGCAGCGTTCCTACACTTTACACACAAGAAGTCGGCGGCTGCGCATCGAATGTGCGGATACCATTCATGTGGAGGCCGTTCCCGAGAGCGCGGTTCGCCGGTAATCTCTGTTATCCTGAAACGACTGCTTAGTGAACAGGCACCGCCGTTTCGGGTGTCCTTCTGATCCGGAGTACATACCGAAACTTACCCATTCGTGTACCATGCGGGTGCACTGCCTTCTGATATTACTATATCATGACGAAGCATGGCATCCATCCACAGGTTCCGCAACCTCGTCTTACTCTGCCAAAGCTTCGGACTACTGGGGAGCCCCATGTGGGCTAGATCTGACAAATATAACAAGTCGTGATGCGGTAGCGTTGTCTGCTCTGGACTATAAGTTGGGTCCATATCCGGTAGCTGCAGGAATCAAGCCCTCGGTGTGTAAATGAGTTCTCTCCTATTTATAGGACCTGGGAGAATGCTCAAAATAGAGACAGTGTAGCGCCCCAAACCCTGCTGTATTGTCGTTCTCTCGCTAACAGAGTTGACTGCGCATGACGCGACACACTCCAATGTTGGTTTATCCCAGCCTGATGCTGCTTCTTCCTGCATTTCCCCCTCTCTGTTGTCCCGGCTACCGGTTTTAAGGGGCTGCCCCACAGGCCGAAGTTACTGCAAAGCGGAAATGCGCTAGAAAAGGGGTTACGCGCGCAAGATATAGTCAGGGCTAGCTAGTTAGTTCATGCCTGGTACCCGAAGGTATAATAGTGAGATTTCGAGCTATCAATGGCTAGGGAGGGTACCTTGTGCTTGTCCCATTCCACTGGCTACCGTATCAGGCCCAATAATGCAAGCACTGGGACCATCCGGTCAAGAGCCTTATGACGATGGGTGCTCACGAGGGGGGCTAGCACAGTGTCCGAAGGTGTCAAGCATCTGGGATGCTGAGCTTGAGTCAGAGTGTCTCCTCAGCCACGGGTCTGAAGGCCGATGGGGGGCTCGGGTCGTGATGATGCCCGATAAACACATCGGCAACTGCGGAGTGAGATTTTGCCCTTCAGACAGACACACGTAGTCTGGAAGTGAGGCGCCTTGGACTTGGCAGTAGAAGTATTGGCGTCACACAGAGAATCATGGTCGGGCTTCCTAGAGCAACGTGCTTGAAGGAGATAGGACACCCTACGGGATACCAACAGAGCCCCATCCTGGAGGTTTATTGCACGCCTCACATCCAGGACAAATCCAAACAATCTTGAAAGCTGTGCGGGACTGGAGTATCGCAAGCCTAACACAAGGTTTTCCCGGAAGGAAGCGGCGTGGTCTTGATTTATCTTGCAAGGTGGCCCTTGTCAACGGTCTGGGCTTGTCATCGTCAGAGTCTGTGCCCCCCTGACACATTCCGAGGCTGGCGGCATTGGGCTGGGCGAAAGGGGGGAGGGGAAGGAGGCCCGCTGGGTGGGCCATTCAACGCTGCCCATATTAGCTATGCGCAAGAATACGCTCTCTGGGCCTGCGGTTGCCGAGTAGCAGTCCTATGAGTAGGTAGGCACGTGTTGATCCATCAGGTCACTCATGTACCCTCCTGTACCGTGGAACACTTGAGGTCTCCATGCAGACTTGCTGTCGGGGATGGAGGGGAGGGACGTCTGGCAGGGTTCTCCCTTAACATCTCAAATCAGAACCAGAGCCTCTAATATGGAGGCAAAGGCAGGCAGTCAGATGGGAGGCGCATCTCGGGGTATACCTACATGGGGCGCTCTGGAGCCAAGGGGGCCAAGTTCGGGCCCGCGGATAACTCAGAGAAAAAGGGCATATAGAGCCGGAACTGGTCAGAAGACGGCACCGAAGATAATTTCTGACCGAGGCGTATCAAACTCCCCCCGTCGGCGAAGAAAGAGAAGGGAACTGGAAGAGACTAGCCGCCTGGAGGCCAGCCAACCAGCTGCCGTCTGTTCGACGAAGTAAACAGTGCGATCATTCATGCCTGACATTCTTCAAGAATGAGTAACCAGAAGCCAGCTGCCCGGTGAATGCAAGTGGAGTTGTTGGGCGTAGCCCGTTCTCCCTCTTGGTAGAGGAGAGGGAGGTTCGAAGACGGAGGATTGAGTACCTGGGTTAGGTAGGTAGGGACCCTCCAACCAAAGGACAAGCAGAATTGTGTCGGTGAAGAAATCCACGCAGCTCTCGACAAGCCATTTGCATCTCAATCCCAGCCGAGCCCTCACACCCTCCGGGTGGTGGTGTTGAACTGGGCCAATGGCGTCTGGGCATCTCTGCCACGGATGAGTGTGACGTGGAGACCGGTGTGAGCACTCGACGCGGAGACCGGGTACGCAGTGAAGGTCGGCAGGTGGTATGGAGGTCAAAGACATGGCGCATCACCTCTCGTCCTCAGGCCAACTTTGCCCGAGTTGACAAGAGGAAGGTAGAGGTACCTTACCTTCGTATGGCTGGAGCCGGGCCCGGAGTTGCTGAGTGCGCATGATAGTGGGGTACTTGGCAGCACCTACTTTCTGCTGCTGTTGACAATGTAATTCTCTAATCCTCGCCCAGGGACGGCTCCGGTTGCTCTTTCTCTATTGGGTCTGTCGATCCCAGTTCCCCCCCGATTGTCAAATTCCAACGATTCTCCCCTTGAATACCTAGTAAACGTAAACTACCAAAGGGGCTCTGCGCCAACACACCCAAGACCCGATCCAAACAGCCACCGGTGCAGTTACTAAATTCAGTTACTGAATCCATGTATCTTGTATCCATCGCTGACCCACCCAATGATACGCTTTATTCGGAGCCGAACCGCACCATGTGTCACCTCTGTGGGCTGCCCAGTGACCACCGCCTTCGAGCCTGGGTGGGAAGAGGTGGTGGGAGGCTCACGGATAGTTTGGGCTTGACTTGGAGGCGTTCATGCATCTCAACTGGGTTCCTGGGGTTCCTGGGGTTCCTGGGTCCTTGCTGCAAGGCGAAATGTCGTGAACTCCCACTGCTCGCCGTCAGCCTCGCCGGACAGAGGGGACCGTGGGAAGGTTGGTGTACGGTTTTCTGATCTGTCACATCACACAAGATCTGGAATCTCGCTGGAAGAGGTGTGGAAGAACATGGCGATGCACAGCGCACACCCCTGACCCACCACTCCCCCAATCAACTGACTTGTCATCCTGGCCCTGTCTTGTTGGTGACGAGGGCTTGCAGGCTGCTAGTGTTGACATACCTAC